TGTAAATTTATAGTTTTAGGTCTTACACTTGAGTCTTCTACCCATTTTCAGTTAATTTATGTATTTGGTTAATATATATATATATTTATATATATATTAGTTTATATATATACATAGATATATTAGTATGAGATATGTATCCATTTCATTCTTCTGCATGTAGATATTCCAGTTTCCCTAACACCACTTGTTAAAGAAATTAGTCTTTGTACATTGTGTATTCTTTTCCAAAAATCAGTTGACAGGAAATACATAGCTTTATCTCTGGTCTTTTCCTTATGTTCCATTGATCAATGATGTGTTTTTATGCCAGTACCATGCTGCTCGCTTCTTAGAGCTTTGGCTTTGTAATATATTTTGAAATCAGCTATTTTGAGGCCTCAAGCTTGGTTGTTTTTGCTTAAGATTGCTTTGGCTCAGGGCCATTGTGGTTCTACATAAATTTTCAATTTTTTTTCTATTTCTGTGAAAATGGAATTTTGATAGGAGTTACAGTGAATCTATAGATTGCATTGAGTAGCATGAACATTTTAACAATATTATTTTTTCCAAACTAAGAACACAGAATCACTTTCCATTTATTTGTGTCTTCTTTGATTTCTTTAATCAATGTTTTATAGTTTTCAGTGTAAAGGTTTTTCCCTTCTTTTGTTAAATTTATTCCTAAGTATTTCTGTTCTTGTAGCTATTGTAAACGATATTCTTTTCTTAATCCTCTTTTTAGATAGTTTGTCCTAATGTACAGAAAAACTATTATTTTTATATTTCTAATTTATATCCTACAACTATATTGAATTTCTTTATTAGTTCTAAGAATTTATTCGTGGAGTCTTTAGGATTTTACATGTATGATAATTTAATCTGTAAGCAGAAACAACTTTTTGCTTTTCAACATGAATAAATTTTTTGTTCTTGCCAATTCCCCTGGCTGAAACCGCCAAGACTGTGTTGAATAGAAGTGGCAAGAATGGGAATCTTTGTCTTGATCTTGATTTAGGGAAGAAGCTTTCAACTTTTCACCATTGAGTATCATGTTAGCTGGGGCCTTTGATGTGTGGTCTTTACCATGTTCAAATACATTTCATACTTAATTGAGAGTTGTTATCAAAAAGGATGTTGAATTTTGTCAAATTTTTTTTAATACATTTTCAGTGGGGTTGGGGTTTGAACTCAGGGTTCATTCTTGCAAAGCAGGTGCTGTACCACTTGAGCCACACCTCCAACCCATTTTTCTTTGGTTATTTTGGAGATGAATGTAAGCTGTTTCCCCAAGCTGACCTTAAACCATGATGTTCCTGATCTCAGCCTCCTAAGTAGCTAGAATGAGAGGCGTGAGCCACTGGTTATTATATGGTTTTTGTCCTTCATTCTGACAATGTGTTGTATCACATTTATTGATAAGCATAGGTTGAACCATTCTTGCATTCCAGGGATAAATTCCACTTGGCCATTGTGAATGATTCTTTTAATATGCTGATGAATTTGGCTTAATTCAATATTCTTGTTTTTGGTCTGTTCAGATGTACTGTTTCTTCAGACTCACTCTCAATAGTCAGTATGTTTCTGAAATTTGCCACTTCTTCTAGGTTATGCAATATGTGTACAATTGTTGATATTCTTACTTGTATTTCTGTGGTATCAGTTGTAATGATTTTTTTTCACTTATGATTTTATTTGAGTCTTTTTTCTTAGTTTAGCATATATCTTCATTTTTATTTATCTTTCAAGTAATCAACTCAGTTTAATTGATCTTTTCTATTTTTTTTTCTACCTTCCATTTCATTTATTTCTGTTATAATCTTTATTATTTCTTCCTTCTGATACTTTTGGGCTTATTTCTTTTTGTAATTCTTGAAGCATAAGTTTAGATTTTTTATTGGGATTTTTTTATATGGACATTTATTGCTATAAACTACCATCTTAAGTCTGTTCTTGCTGAATTACATAAGTTTTAATATGTTTCCATTTTTGTTTGTCCAAAACATGTTCACATTTCTCCCTCAGTTTATTCTTTAATCCATTGGTTGTTAAGGCACTATTATTTAACGTTCACATATTTGTGAATTTTCCAAAATTTCTCATTGCTGATTTTCAGCTTAATACCATTGTTGTTGGAAAGGTTCTTGTATATGTCAATCATCTTAAATGTTTTGCAACTTGTTTTGTGTCCTACCACGTGATTTATTCTGGGGAATGTCCGTGTGGACTTGAGAAGAATACGTGTTCCGCTACTATTGGATGGAATGTTCTGTGTATGTCTATGAGGGTGATTTGGTCTAAAGTGTAGTTCACTTGTTTCCATATTCACTTTCTATTGGATGATCTGTCCCTTATTTTGGGCACAGGCTATCTCTCTACTTAACCAATGTCTTGGGAATGGCACATTCACCACCACATTAGCTCAGGGCCTTAAAGCTAGATACCAATAGTAGTGGCAATGGTGTCTGAGATATGAGTAAGCACAGTGCAGCCACAGAACCAGGATCTGGAGTTTGGGCACTTGCAGAGTAGCCACAGCTTAGGGATCAGGGGTGCATATAGGCTTTTGAGAAGTGTTGGCCCCAGACCCAGTCCTGGGGTGGTACAAATAGCTGCTTCTTGGAAGGGATGTATGCATTATCATCCTTTCTCGGGTGTTGCAGTAGGAATGGCTATTGGTTACTTTAATGGCAAATGACACTAGACTCATCTGCAGATCAGGCCACTAAGGGCTTCTGTGACCAATACAGATAACCTTTCATTTCCAAATATCTTCGGACATTTCCAGTATGCTGATTACAACAGTGATCCTTTCTGTGCAGATATTCTATGGTAGTTTGTTCCACTATGATGTTGACATTTTTTTATGAGCCCTTGATCCTTCCCAGAACTATTTTGGTGTCTATATACCTTTGCTTTTTCTTTTTTTAGAAGGTGGAGGATGAATGCTGGCATCTTACACTCCACCATCTTGTTGACAGCATCTCTCTAGAAATCTTTTTCTGCTTTCCTCATACTATAATTTAATATTAGTGAACTTAAAAGTACATTATCAATAAGAACTTTCAAAAAACAGGAATAGGTGAAAGTATGTCCTATAAAAATAGGAGCTAACACTGATATTGCATTTATCATGTGCCAGGTATTAATCCAAACACTTTAAATTCATATAATTGTGTTAACACTTACATGTGTTTGGTGACTATTATCCTTGTTTATTCACAAGACTAAAGAGGTGGAATCACAAAGAGGTTAGTTACTTTCCCAATTTACACAGCTGGTAGGTGGTAGAATCAGGCAGTTTGGCTGCAGAGTCTGTACACCACCCCTGCGTCACACTGCCTCAAAGTTCTTCATTCTTTCCTCTTTCTGAACTTCCCTTAGTTGTCTATGCTCATTCTTCATGATCACCTCCAGTACCAGCCTTTCTACTTCTAGCGTCTAATAAATTCCTTTCCCTTGGTCCCAAATTTTAAAGTACAAATGCGCCTTTGCACTCCTTAATTCATCTTTATCTTTTGACTTTCTTCCAGATCTTTCCATTTTCTTTTTCTTTTTTTTTTTTTTTTTTTTTTGATGGTACTGGGGCTTGAACTCAGAGTCATATGCTTGCTAAGCAGGCATTCTACCACTTGAGCTACTCGTAGCCCTGTTTTGTGTTGGATATTTTCCAGATGTGGTCCTGCAAATTATTTACCTGTGACTGGCTTCGAACCTTGATCCTCCTGATCTCTGCCTCCTGAGTAGCTAGGATTACAGGCATGAGCCACCGGTGTCTGGCTTATTCCATTTTTAATGTATCTATGATATGCTTATTAAGCTGTCACATTCTGGGTGAGTGAAGAATAACTCCCTCTACTACATAACTAGAATTCCAAGAGGATAAATTGGAGTTGTGGGTTTATGACTTGGTACTGAACACTTGATACTTGCTTTTTATAAAATAATAAAAATAACTAATATTTGCTGAGTGGTAAATATATGCCTGATATTATTGCAAACCCTCTCCTTGTATGAACTCATTTAATCCTACAACAACTATGTGAGGTAAGTTCTTTTATTATCATTCTGAATCACAGTTGAGAAAGCAGAGTATAGAGAGTTAAATTAATTTGCCTAATGGAGACCTACAGGTGAAGCCAGGATGTGTCTCAGGCAGTTTAATACCAGAGCCCAAGGCTTAACCATTGTGTTGACAGTCTTTGGTCCCACACAGTCCATTAGAAGATAAATGCTAACACAACTCCTTTTTGCGCTTTGTTTGTTTGTTTGTCTTTTGAGATAGGGTCTTGCTATGTAGCACAGAATGGTGACAAACTTGTGATTCTCCTGAGTGCTCAGTTCTCTAAGTGCTGGGATCGTAGGGATATACCACCATGCCTAGCATGAATTCTTCCATTTTTATATCTTTTTTTCTGAGATAAGAATCAGAGCTCCATTCAAATAGTACAGGTCTCTTTTATATGTCATTTCAAAACTCTTTCCAACTATCTTCCCCAAGTGCCAGAAAACCCTCACTGGATTTTCCCTTTCCTACCTTTTTAATATTTGCTTCTATTTTTGTTCTATTCCCTCATAAGTCTTTAGAATCATAAACACTCATAGGCATTTCACAATAACTGGAATTTACACAAGACCTTATGATTAATACAAAGCAAGTCTCCCAAATGTACAACCTTAATCTGGGGGCTCATAATCAAAGGAAACCTGATCACTGGGGGGTGTGGGTCGTGTTCCTGCATTGCTCAGCTTGGGATGTCCAGGAGTGACTCACACTTGCCCCTGTCTCCAGACTGTCTCCCTTCTTAGGGGTGACCTGCTGCCCCCTTGGCATCTGCTATTTCAAAGCTGCCAGCATTGCTCCTGCCATATCAACATTCTAGCTTCAGGGGAAAAGGCTGTGGTGAATTTCTGGAAAGCAAGAAGGAAGTTGTTTTTGTAAGCAGCCTGACACCGAGGGGAAGCAGCAAGACTATAAGAAGTCTGGATTGGGCAGAAGTCAGAAAGCCAGCAGAGTCGCAGAGGAGATGGTAAGTTCATTTTGCTTTTCTATGGGAAGTGGATGAGTTGAAGTGGTTTGGGGCTGAATAGGGCAGAACAGGTTCAGAAAGTGAGAAACTGCAATAGCCACAGGCTTTATGTTGAATACTTTGTTAGATTTTACATGCATACTTAGTATGTTTTTTGAGATGGAGTATTGGTATGGTGTGCCCAGGCTAACCTCAAACTTGGATCCTCCCAGGTAGCTGGGATTACAGGTGCACACTACTGTGCCCAGCTCGAGTTTGCAAGCATTTCTAAACTTTTTATCCACTTTGACCCTCCCAACATTCTTATGAATTGACGTTATTTTCATTTTATAGATGAAGTCATTGTGGCTAACGGAGTCTAGATGTTTTATCCAAGGCTGTACTGTTAATACTTGATGAGGTTGGGATCTGAATTCTATACTCTGGCTTCACAAGCCACTATTCTTTCTAATAGAATTTATGAGGACCCTCTTGGAGAAGGTTTTGGTAAACCTGTCATCCTTTTTCCCAGGCCTGCTCTTCTCTCTGGGATAAATGAAAGGTTGAACAAGTGTCCTAGACAAGCCAACAATTGAATGGTTTCTAATCCCCAGTCCTCCTATTTCTATTTGTGAGACCTAGAAGTCTAGTCCCCTAGTCCCTAACCCTAGTCCCCAGGGACTCACCTGGAATATCCACATGGCTTCAATTTTTGCCCTAAGGGTGTGTCCTTAGTGTAAATGATTCAGTTTCCTTATCTGTAATTTGGATATAATAAAGGTATATGATAACATTGTGATGATTAAGTCAAATTGCAGTGAAAGTGCCAGATCTGAGTCAGACACATAATTTGTTTAATAAATGTTAGATATTATTGTTAAGTGACAGAGGAAATTCTTAGAGTTGGAGTTCCAGGAAAAGGTTCAAAGATAACCAGACAATTTGAAGTCAGTAAAGTTATTCTAGATGAAGCACACATGGTTATACTACCTCCAATTTACCAGGAGTATCCCACAATAGTCCCAGAGTCTATACCTACAGATGTACCAGAAAGTTCTGTGCATTGAAGAAACTTTCTGTGAAATTCCAAAAGAAAGTTGTGCTTGTACCTGACTTATCCCTCTTTCCCCTTTATAAAACACACTTTTCAAGTACTTAGAGTGAGAGTTTTCTGTGCTAGGGAAAAGAGGGATAGGAGGAGGATGAAGAGGAAGGAGGTGAGCCTGCCCTAAGTTTAAACTGTAGTGATGTAAGAGTGTGGGTTAATTTTGTCTTATCTTTTTGCATGTCATACTTCTGAAATGGTCAACTTAAATGAAAGAGCAGTTAATTCCTCTCTTCTATTCTCTTTGGTGCCCTCCTCTATTTCAAAGATATAAACATATTGGATATGGAGTTCTTTAGGATTCTGATGAAAGCTACAATTTCTCTTCCCAGATGAAAGTACAAAGATCCACATAAACACTGACCTTTTTAGACAACCATGGGAGGTTCCCAGACCCCTGTGTGGATCCCAGAAGAGCCCTACTAGATTACCTCCTATGCCCTATGCTCTGAAGCTTCTCAACTGTTGTCCTGTACCTGTGCTGAACTCTAAGTGAAGTACTAAGGACTCAGGCCCTGGGATTGTTCTTAATATTTCACAAAGACTTCATCTCCTACCACCACCCCTGCTCCACACCAACCACATTTGGCTATTAGGATTTAGGAACGTCAGTCTACTTGTGTAAATTCTGTTTCACGTTTAGAAAGTGGCTTTTACTAACTTCTAGGACCTGAGAAAATAACGTTAAGATTTACCTGGTGGGGTGTTTCCAATCAGATCTTAGAGAAGGAGCTCCTGACTGGGAATTTACAGCTAAATTATGCTGGTATCTATCAGTCAAGGCTAAGCTGGGCTGAGGAGCAGGTCTGGATTCCCTTTCATTTGTACCTTTTAACCATCTTAGGTCCTTGGCTTCCAGTCCTTAGTTTTCCTTCCATAATATTTTTTCTTCAAAATATAACTAATTGGTCATTCTCTCTTGGGTTGCCCACAAATTCTTAGAATGTGCATCTCTAGAGTTATGTACAGGATAATACAGTAGGTATTAGTCAAATCCTAAAACTTCAAAATGATTTGCTACAAAATAGGCAAAACTAAGAAAAGGCCCTACATTTAACCCTGGAGAGTAGGTACATATAAGTTTAATAAGTGATTTTCATAACATTGTCTAATCCCTCTGATGGAAACGAAAAGCAGAAAATTTACAAAGTCAAATACAGAGCAAATTCTTCATATTTTTAGGGATATAACTTAGTTATGGTCCAACAGACTTTTTTAAAAAATTTAAGTATGTTAGGTTATTTTTAATGCTAGTATATTTCCTTAAATAATGGCTACCAGTGGTCTAATTTAAATACATGCTTTGATTCTAAGTGCTGATGCTCTGGGCCCCTTTCTATCTTTATTTTCAATCTTCTGTTAGGTTTAGAGACAACTTTGTTTTCTCCTTGTGTTTTACTATATATCTTTAAGCTGGGGCTGCTAATATCTGTGCCACACCATCACTACAACTACAACCACCAGAACTTTAAGGGAACTAATATTGTAACAGTCGTAATGCCTTGGAACGCATGGGCTTTACTACCAGCAGGTTACATAGCTCTATATTCTCATTGACGCATATCCTCCTCTCTCTCTGCATTCCCTTTGACTCCAGTCCAAGCTCACACCAGGCCCTCTTTCACTTTCACTTGGATCATTGCAATAGCCTCCTCTTTTTGTGGCTCAGCCTTCCTGCTTCTAATTCATCAAAGAACACCTGTGTTAGATGCATCTGTTTGTGACATTTCTCTATTCAGAACCCTGAATTTGGGTCCTTTCAATCACTGGTATTTGAGACCCACAAGATCTGGACCCAAACTACTTTTTCAGTTAACCCCAGAGTGCCCCAATTTTTAACATCAATCAGACAATATTACTACCTGTTTTAAAATTCTCATCTGGCTTTTTACTGCACTTAGAATAAAATCTCATCCTCTTGTTTTGTCTTTCAAAGCCTGGGTGACCTGTTATCTAGCTTCCTCTCATATACTTACTTTCTCCCAGTTGTTCATTCTACTCCAGCAGCACTAATGCTGTCAAATTCTTTGAACACACTTTGCCCTCACATTAAGGTCTTTGACATAGCTTTTTCAGTTGCCCCTAACTCCCTTCTTCTTGCTTATCATTTGGTGGTTTTTTCCTGGTCACTCTACTGTCAGTATAAAAATCACCTCCTTAGAGGTATCTTCCTTGATCTCCCTGAGTGTCATTACCCCCCAGTCACTCTATAAAATTCTCAACTTTAGCACCTACTTATTGCTATCTTGTGTTTTCATGTTCACTTCTTTAGTACTATTGTGTATTTACTAGTGTTTGATTCATTCATATGCTGTCTATGAAGACAGGAATTGTGTCTGTTTTCATCATCTTAACTCTGGTCCCTAGAAAAGTACCTGATGCATTTTGGGCACTTCACCAAGAGTTGTTGAAATAAATAATGGAAAAACCATAGTAATTGCAAGGGTTATGGAGGAGGAAGTAGTTGTGATAGCAAAAATCCTTTGAGAAGATTATGGATTTATGGAACTGAGAAGACACATGAAGAGGATACCCTGGGTATAAGAACACAGGGAACATATAGTGCATTCTGGAATGCTTTGTTATAAATACATTGTAGAATTGTTAGGAGAAAGGGGTAAGTGGAGGGTAATTGAGGTGTAATAGCAGGAGAAAAGAATAGACAAATGGGAAGATAAGAGTCCTTTTGTTGAGATAATGATTTCTTCATGAGTCACAGCAAAATATATCAGTGGTACAGCATAGGACATAGGAAAAATTTTCAACTACATAGTGGAGATTGGCCCACCCTCTCTGTAAAATGTTAGTACTCATATCCTGGGTGTTAAGAAACCTCAGTCACTGAAGGTTTCCTGGATTCCTGATAGGCACATAACCAGAACAAAGACAGGTACCTCCTGTCAATACTTGCCTCTAGGGGAGAGGACCACATAGTCAAGAGCTAAAAATCATCCAAAAAGCCAGAAAGCCATGAACTTCAAATAAGCTAGTCACATAGGCATGCAAAAGTTCTCCACAGTTAGGTGAGACTCATCCAAGGAGACCATGTTCAGCAGCCTAGGCATAAGGAATGGGCTGTACATCTCCAGCAATGCAGGACAATTTGATGCAGGTTTTGGAAGTGTTTTCCGTGTGTATCTTAAAGTATTTGGATGTATTGCTTAGGGACTAGGAACAATGGAAGTACTTTCAAGTATTGAAGCAATATGATCATATTTTTGTGTTAGAAATATCAGTCCAGGCTAGGGATGTAGCTCAGTGGTACAGCAACTGCCTAGCTTGCACAAGGCCTTGAGTTTGATCCCCAGCACTGTATAAAAAGAAAAAAAATGACAAGAAAAAAAGCATTCTGACTGCATTTTAGAGAAATGAAAATAGATTATCTTGAGGAAAAGATACCAATTAGATGATTGCCCTGGTCTAGGAAAAAAAAACATGACATCTAAAATAGTGCTGTAGCAGTCAAGAGAAATTTAGAGAATGACTATATCTCATCAGCAGGTGAAGTCATCAGGATTTGTGACAGATTTGTGACAGATTGGCATGAAATGTTCAGACAGGGAAAGATTCTAAGCTTTCCCTCTCTGCTTCCACCTGATGGAGCACTTCAGGGTCTCTGTGGGCAGGTATGTGAGGGGGCTTGGGTCAATGATACTGTCTGATAGTAAGAACATACATTCCTTTTATGTTCCCCTTTTGGTGAAAGAGCCTTTTAGAGTCATACCAGTGCAGAGGCTTAGATTGAAATTTACTTTCTCCTTCCTGAGGCATACCACCTACAGAACAGTCCTCCATTCCCCTACTTCTCCACTATCTCTACATCCCACCTGCACAGAATTAAGAGAATACATCCTGCTCGTTCAGTCTCTTACGTGGGACATAGGAAAGAGAGAGCCATCATGCTCTTGTTTCTCTCACATGCAAATAGAATGAAACAAAGTGACAGGAATATATATATATATATATATATATATATATATATATACACATTATCACTTATTTTTGACAATATTTTCCAACTTAGCACTTATTTTTAGTCATTCCTTTACCATTATTTTTTCATTCATTTATATAAATTCATTTATACATTCACTTCAAAATTCATTATTCATTCATTCATTCATTTATATATGTATATATGTACAAACCCAGAACTCGTTTTTTAAAAATAAATGATTGCCTATATTTCAGGTATATGATATTATGTAGTGGGATTCATAAAATGGATGCTATTTGAGGCAAATTAACATCAATCATTTCACAGTCAATCATTTTTGTTTTGTTTTTGTGTCAAGAATAGCTAAAGTTTCCTCATTTGGCATGAATTCCATATACAGTACAATTTTATTGCCTGTATGTTCTTCATGTTATTTATTAGATCTCCAGACTTCTTTAGCCTATGTATCTGCTACTGTATGAGAGGGGAGAGGAAATAGTAAAAATATATTCTTCAGAGCTTTCTTATGGTCTTCTAATCAAAATTCAGTTTTAACAGACCCAACCATTATTGTAACCATGCAATACTTAGTTATAATTATCATGTATTTCTTCAATGTTTTCCTAGTTAGCACATTTCTATCTTATTTTCAGTCACTCCCTTGTCATTATTCTTTCACCTACTTATCCACAAAATACTTAAGCATCTTTTCTATAATGATAGGGAATCAGAACTGAGTAGGGCACAGTTTTTACCTTTGGCAAGCTTCTGCCAGTGCTCCCTCCACTTATTTATCCACTTGTTTGCTCTGCATTTGGGTTGTGGACCTCCTGCTCAGGAGAAAGGTCTGAAATGGAGATGCAAACAGAAGACCATAAGTAGGTCTAGAAAAAGAAAAGAATGAGAAGAGAACAGGGCCATGAAGGCAAGAACTCAGGAAAACCTTTACCATTGCAAATGAAGGCAGAGAGTTGAGGTAGATTCAAAGAAGCACTCAGAAAAAATAAATCCTCAAGACATTAGAGAAGAGCCAAGGGCAGCATTTTAAGCAAAAGGAAGTAGTCAATAGCATATATTGCTACACAAAGGTCAAGGAACATAAGGGTGGAAGTCTTCAAAGCAGCTTGGTAGGATGCTGGGGTCATAGGCTGGAGGGAAAATGGGGAGGAAAGGAAGTTAAGAAGGCTTAGTGGTAGAGAAAAGACAGAAATCGGGCAGAATTTGGGAAGACAGACAAAAGTCTAGCAAAGGAGATAAATTCTGCCTCTAAAGTGCAAAGCTGTGGAGAACAGGATCATTTTCTGTGGTGTAATTCTTGCCAGTTTTGCAGGCCCCCTACAAGCCTGGCCTCTGGTCCCTCTTCTATGAAAAGGAAGGTTGATGTTGACGAGAAAACACTTGCTCTTTCCACTTCTTTGTCCCTGTCTTTGCCCAACAGTGACATTCAGTTCTTTCAAATGTTAACATTAAAGACAACCATGGTGCTTAGAGGAGGTTTACATAGACACAGGATGTTATTCAAATGACCCAGTCTCAGACTCCTTTCCAGAAACTTCCAGTTTGAACCAGGGTGCCAAAGAGCAATAAAGATTAGCAGAGTATGTAGCTGCTTCTGAAGAGGCATTTTCTCTAGTTTCAGTGCTTAACATGCTCAGTGACACAGTACAGAGTCCTTAACTCTTCAGCACCCTAGACCCAGCACCATCCCGAAAACTGTACTATAGAGTGGGAGCAGATGGGAGAAGGCCTATTACCCTAAGGCAGTTTCTGAGAGAAATTATTACTCAAGGAAAATCTTCAAGCATCATCATCCTCCACATCCACACAGAAAAGTCCTGGCAACTGCCATTGAGTCAAGGATCTGCCTTACTGTTAACACAGAGATTTGAAGTTCAGGTCCATTAATAGCCAGAAATAGCGGATCCATGCACCTTCTGAAATTGTCTGAGACATTGCAAGTACACATTTCTAAGAAAGAATTCTAACTTTTTTTTTCAAAGTGCTTAAGACCCAAGTAAGTAAGAATCGCTATGTTAAATTAATGTACATTCAGGCAAGCCAGCTTGGCTAATCATTTACACTGAGTATGGGACTGGTGACCATTCCATCTTGAACATTCATAGTCCAGCAGAGCTGCCGCAGAACACCAGAGAAATGTTAAATCAATTTGGCAATGATTTTTACAGTGTCCTACATCTCTCAAGTGATCCATGACAGGTGAATCTTGGTATTTGGTGGTTAAAAGAAATAGACAAGTATGATTCATACATTGACTTGCATTTTCTTTTGTAGTTGTTGTACCTTGACCAGAACTACCTACTGGTCGTCTTAAAACCTTGAAATGTTTAAAATCAGTATTTTTTTGTCTCGGTTTCTGTCTTGGTCTCTCTCTCTCTCTCTCTCTCTCTCTCTCTCTGTCCATTAGAGAATTTGCTAAGGCAGTTTTTTGAAGCCAGATCTTGTTTAAAAGTATATACAAATAAGCAGCTCTGTTTGGAAATTTTGCTTAAATAAAATCTTCAAAAGTTTAAACAAAGAAAGAACTTATAATGGGAGATGGTGAATAGATTTGGACATTGATGATAGGAAATCAGGAGCCTCACTTGCTGTCCTCACACACACCCCTGGGCTCCAGAGCCACGGAAGCCTCTACAAATAAAGTTATGGAGAAAAAACATTTCTGAAGGGAACAGGAAGTGCAATTAGAGTTAAAACTGCTGCCTTCCTCCAAAGTAGAAACTCAGCCCAGGTCCAAAGCAAACATCATGCCATGTCAATGTGCTCTTCAGCAACAAGATTTTTGCTTCTTCACCTCCAAAAGTATTCTGGAAATCTATGTAACTTCTCCTTCCTTTCTAAATGGAGAGATAAAATTTTTCTTCATAAATTTTGTAAGAGAAAAGTTGGATTTCCAGAATATTATAAAAGCTATTATGACATTCTTAAAATTTATTTTTATTTTTATTTACCAGTGATTAAATACTGGTAACCCTTATCACTGAAACTATAAATAAACTCTTAAGAACAAGAAATTTTTGCTGGTGGAGCAACTCAAGTGGTAAAGTGCCTACCTATAAGTGTGAGGCACTGAGTTCAAACCTTAGCACCACCAAAAAAAAAAAGAAGAAAACAAATTTTATATTATTTATTTTCTCCTTTAATACTTGTTTCTATTGTGCTTCCTCTATAGAATTTTAACCTCAAATATTTTTCTTCTTTAACAGATTGGAGCAAATAATATATTTATTTTTGATTACCCTACTATACTTATTTGCAAAAATTAAAATATAATAAATCAAAATTTAAAAGAAGTATCATCTGAAACCATTCTCTATAGGTTCATTTAAAATTTTTCATTAGCATGCAATTATTTTGTCTTTTTTTTTTTGCAAGATTGGGGTTTGAACTCAGAATTTCACATTTGCAAAGCAGGCACTCTACTACTTGAGCTACACCCACAAGCCAGCATGCAATTATTTTAGTGAACAATGGAATAAGCTAGCATAAATATACTATAAATTTTAATTAGTAACTTAAACATTCCTATTTAACAGGTAATAAAGATGGATTTCTAAACAAGAGAGGAGTTTTTTCCCATTTGTGCATATCTCCAGGGAGGAGTTCGGCATCAGTCCTCTTCCTCTATTTCACTTTTAAGAATTTCAACATTGAGAAATTTCATTCACTTGAATAAGTAAACGGAAGTCTTCATTATAGGAATGCCTTTCAATTCTTTGCACTCCTTCTAAGTCACATGCCCCAAGATATATAGTGATATATCATCAAAACTCAGTCAAAACTGACAATTTGGTCCTCCCTCAAAGTTGATGAACAGAAAAATGGAACTGCTAGACTTGAAAAGTGATTTACTATACAATCATATGAAGCATTCAGTTCTTATTATCTATGCCAATGCATTACATGTCAATGGCATACCACTGTTTTTTATATGTAGGGGCAAGGCCTATATATAAAGTAAAAGAAGGGTGTGTTTTTAAGCAGATTGGTTTCCAGAAATAATACATCAAGTACACAAGAATTCGAATATAGATTTAATAAGCATTCCTTTTGTTGTGCACCTTTGAGGGAGTCGGGCTCATCTTCATTTCAAGATTTCTGATATAGCACTTAGAATGGTATTGAACAGAAATATGGCAGTAATAATACCTGAGGACACAATACAATCCAGAGAAAATTCAGTGGGTTTAGGTCCCCACTAAGGGAATACCACCACCCTTGCTGCATACATAACAGCACCATAAATAATATCATATTCTGGTTTTGATCATGGGTTCTACAGAGGTAGACTGGTTACTGTTCTAGCTCATAAGAACACAAAATATGCCTTGATGTTACTTATCAAAGCTAATATTCAGAAACTCCTTGAAGGAAAGTGAAGGCTTTTTATACAATGATGACCCCATTACCTGGCAGATTTGCACTGGCTCAAGCTGTACTCTTTCTCAGTATGTGATCAGGTTGTACTTACTAGTACACACATACACAAACACACACATCATCCACATCATTTCATTTACCCTACATAGTCTGTCACTGCAACCTGGTCTGTAGCAATTTGGAAATTCTATATGGGAGGGGTTTTAGTAGCAATTTGGCTAGAAGAGTAGTAAGGCTGCAATTATCCAGCAAATGCATTGTTTCTATGTTGGTTTTATGTTAGGGTGGTTTGGAGGGGTAGATAATGGTACCCGATTCAGCTTGGTCATGTCACCTACTCCATTATCCACAACAGCAATACAGTATGAATTTAGAAGCCTGGTGAAAAAGTAGAGTGGACAGACTTCTTGTTTCAAAGCCAGACTCTGCTGCTGTCATTTTGAAAAAGTTATTTAGATGCTCCAAGCTTCAGTATTTTCATGTGCAATATGAGGAAGTTGGACAAGATGAGTATTTCCACAATTTATTTATATAAAAGCATTTAAAACTGTTAATAGATTTGCTAAAATCTTAAGAGAAGGAAGATTATGAAAAATAATAGCTGTTATAGATCTAAGGGGAATAGATTTATTATGTATATATAAATGAATATGAAAAATACACACATATATATATATATATTGAACATGGAATAGTATCATGGATTTATGCTGAAATAGTAAAGCCAGAAGGTCAACCATAGATCAATAATAGAAAATAGATGGCCTATCACAGCATCACTGGTTGATGCTCTATGAAAAGTACAGGTCACACATTGTTTTGTGTGGATCAGGAAGTTCTTATGTGATTTCCTATTATTGTTGGGTATGAAATACCAGTTCCAAAAAGGGAAATTATTGCAAGATAACAATGACAGTTATATTCAAGTATTCAATATATTTTCTTTCATGTATATTAAAAATTGTATTTTAGAAGAAAAATATTGGTGGTCTGAAATAGTTACACAACAAACATTTATTGAACGAAGAAACGAACACTGTCCTTAGCCTGGTGGTAATATCAATCTTGGGCAGGACTTAGAAACAGAGAAGTGAGGAAAAAGGAGGAAGCAGAGGGCTTGCATAACCTTCCTAATAGAAATAGGAAGAGTTATCTCAACATGATTATTAACTGCATGTTTGTGGCCATGGTGGTTGAATTCAGGTGCTAATGTCTTTCTTGTTTCAGGCCAGCTGCCTAAAAGCCATCTGGAAGCCGAGATTCTGGAGCGTAGTCTTCGGAGCTGCTCAGCTCCTCTGGTTCAGTGCACTGATCTCTGGTAAATTTTAGTTAACTCTTCACCTCAGCCTCAGTAGTTAAGGCAGAGCCCAGGGCCAAATGGGAGACATGAAGGATTGTAGACAGTATGAGGCAGGGGAAAACTGTCCAAGTCCAGATTCCCGGTTGAAAAAATGCACCCAATGCCATCACACTGGTAGAAAAGCTGTCAGAAACAACAAACTGCCCTATCCAGGACAAATTTATCCATTAGGCAAGACAGCCACAGACCCACAGTGCTTTCAGGGATCCACAAAAATGTTGGAATTTCTTTTAAAATATTCTTCTTTGAAGTCAAATGTCCTTTGAAGAAAATTTTTTGAGATATAGTATTAATATATTCATCTTTATATTGCTTAGAGTCCATGAAAGTCATAATGCAGTCCTGACTAATAATGGTCTTTTTTTCATTGCTTGTTCATTTTTGGTTTTTATTTTTTTGAGACAGGGTCTCACTATATAGCCCAGGCTGTCCTTAAACTCACTATGTAGCCCAGGCTAGGCTTGAACTTGTGACCTTCCTGCCTGAGCTGCTGGGATTACAGGCATATGCCAGCAAGCCCACCTATGGAATAAAGTCTTAAGGCAAAACAATGCCATAGAGGTGTTAGTGAGGACAGTAGAAATACAGCTGACCCTCATTCAAGCAGTGGGGGAAAGGGCTGAATAGAAACAAAGTTTTATAAACAGGAAGAGGAGCCATTTCCAGGCCTAATTGCTTGTATTGTATACCTCTTCACATGGGAACTGGCCTCTTCAGCCCGGGTGAGCTCCCACAGGCTACAATAACAATACACTGCATCATAGTGCCTTTATGGCACATTCTTTATTTCATTTGATATCACAAACACTTGAGAAGAAGGGTCTATTTTAATAAGTGAGTAAGCAGACGTAGGGGAAGTAGAGTAATTTATCACAAATTATGTACTCATGTATGAAAATGGAAAAATGAGACCAGTTGAAACTATTCCAGGAGTGGGGGTGGGGAGGTAAAGGAGAATGATGGAGGGGGTGAATTCAACTCTGATATGTTATAAGAACTTTTGTAAATGTCACAATGTACCCCCAGTACAACAATAATGTGATAATTTTAAAAATGTATAAAAAAGAAAAAAAGAACAGCCAAGAGAAGTGAAAAGAGTGTCAGATTGTAAATCAGGAGACCTTTCTAACCTTGGCTTTGCTAAAAATCTTTGTTTCACTCATCCAACAGGATGATGGATGCCCAGCACTACCCTTGGTGCTAAGGACCCAGAGCTAAAGAGAGACCACCATGAGGGACTCACAATCTAGCAGACATGAACCACAAACATTACAATAGTGAGCAATAAGGGTGGTGGGGTCAGGGATGAGGTGCAGTGGGAGCCAGGAGGAACAAACACTTGAGCCTACCTGGGGAAGTCAAAGAAAGAAGGGGAAGTAAAGTTTAACAGGCACAAGAGAGGAGGGCAGCCAAAATAGCAGGAAGAACATGTACACATGCTGGACATGGTGGTACACACCTTTGACTCCAGCACTCCAGAGGCTAAGGCTGTGGGATTGCCAGTTTCCAGCCAACTGAGCTACATAGGAAGACCCTGTCTCGAACAAAACAGATTACAAAAAGGTGGGGAAATGGGTATTTTGTAAGGTCAAGAAAGTAAACATGGTGGATGGTAAAACATCCTCTAGAGCAGTCAGTAGGTCTTCCACCAAACATTTTATGTGTAATTTAATTTGGAAAAATTACTCAATATTGTTTCCTTCACTTATAAAATGAGTAGAGTAAATTGAATGACCTCCAAGTTCCCTTCCAACTCTTGTATCTTACAATTCCAAATCTTTAACATCAGGAATCCTCAGAGAGGGCATTTCCCTATTCTGACTTTAGATACAATTTTAAGCAAAATATGGAAACCACTGTTTTTCCTCAATATAACTACATTAGACATAACATAGTCATGTTTTGGCATTCATCTTCTGGTCAGAAATGCTTCTGACTATACAGAAGTGCACTTAGGATTACAGCCTCCTTCTGATTAGGGATGCTAACTTGATATTCATTCTTCTTTACTCTAGAGTTATCAAATCAGAAAGAAGTAGCAGCGTGGACCTATAATTACAGCACAAAGGCATACTCGTGGAATTACTCACGGGCATTCTGCCAGAAGCACTTTACAGATTTAGTGGCCATCCAGAATAAGAATGAAATTGCTTACCTCAATGACGTCATACCCTATTACAGCTCTTACTACTGGATTGGGATCCGAAAGATCAATAATAAGTGGACCTGGGTGGGAACCAAAAAGACTCTCACAGAGGAGGCTGAGAACTGGGCTGACAATGAACCCAACAACAAAAGGAACAACCAGGACTGTGTGGAGATTTACATCAAGAGTGAGTCAGCCCCTGGCAAGTGGAATGATGAGCCCTGTCAGAAGAGAAAGCGGGCACTGTGCTACACAGGTAGGGTCTTCTCTACCCTGAAACTTGACGGCTAAAAATATCCCTTCCTTCTCTGGTCAATGTCACCACAGAGTCAGAAACATGGAGCACATTGAAGAACATAAGATAAGAATTACAGAAAAGTAGCTATTTGAAACTAGTGGGAATTTTTAATACCATTCAACCCACCCTTTTCATCTCATAGTTGATGAAATGGACTCTCAAGAAGCTTTAGTTTCTTAAGGTCATAGAACAGAGCAAAAACAAAGTTAAGACTGGAAACCAGTCTCCTAAATTTTAGTTCTAGAGCTTTTCTTTACCATTGTGTTAATCTAAGAGAGGTTATAAATTAAAAGGGAATTTTGCATTATACCTATGAGGCACAGCTATAGTTAATACCTGTTGAGTGCCAATATATTTCAGTGTTATTAGTTATTCTCTATTATTTTGTTCATGTGTCATTTGTTCATTTAGTAGTAATCATATTTAATCCTCATAACAACCTCATCAGTAAGTTTCTTCTTTTATTATTACTCTTATTTTGTGGGTTGGGAAGGGATCAGAGCTATCATATAGTCTGCACAAGATTCTAAGCTACTTGATGGTGAAGTCAGCTTCAAAGTCACGTATACTTCAAAGTTGGTACTTTCAGCTACATGCTTCCCACATTCTTTGCTTTACATTTTCATGAGACAATTTGAGAACATGACCAATGATCATAAATGCTTTACAGATTCTCTTCAACAAAAATATACCTTGAGGTCCATAGGACTTTGGTGGGAGGGTGAGGGACCAGGAAAGGAAAGAAGTAGTTGAAGGTGGATCATGTGAGTATATTTGATTCTCAACTGTCAGTTCCCGAGTAAGCAGACATGTGTGAACTCATCATCCTCCTGCAGACTTGTGCCAGAGCTGATTTCATCTTTCTGATGTTGCTTCCTGCCTAGAAGGGTGGGAGAAGGGACTCCTGACCCTTATAGCACATAAACCCTGTGACTTCCCTGAGAAAAAGAGTCCTGGGTACTCTGAAGCTTCTCTGATAAATCATCTTATAGGTGCCATATGTTCTAAATTCTCTAGATGGTTATCCTTCTCCTCAGAGGACCTGAAAAATACACAACATAGAACAGAATACATAGTGTAGAGTGTTGTTTTACATATTCTCTCCTCACCCAAGCCTTCTAGGAGAGGGAAAACATATCCACAAATTCATTGCCAGATAGTCAGATTTTGTTTTGTAAATAATATCATTATGTATCAATTAGTTAGCTCATAACCATATATTCACAGACCAGGATGGAAATTATGAGGGTATTAACTCATCTCCAGGATGGCTGATATATTTTCTGGACTGTGTCTGCCTCAAACTGTTCCTAATCAGATTATCTTGGCTGCTACACTATGTTTCAATATGCCATTATTTTCCCTTCTCACTCAACCCTCAACATACATTTCTCCAATAAAGCTTGAAAAATTAAAAGATGGAAAAGAGATTGAAAGTTATTCACATAAGTGATGCCATTACTCTAATTAGCAATGATGATCTGACATCACTAATTGGTACAATTTCAGCTGAACACTGATGGTTCCATCTCCACCAATACAAAACTCTAGGCAACTGCTACCATTGGTTGGCATTTTGCCATCCAAAATTTAAAGAATGTAGGGAGCCATCAGTAATCTGGGAGATAGATGACAAATAGATATGTATACTGAAGCAAGAAATTAAATTGGCTTATTGAAACAATTCTCTACATGTCAAGAATTTTTAGATCTCAGAATAGGCTATCAAAAAAGATTTATTTGTAGAATCATAAATTATTCCCCTCACTGGAGATCCAATGATCTAACTTGCCTGGAAACCCTGAAATAGAATAGAATTTTAAAATTGGCTGTGTTTTTCATTCCTGAATACTGAGATCCTGAAGAAACTAAAACAAAGCAACATCTGTATGTTTTGAAAGCAAGGCAAGCAGGTTTTGTTACTGTAAGGTTCTGGTGGGGTCAAAGCGGGGGACAAAGTAAACAGGATGAAATATGTGGACCAAACCTCTACCTCCTAGCTGCTATTGCCTCCTGCATCTTCTTCCCAATGCCTCCACACAGCCTCACCAAACTCACTGTCTGCCATGGGAACTTGTTCCTCTAGAATATTGCCTAATTTTTATCTCAACCAGCAAAAACCCTTGTTCCTTCCTATTATTGCTTATACTCTCTCTACAACAAAATTAGAAATAAGGGCAAAATAGTTTCTGCTGGGTATTGGTGGGGGGAGAGGAAGGGGGCGGAGAGGGTGGTAAGGGAGGGGGTGGGGGCAGGGGGGAGAAATGAACCAAGCCTTGTATGCACATATGAATAATAAAAGAAAAAGGAAAAAATGTTTACAAAAATTAAAAAAAAAAATTCTCCTGACTCACACTCTAGTGGGCTGAGATTACAACTGTATACCAGCACACCTGCCTGGAGATTACCTGCCTGGAGATTTGTCACGATTTTCTAAACATAATAAAATAATTTAATCTGTAAATACAGAGTTTTACTTCCTTTCCAAAAAAAAAAATTTTGGAACTGTAGCATCTCACAGTTGAGAGGGATCTAGAGATTACCTAGCATAATCATTTATGTGACTTATGGATTTCCTTTAGAAAAATACCCCAAAGTGTACAATATGTAGGTAGGGCTTAATGCAGAGAAATGGTCTCTAGAAATGATCACTAGCCACAGACCATATCCATACCTATGAACTCAGAAATAAAAACATTCTTAGTGCATTCACTGTATCAGGCCTAACCCTCCACCAAATGTATAGACCCTCCAAAGAGTCTCTGGCATGAAAGAAGAAACTGGCTGGCCCTTCTCTACTCTGTCACCCAGTGGCACACATGTAGTGAGGAGAACCTGACAGGACATCTAAACATGACATATTTAGACTATGAAACATATTCTCATAAGATTTTCTTTTAACATCCCATTTGGCTTCTCTGCTCCTCTACCATAAGAAATTGTGTATAGATTTGAAGCAAACAAAAGGTAAAAGATATTTGGCCCTAACATTGGGAAAGCTGAGCTCAGAAAAGTAACCTGCCTATGGTCACAGAGAGAGCAGGCAGCAGAGCCAGATTCAGATCACATGTGTGTGACCCCCCCCCACCCAGTGTTGTTCCTAATGTTCATGCCATAACTCCTGACATTGGTTAGAAAACTGAAACGCATTTTGTACCAGATGGGAGAATTCGTCTATCCTCACATCTAGGCTCCATTGTCTCTGTGTCCATACACAGCAATGCTGATACTAAACACAGCATGAAAGGGTAGCCATATGATTCTCCAGCAGACTCCTACAATGCCTTTTGCAGGGAACAGCTTAGCTCCCCTGATGGCATTGTTATTTTCTGCTGACTGATGATTTCAGGCTTGCCTGTGAGGAGCTGAATCTATGTCCCGTCTCCTGTGAAAGCCCGTGATTCTGAACCTTCTGTGTCTGTTCAGCCTCCTGCCAGGACATGTCGTGCAATCAACAAGGGGAATGTATCGAGACCATCGGGAACTACACCTGCTCCTGCTACCCTGGCTTCTATGGGCCAGAGTGTGAATATGGTGAGCCTGCTCCTTGGTTGATATTATTTAGCCATTGTTCTTATGCAAATTATGGTTCCAGAAATAAATTATGTTGGAGACTCTAGTAAGTATAGTCCCAGGCCCCCTCTACCACCTGTCTGCCTGCTGTCCTCAATTATCTCCAGACACACTGGGTAAAATCACTTTATTCTTTGACAGAACATTTATACATACAATTTCATGGAGGAAAAGGGACATGAAAAGGGAGCAAGATAAAGATAACCCCTTTAATTAATTTTGCCTGTTTGAAATAAAAGATCAATGAAAGGATGTTTATTTCTCAAGATGCAGGCAATGCAAAGGAACCCAGCCAAGCAGCTTAGGTTTGAAGCCTAGAAAGATAGAGTGAAGAGGGTTCCACAAAATAGTTATAGCTTCTAACAAATGTGACAGTGTTTTAAAAGTCTCCAATGAAAAAATTAATATTTTGCTCCATGCAGTTAGAGAATGTGGAGAATTTGACCTCCCTCAACACGTGATCATGAACTGCAGCCACCCTCTGGCAAACTTCTCTTTCAACTCACAGTGCACCTTCCACTGTGCTGAAGGGTACGAATTGAATGGACCCAGCAAGCTGGAATGCCTGGCTTCTGGAATCTGGACAAATAAGCCGCCACAGTGTGTAGGTATGTACACATTATTCTTTCCATCCTCACTGACAACTAGAATTGGTGATGGGAGGGTGAGATTTCTCTATTAAAAATGTGAGAGATAGGGCTGGGTATGGTGGTACATGGCTATAATCCAACCTAGAGGTGGAGATTTCAATTCTGAAGCCAGCCTATGGCAAACGCATGAGACCCCCACCTAAAGAATAAACTAAAGCAAAAAGGACTGGGGACATGGCTCAATTGGTAGAATGTTTGCCTAGAAAGTACAAGGCCTTGAGTATAAACTTCCATACCAACAAAAAAATTAAAAATGTGAGAAATAACAAGGATCTATGCTAGATGGAAAATTTTAGTTATTGCTGTTACTTGTCCACCAGAGCAACACTGATTTTGATTTTCATGGTATTTTGTACTATAGAGAGAGGTAGTCAGTTAATTCTTAAGCAAAATCATAGGCAGTTTGCTTCTTAGGCAAGAACATTATAAAAGAGATCCCTTTCCTTTTGTTATTTACAAAGTAAATAGAGGACAATGATGAGAATTTAGGGATTGAATATTACTAATTTGACAACATCACCCCTGCTTCTTTAAATGAAAAATGTTTGGATCTTCCCAAACAGCTATTGAAAATAATATTTAACCAACCCAGAGCGTCACCTTGCCTGCCACTTTGGGATTCTGTATCTACTACAGAATCCCAAGGCTTCCAAGGTACTGAACGTCTCATCCACATTGCTCTGTGGTTATTTTTAACTGCCTCGTGCCCACTCCTGAAGACTGCTGGATAAGGCAGCCTGACCTGTCTTCACTGCAAAAACATTCCAGCACCAGTCTAGCAGTAGCTTCAGTTGCAAACAGAGATTTGCATTAGTTGGGCAGAAGTGCTACAGTGCAGAGCCTCAGAGATGGGGACAGCCCTAATTCTGATGTAAAAAGTGGGGTGGGGGGGAGGTTGAAGACATACTGCAAGTAGCTTCAGAATTGTCTTGTTTGTAAATTTCCTGCAAGGGGGAAAGGGTGACACCTACTTCTACATGTAAACTCTAGAAGGCCTACAGGGAGAAGTTTATAATGGTGTAAGGAATAGAGGATGTTAAGAATAGAGCCTGGAGGAATCTGTGTTTTCAAGAGATCCAGAGCATGTTGAAGGCTGGTACTCCCAGAATTGTCCAGAGACAATTTGGGTCTCCCTGTCCTTCCACCTTCCTGGCTCCATGTCTATTTCCCCAGGCAGTTCCACCATTGCCTTCCACCTACCAATGTGGGGTTTTTTTTGTCCATCTTCAGTGCTTTTCTCTTTCTTTATCCTTTGTTTATTCTTTTCAGCTATGCAGTGTCAGCACCTGGAAGCCCCTAGCAAAGGAACCATGGACTGTGTGCATCCACTGGCTGCCTTTGCTTATGGCTCCAGCTGTAAATTTGAGTGCCAATCTGGCTATCGAGTGAGGGGTTTGAACACGCTCCACTGCAGTGGCTCTGGTCAGTGGACTGCACCCTTGCCAGCCTGTGAAGGTAGGATTTTTTTTTTTTAGCAGCCTCCAATATACTCAAGAAGGGTTCATGGCACAGTAGAAAAACAAAGGGCTCTTAATATCAGGATGACCTCCTCTAGGATTGGACGCAGAAACAGTTTGTTTAACCTCTGGATCCAGACTTCTTATTGGTGAAATGGAGTTAGGAATTGCAAGGTGCTTTTGTGGTGATTAAGTACATATAAAGTGTACAATGGAATAGCATGTATAAAGTGCCTGGCATAGACCTAGGCAATTGCTCAACTTTAGTTTCTGGCTCCTTTTCCCCATCCCTGTCTCACTGGAGTATACAAACTGCAGGACAATGTCCTCTACTTGAGAAGGAATTAGAGCAGTGGCTATTAGACATACATAAAGAGATTCCCCCTCATAGCCTTTGGCAAAGAAGCAAAGGAACCCTGTGTTAAAGAAGAGCATGTGATGCAATCCTAGGCAATTACATAACAGCATGAAACTGAATTTTGTGCAATGTCTCACACCCTCAGTTTATAAAGCAGAAAGGAGGGACAGAAGGAGAAGAAAACTGAAGTGATTAGTGAATTCCCAAAACTAGATTAAAAGCCCAGCTCAAATACTATTAGCTATGAATCTTTAGGGTGGCCACTTAACATTTCTGAATCTCATTTTTCTCATCTGTAATGTAAGAAAGAAGCACCAGCAGATCCTTGGTCCTTAAATGACCTGATTCTGTTAATTTAAAAAAACCCATAATACAGAAGTGAAGTTCAGGGTGAACAGGGAATGGGTAGTCACTATGCTTTGCAAAGTCCTAGGAGGAAAATGGTCCTTATCAGAACTGAGGTCATCCAGGGTGTAATTGTGCTCAGGAACTCACTTTGGGCTGCACTCACTTGGCAACAAAGTCTGATTAGGATGACATCCTGTGTTCCAAGGACAAAGCCCATTAGGGTTCATTTTGCAGAACTAGATAGTAATGTCAATAATATGCTATGCTATTTCAGCTTTTTGCTTACAACCCTGGAGTTTTTCTGTATCTAATATCTTTTCAGTCCCCCTAAAATATGCTAATAAATATTTAATGAGCACCTTTGATGCACTAAACATTGCTCAAGGCTAAGGATGCAATTCCTAGGCTCACCCCAGCCTCAAGGAAACTGGAGTAATGGGGAAGAATTGCAATCATGTATGAACAGCACAAAAACAGGGAGTGTGGGTGCCCACTGGAAGAATCCTACCCCTGTGTTAGGGTGGGCAAAAATGGATTCCTATGGACAGTGAAGTTTATGCTGAGATTTGAAGAGCAGGTCAGGGAAAAGAGGCATGTGGGAAGGGAGGATCTGAAGTTCTGAACATATTGACAATGTGGATAGGAAAGACAAAATGTAACCTCACACAGGAATCTCTTCTGAAAAACAAATGGTCCCTTCCATGACTCAGTTTCCTATACACCCTTTTCCATGTAGCAGTTGCATGTGAGCCACTGGAGAGCCCCGTCCATGGAAGCATGGATTGCTCCCCATCCTCAGGAGTCTTTCAGTACAACACCAACTGCAGCTTCCATTGTGCTGAAGGCTTCATGCTGAAAGGAGCTGACATCATTCAGTGTGCAGACTTGGGCCAGTGGACAGCACCAGCTCCAGTCTGTCAAGGTACTGTGATGTTAAAACATTCCTTCTGTGCCTCTCAGGCACTAAGGGCATCAGTATATGCATTCATCACTGCCATCTGCTTCCCCATCAGACATTCACTGAAAACCCATTATATGTTGGGCTCTTTGTGTTCAGTGCTAGGGATGAAATGGTGAACAAAGCCAGCCTTAAGAATGAGGTATTCATCACAACATAGTCCACATGCGAGTTGCTTTGATTGGCATGTATGGGGTGGGTTGAGGAGATCATAACTAATAGGGAAAGGAATAATGCATGAAGAACAGCATAAGATAGAAGAGACACGGACAAGGCAGATAGTCCAGCTTTCATTTCCTATAAATAAGCTTTTGGACTCTATAAGCTCAGGGTACAGCTATCTGCCTTACCTTCTGTCTCCTGTGTCACCACCAGTTGTGAATCATTGTGTATAAAAGCAACTTTAAAACTGTTATCATCTTTATAAACATGAGGAAAAGAGTGATGAATACACTTTTTTATAAATCATTTGTCTGTGGGCTAATTTAACAAAATGACCCTTTTTCAATAGCTCATGTTTTCAATGTTTTGCTCTTATATGAAAACTAAGGCATAAAGAGATCACTAGGATTTTTTTTTATTATACCGGCATCCCACACAAAGTCATGTTCCAGAAGTACAATATGAACATTTTGTGCTACCACTTACTGGTGCCCCTCAGTTATTTACATTGATCCTGTGGATCTACATATATCCTGCTTTAAAATGAGGCTTTAAGGAGATATTTGAACATCCATGTTCCGCATAGCAGCATTAGTCACAATAGTTAAAATATGGAAGCAACCCAAGAGAACATTAATGAATGGATGGATGGTGGATGGATGGATGGACAAAATGTAGTGTGCACATGCAATGGAATAGTATTCAGCTTTAACAAGAAAGGGAATTGCAACATATGCTACAACATGAATGAAACTTAAGGACACTATGTTGCTAAGGGAAATAAGCCATATGATTCTACTTATTCTTGCTTAGAGCAGTCAAGATCATGGAGACAGAAAGTAGAATGATGGGGGAGTGGGAATGAGGAGTTCCTGCTTAATAGCTGTGGTGTTTCAATTTGAGACAATGAGAAGACATCTGGAGATGGATAGTGATGATGGTTGTATGACAATATTGGTGTAATTAATACCACTGACCTCTACATTTAAAAGTATTTAAGTGATAAGTGGTCAATTTTATGCTGTATGGATTGACTACAAAAAAAATTGAAAAGCAAAAACTAATGAAGCAGTGGAGGAACAGATGTCCATGATTTGCTATTATACATAATATCTTAATAAATATCTCTGAATTTATTGTTTTGGTGCACTTTTCATGCTTCTCAGAGATTCTTGTGTTCAAAAGTATGATAGTTTAAGATTACTAATACATATAGCCAAAATGCTAAAGAATGGTTCAGCATTGTCTTAATAAAATCCTTCATGTATCATTAAAATTAAATGACACTTTCATCCAATTTAAATAAGCCCAATTCAAGAGCCCTAGTGCCAATCTAGTTCTTGGCACAAGAAGGTGTTAATGGGTCAAAATCAACCAGTACTTGCATATTACTGTTTCCTTACTGCCTTACTTCCTCCCCTCTTAGCTTTGCAGTGCCAAGATTTTCCAGTTCCAACTAAGGCCCAGGTGAACTGCTCACACCCTTTTGGTACCTTTCGGTATCAGTCAGTCTGCAGCTTCTCTTGTGAGGAAGGCTCACTCCTAGTGGGAGCAAGTGCATTACAGTGCTTGGCTACTGGACGCTGGAGTGCTATTCCTCCAGAATGCCAAGGTAAGTGTGCATTCTTCCCCATCTCTTGGAAATAAATTGGAGACACTGTTTTCAAAGGCTTATTTTTAGAGGCAGTAACAGTGTAGAGTGTCCTTGAAATGAACTGGAAGATTTATAAATATGGTCATTCATCCTTCCATCCTGTAACCCAAGAATCCCAAATGCAAATGTCTTCAGAGGCTAAGCAGACACCTTGAGTGTCAAGAAGCTTAGCAACAGGCAATGGGGGATTTGTTGGCCCGCATGAATGCCTTCTCAAGGTCTTTACCAGGACCTGAAGACTCCTATCAAGAATTAGGTGAACTGTACTCACTAGCCAAGCATAGTATCTGGAAAGTAGACTAGAAGAAAAAAAAATAAAACCCAAGGCTGACCTATCACTTTCCTGTTAGAAATCATGGCGTGTACTAGTGAAATGGGAGGGTCAGAATTTACAGGATCTAGTTGCAAACATACTACAAGATGTGTATAATATTGGAAAAACATACTTAGCATAAAGTAGAGCAAGATGGAAAGGGGAAGGATCCACTCCACAATCTGAGGTTACAGGATTCTCAAAAGAAAGAAATGTGCAGAGTTAGTATAAGCATTTAAATCTGCCTTGTACTTGATATTAAAAAGCCAGTGTGTTCTGTCAATACCATAATGTCCTGCATGAAATAAAACTGGTTCTATTCAACTGTGTTTGTGAATTGAAAATAAATGTATATTTTTTTATATTCCCCATTCCTTTTTCTTTCAGTGTATCCAATTCTTTAGTTAGAAGTGTAGCAAACACTGATTTTTACAAAGCAAATTTCCATTTATAAAATCTACAAGAAAAATAAGAAAATAGACAAATGAAAACCATCCTCTTAAATAGCCCATCCTAAAACAGATGTTGCTAACATCCCAATATGAATTTTTTCAATATTTTCTCTGTTTTCCCCCTTATGCGATTAGTGTTTTCAAATTTAATAATATAGTTCAATTGGTAAAACACAAAATATTTCTGTACTATTTACAATGCCTTTCATTTTGTACAGACTGCCAATATCTGAGTTAAAGCAGCCAGATACATGTTTTTTGTGAAGAGGAAACCACTGTCTATTCAGGTCACACACAAGTGCACATGTACACACACACTCCACTGTTAAGTTAGGTCAGCAGTAAGTGAATGAGTAAATAAATGAATTAATAAATGAATGAACTGAGCAGAATTGAATGTCCTTCCTCCCCAAGGCACTAGAACTGGGGTTGGAGATCCAAAACTGGATCTGGAAAAAAAGGTGGGATGTGACCTTGCCCCCTCAGCTCTCTCATACTGGCTATACCTCAGCCCGGATATAGGACAAAATCTACATGGCTTTGAGGGAGAACCTGGAATCCCTGAGGAGGGTTCTCACTGTGATCAGAACCCTTCTGGGAAATCCTGTGCTGTGCAGGGCACAGATTACAGTTCATTGCTCCATATTGCCCTGCCTGTGGGTGTTTCACAGCAAAGAGGTTGCCACTTGCCCCGCTTCCTGTGACCTCCCAGTTCCCTTCTGCTTTTGGTTCTTTGTTTACTCTAACTGAACTTTCTCCTCTTGTATGCTGGGTGAACATTAAGTGAAATACCCAAATGTTGGGGCAGGAAGGTACCCTAAGGCTTGCACTAGCTGTTGTAACACTCTGGAGAGTGTTATCAATTTCCCTTTTTACTGTCCCCCACAGTCTTCCACATTCACCCCTGCTGTGAAAAGACAAAACCACAGAGGAGCTGGAAATGGGCTCCTCCAAACCAAGGGTTTGTTCTTATCATTTATAGGCTTCTTGAGTTGTCACCCCTCCCACCCTCCATATGCAGTGAATACAGAAAGGCTTTCCAAGTGGCAGGAAGTAACTTGGTCTTAGACAAATTGATCAAATTGAAAGAAATGTAGCCAGAGAGGGCAAGTGACGAAGAAAGAGAAAGGTATAGAAATGCTCTCACAAAGTATCATGCTAATCAGTCAGTGGCTGAAAATGGCCCTGGGACAGCCATACCACCACTGTCTCTGCCCTAAAGCCACGACAAACATTGAAGAAGTCCCTGAAACCATGTATTCAGTTAGTCATTACTGTTAAAGGTCAATAGAGTCTGGACTTTATTTCATTAATTGGTAGAGAAACATTTTGAGGGCTATTAACATTTGTATTGAGAGTGTTTTCACTCAGGAATCTCAGGAGCTATGCAATACTATTTTCTCCTTGTTAAGGTATCGAAATTCAGAGAGGTTAAGTGACTCGCCAAAAGTCACAGAGCATGATCACAAACCCAGGGAAGTCCCTAGACCCTCAAACTTTATGTTTATGTATAGTGGTAAAGAACTATGAGACCTAATTTAACTTTTTGTTGTTGTTAAGTGAAAAAGTAGAGTTGCTTGTGGCTGGCCACTGTAGGATAAGACTATTGAGAAGAGGTGGCAGTTAGCATTTGCCCACAGTTGAGGAATTATTTGCCTACTTTGTGTCCATGGCTTTTATTGTTTTTTAAATTTGATTTTTTACATATGACTCATTGAATTCATTGTATAGTTAAGTATTCCTAGAAGGTGAGAATTATATGTTTTTCTGTTCCAAAGATGCAGTATCTGAGTCTCAGAAAAAGTTACTGTGCAGAGATACATTGCTAGTAAGTAACAAAGCCATAATATGGACTCAGATTCTTTCCACTGCCTGCTTGAGGAAAGGGAAAGAAAGTAATTTACTCTTTTTTCCTGTTTCTTATCGCTTGTTATCATTTTTTGGTAAGGTCATTAGCTCTGCTTCTGAAGAAGGTATCAAGGGAGCAAACTCTTCCACTCCTGTCTAGGGTGAACTAAAATGAGCTGCACCACTATCTTTCCACACACAGCACCAGCTCCCTTTTAAAATCTCACCTAAAGCCTTTTGTGGGTGACATCTCAGAATGTCAATCAAATGTAAGTTTACTATCTCACACTTCCTCAACCTCTAACCAGAAAGAAAGCACCATGAAATTCAAACGACAATCATCTTTAGCCAAACACTGTCCTTGTGTATTAAGGATGCAACACACACACACACACACACACACACACACACACACACACGACTGATTTCAGGTTGCTGAGTACTAATGTGATCTCTTTTCTCATTCTCTGCCATACCCACATTAGCCATTACCTGCACACCTCTCCTAAGCCCTCAGAATGGAACAATGACCTGTGTCCAACCTCTTGGAGGTTCCAGTTATAAATCCACATGCCAGTTCAGCTGTGATGAGGGGTTTTCTTTATCTGGACCAGAAAGATTGGATTGTGCTCCATCCGGACACTGGACAGAATCCCCACCAACATGTGAAGGTAGGTGTGAAGGGCTCTCCTTATGACTCTTCAGATAGCATTATAAGATGGAGACTCATCAGGGATTCTTATTAAAGTGTTCTTGATATCAAACAACACACTATCCACAAAGCATGGGACTCTAGACCAAGTTTTCTTTCGCTCTTTGAGTTAAATATAAATTTCATAGTTCATGGTATGTGCATAGAATTAATAAATTCATAACTCCTGTTTAGTTTCATGTTTAGTTTCAACCATGCCAAAAAGCATGGTTGTTCCAATTTATTGTTTGGTATAGTCAGTTAATAATAATGAGACTGCCAATAATAGCTAACATTGTTTGTGTAGGTCCAGCTATTTCATATGCATTTCAGTCTACACAAACCACTATAAAAGTCACATAGCTAGGAAGTATGGAGGGCAGAATTCAGAGCCAGGCCTAGTATGACTGCAGGTTTTTACCATGACACTACATTGCCACCCTATGGCAGGGCTTCTAAATTCTGGATCCATCACTGGAAAACTTACTTTTCTACTGCACAGGTTGCAACTGAAACTGCTGAAATAAACTTCAAAGTTTAGAAATGGCAGATCTACTGACTGATCAGCAGTCAGAAATCTCTTAGAGTTATATGAAAACAGATAAAAATTATTTATTCCTCCTTCACAATAAGTACTAGATTAATATACAAATACCTGTATTGTTCTCTCCTTCTTTCCATGAGGTGCTATTAGGAAAGTCCTGTCACTCCCCTGAGGCCTCAACTGCAAAAGGAGAGGAGTGGACAAGATTGTCTCTGAGGTCTTTTCCCTGGCCCAGAATTCTGTAGGTTAAAGGACATAAAATACTACCATCTGCTGTCAAAAAGATTTTCTACAAGCCACTTGAGGGATCTAGAAAATTTCTGAGGCTAGCATTAAGGCTGTGCTTTGTTGCTCATTTCTTTATTTATAACTCTTTCATTCACTTATTCCATTGATTTTTATCATGAACTTTATTCTCCTATATTCTGTTTTAAGACTGAAGAAGCAAAAATCCCTTAAAAACCTCATCAAAATTTTAAATCATTTATGCAACCAACATGGTTGTTAAATCTGTAATCTCAGAAGCCCGTTTTACTTCACTCCTTCCTAGCCCTCTTGTCTCTGCAATAGAAAGCATTGCCTCTCACCTGTGGGCCATGACATGGATGGCACCTTAAGCTACCCAAGGTCAGAATTGTCGACTTTATCTGATTCTGATTTTGAGATATGTTTTTTTTTTGTAGCTATGTTCCTACCTCATTCTCCAAATTTACAACCTATATTTAGAACAGTGATTCTTCTTCTTGTCCTTATCCTTGAAATTTTAACCCTCTGCAGTGTCCCAGAATCCTGATTTTTATATAGTGTTTTCGGAATCTAAGGATACATCAGAGGGGTTTGGGGACCACCAAGTAAGAAGACACAGTGTGGCAGGTGGCACTCTCAGTTTCTCTTTCAAAACGAGTGCAATGCAAGATTCTCATTTGTGGGGAGTTCTACAAATATTTCCATTTTAGTAAAAACACCAGTTCCCTGAACTGTCTAGAACTTAGGTTCTGCCCATATTTTCCAGTCTCCTTCTTGCCTTAGCCCTCCAGTACCTAAAGTTTCTCCATGAGCCTAAAGAGTGATTAAGGCTCTTCCACTAATTTTTATGATGCCATCTGTGAGCTGGATTGCTTGTATTCTGTTTTCCTGTCCCTTCTGTCTAATGCAGACTTTTGTTCTCCTGTTCACTTAACATCAATTGTCACTAACTCTCCAGAGACCACATTGGTTGCTGAAACTAGCTTCTCATGTCCAGTCTCACTATCAAACTGATTCCAAGTCCCACCCTCAATTCTACAATTCTGTCTTGTCCCTGCTTATACAAGTCCTGAAATCTGACAAACCCTGTAAGGTCTGGGCTGATTCACATCTCTATTTTTTTCTTTACTCCTTCAATATTTATCTGCTTTCATGGGGCTTCCTACTTTCATTTCTAATTGAATTTGTTCTTGAGGAAATTGTATCTACATCAAGTAAAAGAAAGGAAACAGAAGACTTTGTTAAATCTATTTAAAATACTATAAATCAACATGTTTTAGGTTGATGGTTAGAGTGCCAGTGAACCTAATAATTCATGGATTCACACACAATCATGTATGTCTACTTAATGAATTACAGAAAAACAATAGTGAAGTCCCTTATGTGATGAAACTATATTGGAAGTCGATGAAAATAGAACCTTAAGCATATAATAAAAGCAACTCTCATCTGTTTTCTACTCTTCTTAAACTATTCAGTTTTTTGCCAATGTCTTATACTGGGCTCGAGAATATGGTTCCCTTTTAGTTATGCACAGAGTTCATTCCTCAATAAAGTCTCTTCCTCTGAATCTACACAGAGGGGGGAAAACCCCTCCCTTGCAACAGCATCCTTGATAACTCCACATATTCAATTCAATCCTGCTGAGTGCCCGCCATATGCCAGATCTGGGTTAAGCTTCCATATACCTCATCAGGACTACCCCTAAACAGAACAACCTGATTCCTTTCATGATTCAAAGCCAAGCCCTTGAAGTCATTTAAAGGCCTTTGCTTGGACATTTTCACTTTTCCCTGACAGGATGCAGAGACTGTCATAGATAGAAAAAGCTGTATCTATAATCTTGGCAGAGCAAGACTGACAAAGCTGATATCAAAGCAATATCCTCCAGGTGGATTTAATGCTATAGGAATTCCAGACTAGAGGTCATGTCAATTTCTTTAAAAGAGTAAATTGTCTTGTTTCTTTTCAAACCAGTCCCCTCAAACCTTAATATAATGCATTGAAATTAAATTGTACTCATCAATTTATTCATTCAACAAATATATTTAGAGCCCCTAGTATGTTGTAGGTCCTGTTCCCTGGGATTCAGTGATAAAAGAACTGCCAAGGCCACTGCTCTCGTTATGTATATTCTTAAACCTAAAGATGTAATATTGGGAAATTTTGAAAAAGTTATTTTAATGAAAATTTTCACAGATGATTTTGTGTCTAGGACTTGCAACAATAGACAAGTTTAGTAAATGTTTGGTAAATGGGATTGATGTGTTAGCTATGGACTTATTAATTATTCAACAATCTGAGAGTACTGGATTGAAATTCACTATTACTTTGGCTGTTTTAATGGATACATACAAGGATCCACAATACTCCTGTGAGTTGCCTGTCACTGCAAAACACAAGTACCAATATGTAAGAGCTATATACCTCACTGTTCAAAGAGGAAGCACATAGGACTTGAAAAAACTTTTAAAAATCAAAATATTTGGGCTGGCAGAGTGATTCAAGTGGTACAGCACCTGCCTAGCAAGCATGAGGCCCTAAGTTCAAACCCCAGTACTGCAAATAAATAAATAAACAAAAATAAAAATAGCTATGCGAAATGAACCTGATCACGATAATGCATTGTATTTAAAGAAACATTGTATTTAAAGAAACAACAATCACTCAGTCTTTCAATGAGTCATTATTTGTTGATAAATAATAGTCTTATACTGATAATTTAATGAGGAAAAAGATATAATGCTAAGAGAAATATGGTACTGCAATAATTCATAAAAAACAATTTTGGGGGAAATTGTGGTGAGTGAATTAGAAACTCATTTACTCACTACTTGGTATACGGTTGAGCATAACCTCTTGAGATCAAGCAATGAGAATTATGGGAGGCAAAAATGTATAGTTCTTGAGTTTTCGCTTTCCATCCAGTAGGAGAGGGAAGATGTGACATAGGATATGACAGCATTTGAGTTCAAACAAAAAGCTGATGTATTCAGAGACGAGCTCAGGCTGTGAGCAGCTGTGGCTTCAGAGAGGCTATATTTAGTTGGATCCTGGAGAATGGGTGGGATTTTATTCAGTGGAAATGGAAAGAAATTCAGGACGGTGTGAGCCAAGAAACAGAGGCAAGAACACACAAGGTCAGTTAAGGAATTCCCCAGAACTTAACTGTATTGACAAGGAGTTATGAATTTTCCTCTACTACAGAACTTTGATATAAAAAAATCAGTCTGGGGATTCAAATAGAGGAAATGTTTTGAGATAGATCATTGCCATTTAGATGTGTTGAATTTAAGGAGATGATAGGATATCTAAGAGGAAGCAGTCTCAGACAAGAGGAGAGCAGAAATGAAATTTGGACTGCACCCATTCAGAGAAGATAGTGGGAGCCACAGGAGGCTATAAGGGCACTGAAGCAGAGAGTATAGAGAGAAGAGGGTGAAACTGTGAGTTCTTGAGTGAAGCTGCGTAAGTTCTTGACTTCCTTATCTTTATGACCTCTACAAATACTCTTCTTGCACTACCCTCTATAATAAATGGCCTGTTTTATACATTGTGGAATGTCAGTTGCTTAGCAAAACACTGATCAACAAATATTTGTTGAATATATAAATGCATAAACTTTGTGGAACACAGAACTTCTGAATAAAGTTGACTATTGAGACATTTTCCATTTGATATTTCAGCCATTGAGTGTCCTGAACTCTTCAGCCCAGAGCAAGGCAGCCTGAATTGTTCTCACACTCATGGAGAATTCAGTGTTGGCTCCACCTGCCATTTCTTCTGTAACAAGGGCTTTACATTAGAGGGATCAAGCAATGTGGACTGCACAGCTTCTGGAAGATGGTCAGGACCTCCACCAATCTGCAAAGGTAACGATATATACTCACTGCGATGTTTCTACTAATGGAATTTTTTTCACAATGATAGCAAACACATAGTTCATGTGTGTGTGTGCGTGTGTGTGTGTGTGTGTGTGTGACAAGTACATATTATCCTATTATTGGAGCATAGTAAACGCAGCCTCTGAATTAGAAACTGGACTGACAGAAACTTTCTTTTGTCTGTGAATAAAAGATATATTGACACTCATGCAGTAATTTTGTTTTGTATCTTTAGCCTCTTTTCCTTAAAGAGTTTTATTGAACAAATTGAATGATGACCATGATTTCATTGCTGGGAGAGTACAAGGGTTGCAGTCATAGATCCAATAATTTGAATTAAGGAATCAGGTGCAGAAAGGTTGATCATCATCTTCCTACCACTGGGCTACTTAGTGACAAGCCAGTGGCATCATTCACATTTCACCTTTCATTTTGACTTTTGGGCAGGGAATAATATCACCTCCCAATAAAACAAGAAAGGACAGGCAATTGGGCCATGTGTATATAGATTTCTGCACCAACTCTTCTACTGCTTCTTTTGAAGTATATGTTGGTAATTTTGACTCTCTGTTTCTTCTTGTGACCAGGACAAGGATCTCTTTAAAGACACTTTTATTTATTTAGTTTTATTGTAAACTTTTTGTTAGGATCTATTCATTATACTGGGGAGTGGGGATTCATAGTGACAATTCTTAAGGACATTTTAAAATGAATTTCCCTGTCTGGTTCCCCATACCTGAGATTAATCTTTCCCTTAACTTCCTTAAAGGTATTGCTACAGCCTCCCTTGTTTAGGAAAGAGTGGGAAGCAGCTATTCCATATCAGCCCTTCAATCAGATATGCTCCTTTTAATAGGGAGCATAAGTAATTGAAAATTTTAAATTGAAACATTGTCTCACAACAGATGTAGCATCAATTCCTGTTCAAGAGGTGCAATGTCCAGCCCTCACCATTCCTGGGCAGGGAACGATGTCCTGCAGACATTACCAGGGAGCCTTTGGTTTGAATTCGACTTGTTACTTTGGATGCAAAGCTGGATTCACACTTGTAGGAGACAGCGCACTCAGATGTAGATCTTCAGGACAATGGACAGCAATAACTCCAGCCTGCAGAGGTAATGTGAAAAGGAGCAGGGAGTTCTGATGCTGTCTTCCTGCAGTTACTTAAGTTAGCCATGATACAGGCCTGTTGAAATCACACCTAAACCCAACAACCATTCCAAGCGTCCACACCAATCCCAATCAGAAGTAATGAGCAGCTGCCACCTCTGCCCTTCTTCATGTCCTGGTACTCATAAGACCTAAGGGGGGAAACTTTTACACATATCTAAAATGTATTAGAATTATAAGTATGCTAAATATGAATTAAATATAAACTCTAATTTAATTGATTATGTGATGATATAAACATCCCATTGTTAATAATAACTGGAATCTGAAGAGTTAACTCTATATGACATCTCCCAAACAGCTATCACCCTACATACGAAGCATTGAGTCTTATGTTTCCTTTGTCTTTATGTGCTCCCATAAAGCATGGCACAGAGCTTTGCAAATGTCATGACTTCTCGTTAATACTTATTTGAATTAAATTTAATTTCCTGAGGCTAGTTTCCTATCCATAAGTTAGACAGAATGATCTGAAGTCCCCTGAAAAATAGTTTAAGGAGAATGATGGTTTCTACCTGAAAATTTCAGTAACCATCTGTGGTGAAGACTTAAGTATTTTAATAATCACATGCTGACATGCTAGCTAAGCTCCAGTGTATTAACAATAACACTTAGAACAATGGCATTTTTGAGAGGAAAAACTTTATACGTAGTATTTTGGGAGGTATGATCAATCCATTAGCAGATATTTTCTGGATGATACTATGTGTCCATCCTTGTTCTCTTCATCCTTTGAGTGGATATTTCAGTGTATGTGTGTGATATTGGAAGGGCTGGTATGAATACTGGAAGAGGCTGGTTTCCTTTCTGACCTTTTGTATTCTACTTGATAGTGTTATTCAGGTTACAAATGAAACCAGAATTTCATTCACCTTCATTCTAAGTATTTGTTTCTCATGCATTCTCTTTTTAATGCAGCCATCAAATGCTCAGAACTACACTTTAGTCAGCCAGTCATGATGAACTGCTCCAATCCCTGGGGCAATTTCAGCTATGGGTCAACCTGCACTTTCCATTGTCCAGAGGGTCAGTTGCTTAATGGTTCTACAAGAGCAGTATGCCAAGAGAACGGCCACTGGTCATCTACCATGCCAACCTGCCAAGGTACATTTTCATGTGATTTAGGAAGCCATCCTATATGAAAACAATCAAAATCAGTGTTTCTTTTCTCTGTATTTCTCACAGTGGTCTTCCTTTCCATCATTGGGTTTCCTCTTCCTTAATAGATATTTCACAATGAGTCAGACAGAAAGTCTTTGCTTTATACAGGACCATAGGAATTCAATTCAATAATTCTGTATAGGTAATTGCCACTCCTTTTCTGTGTTCAGATTTGTGAAATGAATCTCTAACCTTTTTAAAATCTCTGTTTAACATATCTTTATGTTTCAAAATGTGTTAAACTGGGAGTTATTTAATGAACATTCCTAGTTTATTATCTCAGAAGGCCTTTGTTTACTACTTACCTCTAAAACTGTCTTAGATCTTCCTTAATTATGCTCCATCTGTTTGCAAGTTTTATCTCAGACCCTAAGTTTGCCCCTTTTTTCCTCATAACTTATGACTACTTTCTGTTTCATGTCTGAATCTATGATAGCCAAAAAAATTACCCGTGGTTTATTTTATTTGCTCAAACTTCCATGTGAAAGCCCATATATTTAATTCCTTTTAGTGGATCCTTATCCAGACCTCTTTATAAATTGCACTGATATTTAAGCCTTAGGAATACAATTGGACCCTGCTTTCCATTGTGTTATAGTGGGTTTCTAACTTCCAGATCTTCCTTCATTTGGGGTCATTAGCACTGGAAAGACCTTGATAATCCTACTCACCCTCACATCTCAGAGTTCTTGGGGCTCTGGGGTAAGAATGACTGGACTTTTACACAGTGTATTTCTTACATCTTGCATGCATGTGTGTATATTTATTTTACAGCAGGGCCATTGACTATCCAGGAAGCCATGACTTACTTTGGTGGAGCAGTGGCTTCTACAACAGGTCTGGCAATGGGTGGTACTCTCCTGGCTCTGCTAAGAAAGCGTTTAAGGAAAAAAGGTAAGTGAGTGTCTTCCTCTTGCTTTCCTTTTTATATGATTTGGGGGTGGGGTGGCATCGCCACGACTTTAATAGTTCATGTGTAGAAATATTTCATTAAAAGAAAACAAGATCATGATAAGTGGTCTTGAGAATTGTCTGCCCATCCGAACGATTGCCCATTAGAATCATCTGGGAAATTTGTAAAAATACAGACGCTCCTACAGGGAACACTTGGAGATGAACCTATAAATTTGAATTTTTCAAAAGTTCTCCTTTAAAATTTTGATGAGGCAATATTGCCTATCTTAAAAACAAACTGGGCATGGTGGTCATATCTGTAGTCCAGCCACTCTAGTCAGGAGGTGGAGGTAGGAAGATCACAGTCTAAGGCCAACTTGGGCAAAAAGGTGAAACCTTATATGAAAAATAAACCAAAAGCAGCTCAAGTGGGTTGCAGCTCAAGTGGTGGAGTACTTGCCTAGCAAGTGTAAGGCCCTGAGTTCAGTTTTTCAGTACTACAAAAAAATAAAAGAGAGAGAGAGAGAATTAATAGAGGCACCAGATAGGCAATTGATGCTTAAAACAGCTAACTAAAAGTGGCCATGTTAAAATACTTGAGAATTCGCATTGAATAGAGTCCTTTCAACACCTAATTTTGACCCCTCAGGGGCAGAACTCACTCCTCTTATCCATTCTCCATTCACAAAGCTGCCATTGCATTGAAGCTGTTTTTCTAAGGTTCCTTCACATACTCTTCTGTTGGTGATTAAGATGATCCATGAAGGGAAATAGTCTGCTTAAAGACCAAAGAGATGAACCAACAGCTCCAATGAATCCCTCCATTCAAAATTTGACTTGCTTAATCAAACTCAGTACAGGCAAAGGTTCCTAAGATCTAGATCCTAATCTCCACGATCATAAAGGAATCACACCATTTCCTCCTGCTTTTCTCCCCCAGTTCTTTCTTTGGTTTTTGAGACATTTCTAGCTTGGAAAAAGAATAGCAGCCACCAATCCCCCAAAATCTTTATCAATGCATAAATTCATTTTGAGGAAATAGGGAATTTTTTTCTGGGTTTATCCTAATTTGGTTTTAAGTGTCTGAATATTCTATGACGAATAATAGGAAAATGCTGCAGACATATCTGAAAAGTCAACTATCAGAGTCTGTTGTTTGGATTAAAACAGAAGGTGCCTGATCATATACGTTACCAAGCAGGGAAACCATGCACTGTTGTGTTGGTGCACCAAGAGGCCGAAAGTTCAAAGATATGAAGAGAGTTTGGTTTTGGTTTTGTTTTTTTGTGGAAGGGCAAGAGGAAGAAGGTGAGAGGACTCTTGAGTTAAATATTATAAAGTGGTTAATTTAACCTAAAACAGGTTCTACCTTTCAGGACAAGATTGTTCTCAATACTCATTGTAATAGCCTATTTGGAAATCAGGCTATTTACTGTCCTCAATAATTTCTATTACTAATTATTCTTCCCCTCCATCCTGTTTTTTCTTCTTCATCTTTTAAACCAATTATTCATGTTTTCTTACCTATTTCAGATGATGGGAAATCTCCCTTGAACCCTCAAAGGTAAGATGCAAATGTTCTATGATTGAGTGAATTTTGCTAGCTTGACTTTCTGACTTACTGTACTATGTCAAGATAATCATACATAATGCCTGCCTCCTTTTTATAACACTTTTTTTCACTCAGATAATGGCTTTTTAAAAATTTTTATTTTATTCATATGTGCATACAACGTTTGGGTCATTTCTCCCCCTTTCCCCCCTTTACCTCCCCCCTTACCCCCCCTTATCCCCCCTTACCCCTCACTTCCCGGCAGAAACAATTTTGCCCTTATCTCTAATTTTGTTGAAGAGAGAGTATAAGCAATAATAGGAAGGACAAGGGTTTTTGCTGGTTGAGATAAGGATAGCTGTACAGGGAGTTGACTCTCATTGATTTCCTGTGCATGTGTGTTACATTCTAAATTAATTCTTATTGATCTAACCTTTTCTCTAGTTCCTGGTCCCCTTCTCCTATTGGCCTCAGTTACTTTAAAGTATCTGCTTTAGTTTCTCTGTGTTGAGGGCAACAAATGGTATCTAGTTTTTTAGGTGTCTTACCTATCCTCATACCTCCCTTGTGTGCTCTCACTTTATCATGTGATCAAAGTCCAATCCCCTTGTTGTGTTTGCCCTTGAGCTAATGTCCACATATGAGGGAGAACATATGATTTTTGGTCTTTTGGGCCAGGCTAACCTCACTCAGAATGATGTTCTCCAATTCCATCCATTTACCAGCGAATGATAACATTTCATTCTTCTTCATGGCTGCATAAAATTCCATTGTGTATAGATACCACATTTTCTTGATCCATTCATCAGTAGTGGGGCATCTTGGCTGTTTCCATAACTTGGCTATTGTGAATAGTGCCCCAATAAACATGGGTGTGCAGGTGCCTCTGGCGTAACCCGTGTCACGGTCTTTTGGGTATATTCCCCAAGAGTGGTATTGCTGGATCAAATGGTAGATCAATGTTTAGCTTTTTAAGTAGCCTACAATTTTTTTTCCAAAATGGTTGTACTAGTTTGCATTCCCACCAACAGTGTAAGAGGGTTCCTTTTTCCACGCATCCTCACCAACACCTGTTGTTAGTGGTGTTGCTAATGATGGTTATTCTAACAGGGGTGAGGTGGAATCTTAGTGTGGTTTTAATTTGCATTTCCTTTATTGCTAGAGATGGTGAGCATTTTTACATGTGTTTTTGGGCCATTTGAATTTCTTCTTTTGAGAAAGTTCTGTCTAGTTCACTTGCCCATTTCTTTATTGGTTCATTAATTTTGGGAGAATTTAGTTTTTTAAGTTCCCTATATATTCTGGTTATCAGTCCTTTGTCTGATGTATAATTGGCAAATATTTTCTCCCACTCTGTGGGTGTTCTCTTCAGTTTAGAGACCATTTCTTTTGTTGAGCAGAAGTTTTTTAGTTTTATGAAGTCTCATTTATCTATGCTATCTCTTAGTTGCTGTGCTGCTGGGGTTCCATTGAGAAAGTTCTTGCTTATACCTATTAATTCCAGAGTATTTCCTACTCTTTCCTGTACCAACTTTAGAATTTGGGGTCTGATATTAAGATCCTTGATCCATTTTGAGTTAATATGGGTATAGGATGATATACATGGATCTAGTTTCAGTTTTTTGCAGACTGCTAATGAGTTTTCCCAGCAGTTTTTGTTGAAGAGGCTGCTATTTCTCCATTGTATATTTTTAGCTCCTTTGTCAAAGACAAGTTGGTTAGTTGTGTGGCTTCATATCTGGGTCCTCTATTCTGTTCCACTGGTCTTCATGTCTGTTTTTGTGCCAGTACCATGCTGTTTTTATTGTTATTGCTTTGTAATATAGTTTGAAGTCGGGTATCGTGATACCTCCTGCATTGTTCTTTTGACTGAGTATTGCCTTGGCTATTTGTGGCCTCTTGTGTTTCCATATAAATTTAACAGTAGATTTTTCAATCTCTTTAATGAATGTCATTGGAATTTTGATGGGAATTGCATTAAACATGTAAATTACTTTTGGGAGTATAGACATTTTTACTATTGATTCTACCAATCCATGAGCATGGGAGATCTCTCCACTTTCTATAGTCTTCCTCAATCTCTTTCTTCAGAAGTTTATAGTTTTCTTTGTAGAGGTCTTTCACATCCTTTGTTAGGTTTACACCTAGGTATTTGATTATTTTGAGGCTATTGTAAATTTAATTATTTTCATATATTCTTTCTCAGTTTGTTCATTATTAGTGTATAGAAATGCTAATGATTTTTCTATGTTGATTTTATATCCTGCTACCTTGGTATAGCTATTGATGGTGTCTAGGAGCATTTTGAGTAGAGTTTTTTGGGTCTTTAAGGTATAGGATCACATCATCTGCAGACAGGGATATTTTGACAGTTTTTTTACCTATTTGTATTCCTTTTATTCCTTCTTCTTGCCAATTGCTCTGGCTAGGAATTCCAGTACTATGTTGAACAGGAGTGGAGATAGTGGGCATCCTTGTCTGGTTCCTGATTTTAGAGGGAATGGTTTCAGTTTTTCTCCGTTAAGTATAATGCTGGCTGTAAGTTTGTCATATATAGCTTTTATAATGTTGAGGTACTTTCTTATAACATTTTTTACCATGTCCTTTTTACTATCCTAAGTAAAATACATAAATAATATATCTTAACTACACATAATGTTCTTAAAAATCAAGAAATGCCCAATTTGTACTATAAAGGAGAGATAAAAGGAAAAGCGATTTGTAATATAAACAAAATGCTAAAGCTTAGACTCTACACTTCCCCACACCGAGGGATTATAGCTGTTCACCAGAGTTTTTCTACAATTTTGAAAAAACAGGCTGATGTTAGAGGGACTTTTCATGCTGTTTGAGTCAATAATACAGTATTTCCTTATCAGTGTGGACATTTCCCATCATCTAAAATAAGCGAGTGGGTGTAAAACGAAATACAAACTACCCAGAGCTGTTAAGTGGGACCTTGAAAATAACTTTGGCATTTATTTTTCTTTCCTTTTTAAAGCAGACAAAATTCCAGGGGTAGATTGTAATCCACCGTTTCTGAAAACACTGTCTGCTAGACTGTATTGAGAGCTAAGCGTTACATGATCGATCATTCTTGTCTTTTTGTTCTCTAGCCACCTAGGAACCTATGGAGTCTTTACAAATGCTGCATTTGATCCAAGCCCTTAAAGTAAGTTACCTATGAAGATATTTTTGAAGAAAATCAAGTAGTAGGGGAAAGGGAAAGAAAATAAAGTTTAATTTTTGTTTACATATTTGAGTATTTAGTTTTCAGGCAATGATAGAAATTGTATTGGTAGTAAGAAATATGCATGAAGGTGAAATGACAATAGAGAGTGGGTTTGTTTAAGAATTTCCATTTCCTCCAGGATAGAAATGTTCTAACAATATACAACTTACTACAGGTTGTGATATTCCCCTTAATTGCCTTCTAGGTGTTGATACTATGGCCTTGCCTGATAATCCCTTATGTTACCTACAGAGAAAACAGAAATAATCTGATATCAGCCTTTTCCTAACCAACACAGTGAATAGTTGAGTATTCTAAGAAAAGTGGCCTGGGTGGCAAAAAAAAAATCTATAATCTAGGAAGATGATTATCTTGAGCCTCGGGATAGATATGGTGAAAGATTTCTTTCTTATTTTTTAAATTGATATTTATTTTAATTTTTTGTCTTGTTTTCAGAGACCTGTCCTCCTGGTTACCTCATTCAATCTCTGAAGTGCATGCTTCAGAACATCAAGCTTCCTGCTAGACTTGACCTTAACTGTAACACATTTGTTGCAGTTTTTTGTAAATACTTGTGAATAAAGGACATTGAATATCCTTTAGATTAGCTCTGGACCAGAACAGAAGGATTGTGCCACATTCCCATCTCTCCACCCTTTCCTGCCCCACCTCTGCTATTCCTCCAACACAGCCCAGAAGCCAGCAGCAAATGTTTGAGCTGTGGTCTGTGGGCTTTAACTGAAGACAGGGATATGTGACTCACAAGAAAAACAGACTGTGCAAAAATAAAAATACCAATTTGGTTTTGGATTGAGGGAAGGCATTCTCTACATTGTTGGAAGACAGGCACACCTCTGATATGAAGAAGTTCCTGTAGGGTCACATGAGGTCTCCAATGGATGTGGTCTCTGAGGTCCCTTAGACCCCAGCTGCTGAGGCTTCCAGAGCAGCCTCTGGTTCAGAGGCTGCAGAAGACCAAGAACTGAGATAGGAGGCCATGTCTCACTGTAACCTTCCCTCCACCAAAGGACCCAAAGACCAATCACTGAGTGTATAATTAAAAAGATCCCTCAATACCATATTCCTCTGTTTGATGTCTTGTTCAATAAGATCTGTGAACATCACTTGTTTGCCACCCATGTGTAAGGCACAATTATGGTTGTCTCAATCACAGCTCAACTTTCAATGAGCCAGCAAATGTATAATCACACATCCCCTGGTCCCAAGAGAAAATCAGAGAAGCAGAAATAGTCTTCATCACCTTAATTCTACAGGGAGGAGCAGATGTGTTTTACCTGTTATTTAAATCACAAATTTAATAAATAGGTCATTAAAAGTTATTCAGTACTTATCTGGAATTGGTACAAAAATTGGAAAGCCAAACAATATAGTTGTCTTTCATGGTGAAAGGGAACCCAGTAACTATGTCCTGTATTGGGGATACACCTATACAAATATCAAATGAAAATAGTAAAGCAGTTTAAAGATTACAATAATTTTGCAAATACCTGATAATAATGTTAAGACTTAGGAACATGCTGCTTTAAAAATGTTTCTCAGATGTATTTCCAATAGCATCCCAGCCTGCTTTTTCTATGTCAATCACTATGCTAGGCATTTCTCGGACAATGGTTCTGAGCACTGTCTACTGAGTCAGAATTTGCATTTTGTGAAAGCTCCTAGGGAATTCTAAGGGCCCAACAGCATTGGGAATCACATTTATTGTAGATCAGAAGTGGAAGGCATTGTTCCTGCTCTCCAATAGCTCATAATCTATTTGGGGATACAATAGACACCTGCACAAAATGATAAAGGGTAATCTACAGAGTATATCATTTGAATAGGGTTGTAGGAGTTTATAAAATGGAAAAGGTACTTCGAGTTAAGAATGAGAGAGATAGGTAAAACTCTAGATTTTAAAGAGTAAGTGAGCAAAGAGGAGGAGAATGGGCTTTCTTTTTATTTAATTTTTTATTGTTGTGCTGGGGGTACATTGTGGCATTTACAAAAGTTCTTACACTATATCAAATACGTCATCATTGAATTCACCAGAATGGACTTTCTTTTTGTGTGTTTGTTTGGTTCTATCACTTAAGCCATAGCTCCATCCCTTTTTGCTTTTAGTTTATTTTCAGATAGTGTCTCACACTTTTTGCCTCGGCTGGACCCAGACTATAATCTTCCTACCTATGCCTCCTGTGTAGCCGGGGTTACAGGCATGCATCACCATGTCCAACTTGCTTGTCTTTGAGAGACAGTCTTGCTATGTAGCCCAAGCTAGCTTCACACTCGTGATCTTTGTGTCTCAGCCACCCAAATGGTGGAATTACAGGCAGATCCCACCGTGCCTGGGTTGAGAATGAACATTTCTAAATCAGCAGAATAATATGTGCAAAGAAGCAAGGACAAAGGTTAGGGGGAGGGGAGGCTTCTGAGAAGCCTAGTATCATTAACTGAGATCCCCTGTGATGGACCAAATTACAATCTATTGAAAGTGTTAAAGGCTTAAGAAACAGACAGAAGCTTGGAGGCAGGGACCTAGACCCAGGGAACAAGACCATGATGCTTCAGACAATACAGTGCTCAGATTGAGCACCTGCCTCACAGGTATGAGGCCCTGAATTCAAATCCCAGTACCACCAAGAAAAAAAAAGTTTAATTAAAAAAAAAACTCTTTGGACTGGAGGTGTGGCTCAAGCAGTGGAGTGCCTGCTTTGCAAGCATGAAGCCCTGAGTTCAAAGCCCAGTTCCACCAACAACACAAACAAAAACTCTCAACAGATCAAAAGCAACATAAGATTTAGGACAGTGTGAAACAGATCCTTCAAGAAATATAAGGGGCCCTGACGGCAGGAAAATACAATCATAGAAGTAAACGCTGGCTGTGCGCTTGTGCTGGGAATTAATACAGTTTATAGTATGCTTTTGTGCTCCCAACAGTCTTATCAGAGAAGACGAGAATTATCCTTATTTTGCAGATGTCAAAACTACACCCCAGAGAGGTAGAGAAACTGGCTCGAGACCACAAAGTTAATCAGTACAATTGAAATCCCGACTACTGGTTAGCTCAAGCTCAGCTTTGGCTGGTGACAAGCCCTTATCTGGACAGATCTGTGCCTAGATAGGAGGTAGTAGAACGATGCAGCGCTTCTAGGAGGCTTGTCCTCTGGTTTTTCACCACCTAAAAAGTGTCCAGTACACAGTACCCTTTTCCTCGGATCAGAAGAAGGATGCTGGGTCTTACTGCCTAAGAACTGTAGAGGGGCTGGGCAGGGTGAACTTTGATTCTGACAGTGGGCGGTGGGCTGTGGACGGTGGGAGGCGACGGCTCCCTCAGGCGGCGACAACAAGGAACACAGTTTTGTGGCGCGGGGAGCCTTGGCTTTCTCTAACGGATCTCTGCCCTTTCTTCACCTGTAGTAAAACAGTCACTAATCTGGTGGTTCTCCCTAACACATAGCTCTTGTCATCGGGGGCAGTGACCTCACCAGGCCCCTGCCTGGACAGGCCCCGGCGGGGAGGGAGGGTGAGCCCGGGCTGCAGGGCCCAGGACGCTGCCACTCGCAGGCTCCAGAGCTCACTCTGCGGGGACAGCGGGGACAGCGGGGACAGCGGGGACAGCGCGGCGGGCTCTGCTCTGCGCGCGGCCACGGAGCCTTCCTGTCCTGTCCCGGGTGGCGGCAGCGGCCAGGAGAAGGAAGGGAACCATGTTCCCAGCCTGCCCACGCCTCTGGGTCCTGGTGGTCCTGGGCACCAGCTGGGCAGGGTGGGGAAGCCAAAGGGCGGAGGCAGCGCGGGTGAGGCAGTTCTACGTGGCTGCTCAGGTCATCCACTGGAGCTACCGCCCCGAACCCACAGATCCAAGGTAACCCTGATATGTACATATCGAGAGAGAGAGGAGAGAGAGAGAGAGAGAGAGAGAGAGAGAGAGAGAGAGAGAGAGAGAGAGAAATTTAGTCTATCATCTGTCTCTAATTGCAGGTAAGTGCATCCAGCTACTAAAGTATAATTAACATAATAAATTTGGAGGGTGCTATTTTTTTTGCCTCCACTAATAGAGTTTATCATTCTGAGGATATAGAACATATTTAAATTCATTGGCTAGATGTTGTTTTCTTTGCAAATGTCTGTTTTCAATACAGTTTTGTTAGCGTGTTGGATTGTCGTTTTAATATATTGATTGATTCAAAAGTACCAGGCTTGGCTTCCTAGTAAGCCCTCTTGCAAAATCCTATTCCCGATTTTTTAGCAGTCTAGGATTTTTATGGAACTTCTAGTTGTATCTTATTTATTCAGTCGTCTATATTCATTATCTGAAGCTAATGATGTACAGTTTGCACTTTATTGCACACAGATAATTGAACAACTATTACCATAATTGTGTTTCTTTCTTAAAACTGACCTTTGAAATATCAGTCCATGGAAATGCAACACTTCTGTATTTTCACCTTTTTCTGTTTCATATTTGACTTATTAATGAATGTTTAATGCGAATTCAATTTTTCTCACTTTTAATTACTTCTTGGAATATTATTTACCCTGGGATTTTGGTAAGGTCACTATTAAAATGCGTATGTAACTAAGAAAAGGTTTAAATAACATAAAGCTCTTATCTTTCAATTACAAACTTTATATTTCTTATTAAAAAGTTAAAAAATAAGACTTCCCAGAAATTAGTTGGGTCTGTTCAATATTTCCGTTTGTTACATTTTTGTATTAAATGGTAAACCTCCTACTGTGACTCATTTTTTTTTTTACGTTAACATCATGGCTTTGTTGATTGTGAAAAATGTGTTCCTCTTTTACGATTGCGAAACCAAAGCCATCTGCCAAAAAACAATGTAATATTTTGAGTCTTAGTTTATTGCATTAACCCTGTTAAAATTTTCAATGTAACTGGATTCTTTTCAAGGACATTACATACCATCTTGGTCTTATAATAATGAGAAATTCCTCCTTTTAAAAATGGATTGAAAATATTTCATTTCAAGGTGATAATATAAGTCAAACCAACACTCTTAAATAACATTCTTTCAGACATTCTTAACAACTTGAGGGTAGAACACAAACTTGGTTGCTGGCTTCTCTGAAATTCTGTGTGGTGGGCAGGGAGAGGAAATGGTAGTTGTATGTCAAAGGATACAAAATTAAAGGTGAGCAAATCCTCTATAGAGGACTATCGTTAAAAATAGTGTATTGGATTGGCAGTCTTCACCTGGTTAGAAAGGAGGAATAGATCAATTATTGACAAAGAGACTCAACTAGAGGAAGTTCTACTAAGAGAGAATAGCCTCTTGATAGCCTCTATCATTCCTGAGAAATGTGGCATCATAGGATTCTACAATCCAACCTAGAAATAAAGAATAAGACAGTGGTTACCTGAGCCAGGATAGAGAAGAGGTGATTTTAAATTTTTTGGATCTTGACTCTGCCATTTATCAATAGTACATTCTTAGAATGTTATATAATCTGTCCAAGACAGTTTTTCATTTGTTTCCTTCTCACAGAATCCCAGATCTATTGCTCCATTAGCCATCTCCATCCTCTCAACTAGAAAATAGGGTCTGTCCACCAAATCGATACCAATTTCCAATGTTTCCCAGCATTTAAAAACTGTATTTTGATAGATGGGAATTTTAAGGAAAAAAAACTGGATTTGACTGATCAGCTGCTTATGAATGATTTGCTATATTTTAACCTAAACCTAAAGTTTGAGTTCACAAATTCTTCTTATCTTCCTCTTTAGAAAATTGATTCTGAGAAATAGTACTAGAACAGCCTAAATTTGTAAAAGAATGTTTATTACAACAGACTACTTTTAAAGATACCAATATTCATTGTATGCAATATGAATAAAAAATAAATAAAGATACCAATAATTATCTCATTGATTGAATTTATTGTTCATATTTGTAAAACCTGGAGTTTCTGAAAAATAATAAAAATACTGTTATTCAACTAAGAGTCTGAGGACCAGAGAGGTCTACTTATGACTGTAAACAGAAAAAAGATACCTGTTGAAACTATTCCAAGAATGAGGGGAGGGGGATAGAGGAGAAAGGCAAAGGGGGTGAACTCAAGTATATCTGATATATACTAAGAACCTTTGTAAATGCCATAATGTACCCCCATCCAGCACAGCAATAAAACAAATTTTTTTAAAGAGAGGTCTACTTTTTTGTAATGCAAACAGATGTCATTCAAATTACTTTCTATATTTTATTTCTAGTTTGAATCCTTCTACAACTTCCTTTAAGAAAATTGTCTACAGAGAGTATGAAGCATATTTTAAGAAAGAAAAACCACGATCCAGCATTTCAGGTAAGCCTGAAATATATTTTTTTAATTTCAAAGGTGAATTTCTATGAATTCATCTTTATGTCTGAATATCCATTTAGTGTCAGTGTATAAAAGTGTTGGTTGTTGTTAACCAGTGCTAACTATGTATTATGTGGATCCAGAGTATGATGAAAATGCTGGGTTCCTTGCTCATTATTATTGGCAATTTCAACACAGTGACAGCAAAGCAGTAACCAAACAGAGGCCCGTCTGAGCATGGGGCCCTGACAAATTTCACAGGTCACATGTCCATGAAGCCATCTGTATTTAACTTTTGTCAAACAGCACAACAAAACTTTAAGTGTTTGAATTTTTATTCACTTGTCTGACAAATTGCCTTGGAGCCCCTGTTGTGAGCTGGGCCTTGAATTAGGCATGGCCGAAGCAAGAGTGGATGAGAAAGATTCAAACTGTGCCTTCATGAGGCTTGTGGTCTAGTTTAATAAGCACAAATGTGCCTTAGCAGAATGAATTTTGTCTCCATCTGGCTGCTTAGACTCATTCAGAAGAATTCTGTGTGGGTGATTCTTTACGTCTATTTTTCCATCTATGCTCCTGATTACTTAGTGTGATGAACCAAATAACTATGGTTTTTATAGATAATTTCTTCTGCTTTACTCAAGTAGACTGTGTTGATTAGAGTTCTAGTATCTTAAATATGGAAGCATATTTACAGGATCATTAAGGCAGAACTTCCATCAGTTGGGTTCCCCTGACAGTAATTCATTTATCCTTCCTCAAACCAGGTGAAGACTCACTCTCCTCCCAGTCTGCCCTGACTCCTCTGGTCTCCTTTAATCTTTAATCCTTTTATTGACTGGAGTCATTCACTCAGACAAAAATAAATAACATATATAATTGTGTTTAATCCTCAGAGGACCCTAAGAAGTAAATATCATCCTCATTTTACACCAGAGACAGCTGAGCCTTAGAAGATAATAGAAGCTGGGCGCCAGTGGCTCACACCTGTAATCCTAGCTATTCAAGAGGCAGAGATCAGGAGGATCACAATTCGAAGCCAGCCCAGGGAAAAGGTTTTTGAGAGACCCTATCTCTAAAAAACTCATCACAAAAAAAGAGCTGGTAGAGTGAATCTAGGTGTAGATCTTGTTATTTATTTTTGTCTGAGTTCAGTACTGCTAAATAAATAAATAACAATGAAACAAAACCAAACCATGTTCAGGTAAATTCTTAACTAGAAAAAGAAAATCAAATTTCTCTTTTTCCGTTTCTCAACTTTCCTTCACTACTAATTTCCTATATGAGTGGTCTATATCATTCCCTGAATTTCCTCTTCTGACCTTCCTTCCTTGAGCCACTAAAATATGATTGAGTCCACTAAAATTGCCATCAAAAATGGCCAGTCATGATTTCTGATGTGCCAGTGTCTATGGCTGGTTTCCAGTTCTTTTACCATTACTAGGATGCTTAACATTCTCCCTTCTCCACGTTCTCTCTTCACCTGGTTTCCCTATTGCCACTTCCTCTGACTTTCCTTTCCTTATCATTGTTTCTCAATTTCTCCACTGTATCTTCTTCCCCAAGGTTCCAACCTGGGCCACAACTACGGCTTTTCAACTACCTATCCAGAGGCCATGCCCTTTCTGAAGCTACGCTGATTCCTCTCCCCTATCAAAACTCTTCTGCTTTTGTATACCCCAAGTACCATGAACTAATCCCTATATTTTAGGGATGTTGTGAAGATCAGTTGGCTTAATAAAGTACTTGTAATAATGCTAACTCGTAATAAGCACAATACAAGTTAGCTACATTGTTGTTATTGTATTGTAGTTATTAATTATACCTCTATTAGATGGGTACCAATATATCTCTATTCCTTCACCCACTTTATATTCCTTTCATGTTATCATTTATACATTCATTTATCTTTAAATATTATGCATTTAAAAATTCTTTTTTTTTGTTGGTGGGACTGGGGTTTGAACTCAGGGCTTCACACTTGGAAAGCAGGCACTCTGGACCTCCAGTCCATTTTGCTCTGGTTATTTTAAAGATGGGGGAGGTTTCCTGAAATATTTGCTGGCTTTGACCATGATCCTCCTGATCTCAGTCTCTCAAGTGACTAGAATTATTGGCATCAGCCACTGGAGTCTGGATTCTTTTTTTTTTTTTTATTGTGTATTGAGAACTGCCACATTTCAGGCTCTGCGGATACAAAAGTGAATAAGACCTGGGCCCTGACTTCCAGGAGCCAATCAGCTGCAGGGAATGACCTACAAGTAGACAAGCAGTTACAGTACAGTGATAAACAAGGACTGTGATGAGGGTTCATTATTAAGACATAGGAGACTTATCTCCAGTCTAGGTCAGGAACATCTTCCCATTTCTAAGTTGATAGTTGCAAGAAATAAGTAGGATCTTGGAGAACCAAATGGTGGTGGTAAGCGTAAAGATGCATTTTATTTTATTTCTAATTTTTATTAATGCCTATTAATTGGACAAAGAGGTTTCATTGTACTCTGACCACATTCACTCTCTCTATTACTCTTTCTTATCCTCCTTTCCTTCACTTAAAGATGCATTTTAGACTGAGGAAGCAGTATGTGTGTAGGTTAAGAGGTGAGAGGTCAGCACAGTTGGGGCACAAACTACAAAGAAGGAATTAGAAGACAACTAGGTGAGGTTATGGCAAGACCAGGGAGCCACGTTAAGGCTTTGTCTTGAGGGCAGTAAGGAGTCCCTGAAAAATGTAGGCAGAAGAAAGACAGACTCAGATTTGTGCTTAGAAAGACTATTCTGTCTAATGTGGAGAATGGGGTAGAGAAAAGCAAGTCCAGAGCTAGGGAGACCAGTTTGGTGTCAATCCAGGAAGAAGCCAGCAAGGAAGCTGAGATGGATTCCAAAGGTATTTAAGAACTAAAATCAACTAAACAAGTTGATAACTGTATGTAAATAATGAAGAAGAGAGAGTAACTATGAATGACCTTAAGGTTTGGGGTTTGAACAGTACAATGGATATGACACCATTTGGTAAGAAAGAAAATTTAGGAAAAGGAGGACGTTTGTGAGGGAAGATGATGAGTTAGGACTTGGAGTTTGAGGTGTCTGCAGAATATCTCTCTAGTGTTGTCAAATGAGCAGACTGGTATAAAAGTTTGGCCTTTAGGAGAGAGATATAAATATTGGGTAACATAAAAACCAAGATAGTAAATGAAGTTTTCAGAAGATGTGAGACCAGCAGGGCAAGTATGATAAGAAAAGGCTGCAGACCGAGGTCAAAGAAGCAACAAGGTCCAAGGGATGAGACGAGAAAGAAAAAGTTACTAAGGAGCTTGAGAAAGTTTGCCCAGAGAGAGTAGAGAAAAGCAAAGAGTCAAATGCCAGCAAAGACTATTAACATAAGGAACCAAAAACAAAAAGAAAGACCCAGATCCTGCCTTTTTTTTATGGAGGCAAGATCAAATGGTCAGAGTTTAAGGAGAGAATGGAAAGTGAGGAAACGGAAGCAGAAGGAGTCCTATAGATAATTCTTTCTGGATACTTGGCTCTGATTGTGAGGGGAGACAGGGTAATTCTGGAAGAGAATGAGAGACCTAAGGATTATTTTGGAGTTTTATTATAAAAAAAGAGGAATAAGAGGAACCTACATTTAGCAATTCAATAGAAAAGGGGAGGATGAAGATATCTGAGACAAAATATTGATGGAGCTAGAATCAGAAGAAGCAGCAAGTGCTTCAAAACTAGGGCTCACTCAGCCTTAGGTAGAAGGGCTAATACATCCTTTGGGGTAAGTAGTGGGGACATAAAGTTGCCCAAAAAATTACCTATGTAGTTGTTGGCAGGAAGTTGAAGGACCCCATGACCTCTGTCACAGAGTCTATCCATTTTTATATTCTAGCTCCAAGCTCAGCATGTACAATACTGTGGACTTTTTTATTTGGCAGTACTAGAGTTTGAACTCAGAGCCTCATGCTTGCTAGGCAGGCTTTAATTATTTTTTTAGTAAGATCTTACATTTTTGTCTGGGGCCAGCCATGGACTAAGGTCCTCTTATATATGCCTCCTATGTAGCTGGGACCATAGGCACATAACACCACAGCCAGCTTGTTGGTTGAGATGGGGGGGCGGGAATCTCACTAACTTTTTGCCCAGGCTGGTCTTGAACCTCAATCCACCTGAGCCCTGCTTCCTGAGTAGCTGGGATTATGGGCATACACCACTATGCCTGGCTCTGTTTAACAGATTCTTATGAACTGTTTAATTAAAATAAATTACAAGAGTAAAGGGAGAAAGGAGCTGGGAAATGTATTCATTGGACCTAGAAAAGAGGAAATAGGCAGGTATTTGAAGCTTCACCATTCGTGACTTTTGTCAAGTTAACTAAATCTTAATGCAATTGCTGGTTAAGACATTGTGCTGAGTGCCACAAATGATGAAAAGGACCAATGACAGGATGGAGACTTTCAAAATAACAAGAGGGATTGATAGATTTTAAGGTGAGTAGTGCAATGGAAATCCTTTCAGATGATTAACTTTTTTTGTAACTTCCTGGTCTAATCTTATAAGTCAGAAGTAGACCTTCAGAGTTAGTGTGAACAGCCTCTGACTTCTGTTTAAGCCCCTTTCACTTTAAATATTATCATTCTGTCAACTCCTGTGTATTCAGAATAAATTCGTTTTGGAGGGTCCACGGCATTTTGATGTCCTCTTTTGCAGCTGCTTCTTGAACTTCCAAAGTTGCTTAACTATGAAACTCTGAAAGGTAGGAGTGGTACTGTGTTCATCTTTGTGTCCGGATAGCAGTTGAAATGAGGAGGCAGAGCTGGTGTGAAAGAAAAGTTTCATATTTAATTAAGAAGATCTGAATTTGAACACTACCATTAACTCTATGACCCCTCCTGTTTCACAGCTTAGTCCTGTGTGATTCATACCTTTGCTCTACTTCTGACTCCATCATCCAGTGGGCATAACTCTAGTTGAATGCCGAATAAGTCATAGTGCCTCACTTCTACAGCTTGGGCCCAGACATTACAGCAATTGCAGGTAGGGGCTAGGCTGCTGGGCTGGAGTCTGAAGATGCCTGTTCATTGAAGTTTGTAGACACCTGAACAGACTGAGGGGCCAGGCTCATTTTTAGGAATCCTGTTTTAAGCTTTAAAAGGGCTAGTCTCTGCAGTTTTCAAGGGAGATTATGAAGTATTTTTCCCCAAAGGAGTTTTAAAATAGCTGTACCAGTGAATTGTGCATTGTGTTATGTAGGTTATTGTTCCCCTGATAGTAAGGGATTTAATTTGTTGATCTCCCACAGCCCTTTCCACCTCCACAGCGGCATGAAGTTGGTTGATATCTTCCCCAATCCCCCACTCCTTTGCCCAACCCAGCTTTGGGCACTAAGGAGAAAGTGGGAAAGAGCTGAACATATCTGGGTGAGGGAAAAGCTAAAAAGTAGGTCAAAAAACTTAATCATGTGTTTGCCTATATATGTTAAAGTATTTGCTGTGCATTTATGCAATCATCCTTTAGTTTTGCTTTGTTTCTAAAAAAAAAAAGCAGAAAGGGAGACTGAATAAATACTCCAATGTCCATTGAAACAAGAGGTCCGGTTAGGGTAAATAACTTAGCAGACTTATTCTGGGCATCTGATATTTGCAGCCATGTGAGGCCAACAAACAAATCAATCAAGCAAAAGAACTTTGGCAACAAATGCAACGCATGGTGTGATAGCACTTTCAGTACATACTGGGTTCAAGGCAGCCTGAATAGGTGGAAGTAGCCAGTGGGCTTTCCATGAGAAGCCAAAATAGAAATTAGCATCCAGAAGTCAGGGTTAGCCAGTGGAGTCAGACAGGATTGGGAGCCAAAAAAAAAAAAAGTGGGGGAGCGGTGGGCGGGCATTTGAACTATTCTAGGAAGATGAAGATGAGAGTCTGGACCTGCTATGGGGAACATTGGTAGAGAAAGGTTCAGCTCAGGAGTCCGGAGACCTGAGTTGTAGTCCCAGCAATGCTACCAAGTTACTGACTAGCCTTGCACAAGACATCCTACTCGCCACCATTTCCTAGGGTTTGTTAACTATCTCTAAAATGAGAGTTGAGTGGTCTCCATGGTCCTGTGCAGAGCTAACATGAAAACAAACAAACAAACACCTTCAGGCATAAGAAGAGTATAAACTCCAGTACTGAGCGTTCAGTAAAAGGAACAGGACAGGTGCTATGCTCCTTTGCCTAGCCATCCATCATTTGATATCCTTTTAATGGTGTCCTAATAAATCTTTGCTTTCTCCTTTAAAAAAAAGAAACAGGACAGCGATGGGAAGATATGACAATGGATGGGAAAGATAGGACCTCGGTCCCAGAGGTTACGGTTTACTACTGCTGCTGTAACAAATTATTGCACACTTAATGCCTTAAAACAACACAAATTTGTTTATTCTCTTACACTTACAGTTCTGGAGGTCAGAAGTTCCAAATGGGTCTCACTGCGGTGAAATCAAGTTGTTGGCAGAGCTGTGTTACTTTTGGAGGCTTTTCCTTGTCCTTTCCAATTACTGGAAAACTGACTATATTTTTTGGCTCACGACTCTTTCTTCCATTTTCAAAGCCATCAGAATGGCATCTGCTAATCCCTTTGAAAGTTTCTCTTGCATCCCTTTTATGAGGTCCCTTGTGGCTATATTGGGCCCATCCAATAACCAAAAAAAATCTCCACAGCTCAAGATTTTTAACTTAATCATATGTGCAGAGTACTACTTGGTATAAGTTCTGTAAGGGAGCCTACCCCCAGACTCAAGGCATGACAACATTACAACTTCTCTCAGGGTTTGGAGGCAATTATTCTACCTACCCCGTCCCCCAAACCAAACTTTTCCATAGGTGGTTTTCCCTCCATCTCAGAAAATGGCCCTTTGGTGCACCCAGTTCCCCAAAGCAGAACCTCATTGGCTATCTATGACAACTTGGTCTTCCTCACCCTCTCCCCAACAGCTAATCCGTCATGAAGTCCTGAAAGGTTAACCTCCTCAAGGGTATTTAACACGGTCTTTCTTCACCATCTCTGCCACTATAACCTCAGTCTTACCAGCATCTCCCACAGAGTCTTCTCACCATCCACTCAGGTTTCTCCCCAGATCATTCTCCACAAACACAGCCAGAGATTTTAAAATCAAAATCTGGGTCTTACTGAAAACTTCAATGGTCTCTGAATACTACTAGACTAAAGGTAAATCTCTAAAAGGCTTACCAAGCCCTAGTAATTGGACCTCACATGATAACTCTCACCTACTAAGCTTGCCTACCGCCATCTATCAGTTGTCTCAACAGACCAAGTTTTTTGGCATCTTAGGGCATTTGCACATGCTAATCCCACTCCCTAGAAAGACTTGCCTTTGTCTTTGCCTCTCTGCCTTTGAACCTTAGTTAAACAGCACTTCCTCAGTAGTGTTTCCCAACCTTGACCTTCTCCCTGCCCCCAAGATTAGACGAGATCCCTCTACCAAATATTCTTTAGGGTATCCTGTACTTTTCTCTCATAATACTCACCGTAGTTTATAAGTAAGTATATGTATAATGATTTATTAAAATCTGATTTTCCTGTTGTCTTATGAGCTCTGTGAAGTCAGAGGATGTGTATATTCTAATCTTCTATGAACTACTGCAATTTTGATACCTCCAACAATGTGAGCAACTAATATTTGTTGAATGAATGAATGAGTGAATGACTGAATACAAGGTAGAGAGTGCAATATAAAGAGGCAGTTAAAGCTTAGTATCTATACTCAGATTTAAGTTTAAGTCATGGCTTTGCCTCTTATTAGTTGTATGACATTGGGCAAGGTATTTAAATTCTGTAAGGCTCAGTTTCCTGATCTATAATATGAGGATCTTAAAGTCTATCTTGTAATTGTATTGTGAGGATTAATATAAGGGCTTACAGTGCACCGCTGAAAATGAATGCTTGAATTTCATGACTTCTCCTACTTCTATGATCTCTAGAATCATAGAAGCGAATTCCATGTGAGCTTACAGTTTGTAAGTGAGAGCAGATTCCTGTCATTGGTCTAAAGTGGGGCTTTGGGAATAGAGTCCCAAGCATCACTGGGTTCCAGAGTCACCTGGGAGCACATTCACAAACTCCACCTCCATAGCTGTGACTGAGGTGGTAATTGGGAATCTTTCTTTTTAATAGGACCCCAAAATTATTCTGAAGTGGAGGCTTTAGGGTTTATACTTTGGGAAATGCTTATATGATTCTTTAAAGAGTCTTTGGCTAACTCCCCTGCATCCTCTCTGCTCCCATAGTACCTTGTCCATACCTCAGAGTAGCTCCTGTTGTATGTCTATCTCCAAACTAGCCGTGAGTTCCTAGAGAGCAGGGACTGTGTCTTGTTTATCTTTGTGGCCCAGGACCTAGCACAGTCCCTGATTGCGTGTCTAGTGAAACCTTCCTTTTGGTATCTGCACCTCTAACCTGCTGCCTACTTGTTTCCTATCACAGCAGCTGATTATTTAACAAGTTACTCAGATAAGCAAACTCAGGGTCATCTTTGACTTTGTCTCATGTGTCACATGTAACTCATCTGAAAGTTCTGTTGACTTTGCCTTCAAATGTATAAGAATCCAACCACTTTTTTTTTACTACACTGCTGCACACCATCCTATGTGCCATTGTCTCTTTCCTATACTATCTTTACTTTTATTCTTTTCACTACACAGACTATGCTCTACACAACAGTGAACCTTAACATTTTTTTTCTCTTTAGGATAAGCTTTTAAAACGTGGCATACCATATCTCTGCTGCAAAAAATTTCAGTGATTTGCCATTTCATATAGAAGAAAAGCCAAAGTTCTTACTATGACCACTGAGGTCTCAAGTGATCCGCATCCTCCACACCTATTTTTATTCATTATTCTCATGGTGTTTTTCTTACTTTCCTTGGATACATTAAGCTCACTTCTGACTCAAGGGTTTTGACCTTGTCTTGGAGTCAGAGGTCTGTGTGATTTGCTCCTTTATTTCACTTAGGTCTCTGAGGTCTCCCACTTCAGAAAAACCTGAAGTAAGCTGTTCTCTTCATATTCCCTATCCCCTGCATAATTGAAAATGATCTTTCTCTTTTGACCAAAGACAGTAGTCTATAAGGAAAGACAGTGGGCCAGAGTGAGTTGAACCTGCTTAGGATTATTTCTCTTCACTTCTTTGGGTCCAGGATTTCTGTCTCCCGTTTTTATTTGACTACCCATAATGTGGAATTAATGAGCTGGAAAAACTTTCTAGACGCAAGAGAAGCAGGTCAACTAATGACAGCAATCACTTTGAAGGCTTTTCTGCATGTTTTTCTTGCTTAATAGCTCTTTGATGATCCTGATCACAGACATTTAAAATCTTTGTTTCTATAGGACTTCTTGGACCTACTTTATATGCTGAAGTTGGAGACATCATGAAAGTTCACTTTCAAAACAAGGCAAGCAAGCCTGTAAGCCTCCATCCTCAAGGAATTAAGTACAGTAAATTTTCAGAAGGTAAGAGGTATTTTCTATCTCTTTGACAAGAGAAAATGCACCACTCTTTAACCCCATTGTCAAATATTCATATTGCTATTGTTAACCACACGTTGTTAGAGAAATCTCCTTTCCTGCATGTTGTAATTATAGAAATAGATGCCTTTGTCAGTTTCAGGTTTTGGAGTCATCTAGAAAAACTGGCTGCATCAGCCACAAGGTAGTAAGTACCTGACATTAATATTGCTCTGATTATTCCCATTATGTTGATGTTCTAATCATGGTAAGGAGAGTAGAGTTCTGTCAGGAACTGCTATAAAAATTATTGTAATCAACAAAAAAGCAAAAAAAAAAACCCCAAAATTATTGTAACAGTTGTTGGTATGATAACATTTTTAAATAACTTCAGACTTTCCACATTTCACAAATCTCTTTCCTTCTCCCACATGTTCCAATCATCATATCTTTGAAGAGAGGAACTCAGTAGGAGATCAGTTTATAGTGCAGATTCCAGACTAGACTACTAGATGTAAATCTTGTAGTCTAGTCTAGACCCTTAGGTCTATGTGCCCCATCTCTCTGATCTGTATGATGACGATAGTAATCACATAGGTATAGTACTGGTTTGTTATCATGAAATCTTAGAAAATACTAAGCAGTCAATAAATATTAGCTATGATAGTAAAGAGGAAACTTCAATCAAAATGTGTTCAAATAATTAATATTAATCTGATAATTTGTAACTTAGAAAATGATTCTTATACTTGTTATTTCCTAAATAAATTATTGCCAGACTCATTCCTACTCAGGTGTGAAGGAGTTGTAAGTCAATGAAGTACCTCCCCAAGAGTATTTATTTGCATTAACTAAAACTTAATTCTTGGCTTGAGGAAAACAATGAGCATCGACTGTGAATGTCTAAGCCAGGAGTGGTGGCATGCACCCATAGTCCCAGCTATGCAGGGCCATAGGTAGGAGGAACCCAGTCTGAAGCCAACCTAGGTAAAAACTCAAGACCCTACCTGAAAAATAATTAAAGCAAAGGACTGGGTGTGTTGCTCAAGAGGTAGAGAACCTCCCCGAGTTTATAAACAAACTGAATAAAAGCTGTGAAATGTCAACCATCTTCTAAAGCTAATTTGGCATATCTCTGGTGAGGCAGCATTCACAAGAGTCTCTTCTAATATTCCTAAAATCATACAGTAACATAAAGAATAACCACTTAACCTACTTATGAGGTTTCCACATGACTAACTCAGAAATCAGCAACACAGAGCAGGAGCAGGGAAAAACCTCAAAATGTCAAAGTGTTCCTTACAGGTTGCATTTCAAACATGGGAGGGGTAAGAGCCATGGACTTTGATCCTCAGCTAGGCTGTTTGCACAAGATATGAACCTTGCAACATCATTCCTCTTCCTTTAATATTTACTCTCCTCTATATTCCTCCCACCCAGAAATCATTTATTTTAAAATTTGCTTAAAATGCCCCCACCAGTTCCATTTGCAACTTCTTATTGGTGCATATTAGTGTCTCTGGTGCCATGAATCCAAAAAAATGTAAATGCAGATGAGTAGAGAAAGTAAAATTTTGTCTTGGAACTGAGAGATAAATCTAATAAACAGATAGTGTCCTTCATGTTAAGAGACAAGCTGTCTGTTCATTTTATTATACCTCTGTGTAAAATCAGACTGTCTCCTGTTTGACCCTTGGAGAAGAAACTAGCTGCATGCTGAGCCAGGTAGATGAGAGTCCAGATTTCTTTGTCACAGAGGTAGATATGTGAGAGATGGAAACTGGGGGATTGGGACAGTATAATAGGCTTGAGAAATCACAATACCAGGTAGAGCAAAGACAAATTGTGGTTTGCAAAAACACTTACTATTCCTTTAGAAATATATTTAATAGAAAAGTGTTTTTAAATCAAGAAATAAAATATCCATAACTGTACCTAGTTATTTAAAAACTTTCTCTCACTAAAAAGGCTTCAGTTGGAGTCTAAAATTTCAGATACTCTATAATATGCAGTGAATTGTTTGAAAAGTCATACCCTTGAACAAATTTTGTTGTTCAGTAAGATTTTCAAAGTTGATTTGGTTATACCTTTAGAAAGTTTAGTTCATAGTAAATCTTAACATTATTCTTTCATTTGATATATATCCTTGTATGTTAACTACCTGAGTTGCATTATGAGTATTGTACCACAAAATTAGTTCTATAACATCTAGCCATCTGTTAGTATAAGTCAATTCTCTGAATTAAAAAAAAATCCTGGAGGAGGAGGTGGCCCAAACAATGTATACACATGTGAGTAAATGTAAAACAATAAAATAAAATCTAACAAAAAAGTAACATTGTTATTAAATATAAATAAATAAATTCCATGATTGTTCCATGCATCTAAGTGTTGCCAAATTTTCTATGTGAAATTTTAATCTTCTAGATTTTTTCTATAATATTCCAATGCTTGACATAATGTAGGTGATTATATTTTTTACCTTTCACTAAATATTTTGGTTTTGTGTAGACACTTTCTTCGAATAAATAGATAATAGAGATAATAAATACTTGAAACAAACTATAATGGTCATTAATATAAAATTTTCATAAATCACAAAAATGTAAATTGCTCTTCAAAAGAGACTTGCATGCCCCATGCAATGGAATCAGGCTCTTTACAAAAACATCAGCATTTTAATTTGTCCATTGCCTAAATTATAGCTTCTGAAAGAATGTTCTGAGTCTTTGAATCATTGAAGCATTCACTAAGTTTATTAAATGTTGGGGAAAGAGTTGTTCACAAAAAGCAAGTAACAAGGAAGGATTTAATGAATGAGCACCCTAACGAGTAAGCAAAAAGGCTTTTTTATGGAATTTCCCAAAGCTTGTATGCACCATTTTACATAAAAAAGAAATACTGAGAGTTTCTTGGCAAATATTTGGTACATCATGGCAAGAGTAAACAAATTACAAAGCTGACTATGGACTGAGAAGGAAGTGAACAGAACTGGGTAAATATAAAATGAAGGACTACTCTTGTGTACAGAATTTATTCTAGCATGAGGCTGAACAAAGACTTTTTTGCCTTAGCACAATAGTCATTCCTGTCCATTTCTCCTCTTTTCAGTTTTGAGTTTTAACTTTTCATTTTGATTACCAAGTCAAAAATAAGATTCACCAAAAATGCATTTCCTCAATGCTTCCTCTAAATAGCTGTTTGTATTTCATACCTTGTATTGAGTTCCAAAATAAAAAATGTAACATGCCTGTTTTATTCTAAAGGTAAAAGTAATTTGAAGTGAAAAGAAGAAAGCACTTAAAATTATCCCCCAACTATCTCACTAGTAATCCTCACATGTATATATGCAGAAATATATAGCATATTCAAATCTATATTGTCCACTATTTATCTCGTTACCAATATCCACCTTGCAAGCTTAATTAAAATCATCCATTCAAATATTTAAAATTTTTCTTTAACTGAGAGATGAATGTGAAATTTTTAGTAATTTGCTTTGGTCAATTATTTGGCCATTCATTTGTGTAACTATAGTAACCTTTTAAATCTCTCTACGTATATCAAAACATCATGTTGTACACAATTATTTTAAAACCCATTATGTTTTCAAATAAACCTGGATATGAATCACTAACCATTCACAAATAAATTTAATATCATTATAAAAATCAGTCAGACTGCTATATCTAGGACAAGTATTATGGCATTTGTGTAGTTCTTAGATATTTATATTGCTTTATTCTCCTTCCAGATAAACAGTGTTTTCTAATTGTGGCCTCTGCACTGAGTGACATAGAAGAAATCTAGAGGTGAAATCCATCACATCTAAGGCACCAACATGTACTCTAGTGTTAACTAGGCTTAGCCACAGAGGGGCCAGCTGTGTCTTCTTGACATTTGCATCTGGTACAGTCTGAACACATATGATGACGATGTAAGGGCCATTGATTATGGTGATGTGATAGTGACGGTGATAATAATCACTGAACTACACTGAAGGACTGAAGACTTTAGTATAGGGACTTTGAGTTATTTTCCCTTTGCTTGGAAGTTTATTAATTTTGTGGGTGATTTTGAACAGCTACATTGTTTTATTACCAGTTTTTAGGATAGATACATAACTTCAACAGACCAGATGTGCATATCTCCCCAAAACTCATATGTTGAAATCCTAATCCTCAATGAGATGGTGCTAGAGGGTGGGGCCTTTGGGAGATACTTAAATCATGAAGAAACACTCTCTTATCCTCTTTCTTCCATGTAAGGATAGGCTGAGAAGAAAGCAGTCTGTAACCTGGAAAAGGGCCTTCACTAGAACTCCACAATGCTGGAACCTGATCTCAGACTTCCAGCCTCCGGAAATATGAGAAATATCTGTGCTTAGAAGCCACCTAGTCTAGAGTTCTTTGTTATATCAGCCCAAACTGAAGCAATAACCCATTTCAATCTTTCTCACATTTCTTTACAGAATTCAAGAACACTTAAGATACATCTCACCCAAAGAAAACAGAAAGGAAATAGGCTGTATTAGTTATAAAGTAGCTGTGAAAGGAAATACTTAAACTAAAACACTGGTGTATCACCACAGACTGCCATAGAAATTGTTAAGTGCCAGGCATCATATATATTTTCCAATCCTCATAAACCATCAAAAATGATATTATCTCTAGAAAAAAGGATTATATTGTCTTAAATTCTGAATCTGAAACAGAAGCTAAAAGAACCATTAGGAAACGTTCCCAGTAGAAGTGGCCCAAACAATGTATACATATGTAAGTAAATGTAAAAATGATAAAACAAAATTTTAAAAAAAGAGAAACGTTCCTAAGATGGTTCAACTGAAATATTTCAACTCAGAACCTAATACTCAGGTACATTCTCCCATAGTATAGCAGGATCTACACAAATACCTAATTACAAATTGTGAAGAGCATTATTTTTAAAAAGCATATAAGCTGGAGGTGGTGGTGTGTGCCTATAATCTCAGTACTCAGGAGGCTGAAGCAAGAGGACAGTTAACCTGCCTATGTGGTAAGACCCTGTCTCCAAAAATAAAAATAAACAAAAATTTAAAAGCCATGTAGCATAATCAGAGACCAAAGAAGCAGTAAACTGATACTGAATCAAACATTTACAGGGTAAGCACACATTTATCCAGAGAAAGAAATGAAGAACATTAAAAGTTATTTCTTATTCTATAAGGAATGTCACATTTTGTCTTTTGGAAAGCTTGTGAAGACAATGGAAAAAATGTGATTTTCTATCGTAGGAATTCCCTGTAGGAATCACAGCTAGACGGGTGGAAACTTTGTGTCCAGAAGCTTCATGTTTTAACCCCAAGAGGCCCTCAAGTAGGAAGGAGTGAGTAAGGGCCACCATGTTTGATTCACATTGTGCAGCTCAGCAACTAGACACTCCTTCCAGTGCAAGGTTTGACTTGAGGGGGTCACCTGCCTTACCAGTCCTGTTTGTGCTTGACTATCAAAGCTCCTCTGTAACTTTTCAAAGATAAAGCTTCCTGTTTGACAATGAAGAGTCTTCCTCAGATACGCTTTTTTTTTGTGACTAAAATAATGCTATAAATCAAAGGAAGTTATTAAAGCTTTTATCACTTCTCAGTTCCTGATTATTTTAACAATCAAATCCTGTTTATCACTGGAAGTTCAGCTTATATTAAATGTTGGTTTTCAGTCAGTATCAGACTATCTTTTTGGAGGAAAAAAGACACAACAGAATTCAATGTTAAGCTTTACACCTAACAAAATACATCAATGAGTGGTGACTTGGTGACCTTAGCTCTAGTCTCAGGTCCTTAAATCGTAAACCTTAAATAAACATGCATTGAGCATCTTCTCCGTGCTCATGCTCCATGCTTCTCTATATACTCTGGAAGGCACCAAAGGTATTAGGATAAATACAATCAGCAACTTACACCTTGGCAACCAAAATGTGCAGGGTGTGAATAATTATACTCTAGTAGGAAAACTTAATCACACAATACAAGAAATATTTAACTATGGCCAGTCATGGTGGCTCACAGATCGAAGTTTGAGGCCAGCCTGGGCAAAAAGAGTAAGATCCTATCTGAACTATAACCTAAAGCTAAAAGGGCTCTGGGGTCATGGCTCAAGTGGTAGAGCACTTGCCTAGCAAAGGTAAGGCCCTTCATTAAAACCCAGTACTACCAAAAAAGAAAACAATATTTAACTACATATTGTAGTATTAGAAAAGAAAAAAATAAGTGGCAGAATCAAAGATAAAGGAAGGAATAACTGACATTTAAGTTGACATCTGAAGGATGAGCATGCATTTATCCAAAGGAAGAAAAAGAGAAAGAGTACTCTAAGCAAAGGGAACATTATCCATGTCTGGGGAAGTGACAGGGGACCTAAGTAGTGATCCATGGTAAACACTGGAAGGTGTGACATATGGGTGAGCCTGGAGAGAGAAGTAGGGGTAGATCATCCATCGACCATGTTAAGGATTTTGTGAAATAAGTCAATCTATATGATGTACCTACTCAGCTTTCCATGGTAAAGCTTCCATGCTTACAGAACCTTATGCAGTACAGCAATGCATATCACTGCAGTACATGAAAACACATAACTGATCATTGCATAAGCTTTCATGTTTCCCAGTCTACCTGAAGATCCCAGATATATACTAATGCCATGCAAACTCATGCAAAGTTTTGAGTGGAATAGACTTTCTGACGATGATGGAGAAAGGTACAGTTAAACAAGGGAAGCTGACATTGCTGCAATATAAAAATTTAAGACGGCTATTATGATTCTTTCCCATATGTTCCAGAAAGTAGAGAAAAGCATGAAGATGATCAGGAGAGATGTGGAAGATATAAAATACATGAGTAGAACTTTTATAGATGAATACAATAGCTGAAATGGAAAGAATGCTGAATGAGATTGACAACATATTAAATTGGACACCATGGATGAAAATATTAGATGACATTAATATGAAAGTGATTTTTTAAAAAAACGCCTAAACAAAATGAACAGAGAATTCAGTAAACTTTAGGACAATATCAAATTATGTAACATATATGTAATAGATCCCAGAAGCGGTAAAGACAGAGAAGATATTTAAAGAAATAATAGCTGAAAACGTTCCACATATGAAGTCTACAAACCTACATATTCAAAGAGGCTTGACAAAACTTAGAAGGAGAACTGTGAAGAAAACCATATCAAAGCACACCATGAGCAAGGTGCCAAAAACTAATGATAAAGAGAAAATGCTAAAAGTCATCAGGAAATAAAAGTACATTATATATGGGGGACATTAATAAGAATTGAGTGCATACTTATCTTTAGAAACATTTCAAGTCAGAGGACAATTTAAGACATCCTTAAAGTATTGGAATGGGGCAGGAGATGAGGGAATCTGTCCACTTTGTATTCTATGTCAAGCAAAAATATTCTTTTAAAATGAAATCACAATGAGGGCAGTTCAGGGCATACAAAAACAGAGGTAATTTTTTTTTACTAGCAACACAGTACAAAATGTGAAAGGAATTCCTTAAAGGAGAAGAAAAATTTTATCATTGGGATATTCAGATTCACAAGAAGGAATGAAAAGCTCTAAAAATGTGTAAATATAGAGAGAAATTTTCCCTCATTTTAAACTTCTTGAAAAGATAATTTGTTACCTACATATTAAAGTAAAAATAATTTATTGTGGACTAGATTACATATATAGACGTAAAATACATGATAAAAGTACCATAAAGTTTGGGAGGGAGAAATGGAAATACATTTTCACAGGTTCCTGTAAGAGAAATGATGCAATATCATTTAAACAGAGAGTGTGATAAGTTAAAGTTGTATATTGTAAACTCAAGGTCACAGTTAATAAAGCAAAATAAAGCTAATAAGCCATTAGTGAAGATTTTAAAAACCATTAAAAAATCCAAAAGAAATCAGGAAAGAAGAGAAAAAGAAAAATAACAAAGACAAAAAAGAGAAAACAAATAACAGGGTGGTAGTTTTAAGACCAACCATATCATTATTATGTTAAAAGTGATGTAAAGAATGTCACAATTAAGAGATAAATTATAAGACTGAATAAAAAAGTAACACCAAACTGCACATAGGATTTAAGAAATCCACTTTAAATTAAAGACAAAGATGGGTTAAAAATAGAGAAAAATATATATCATACTAACTAGCCCTAATGAAACACAAAGGCATATATAACATCCCATTTATTTGGTATCATAAAAAAGCAAAACTATATTGAAATAAAACAGATCAGTGCTTTCTTGGGCTTAGGTAGGATAGGGTTTTGCGTACTGATCATACAAGGAGATTTTGGACTGAAGGAACCATTGCCTAACGTTAACCTGACTGTAGCTGTAAGACTGTACACATTTGTCAAAACTCAGTAAATATTATACTTAAATTTGGTGAACTTTATTGTATTGAATAATACAATGAAAAATGAATAATACCTCAATAAAAATGAAAATGGCAGGGCATGTCTGTAATCCCAGCACCTAGGAGGCATAGGTGAGAAGATAGTGAGTTCAAGTCCAGCCTGGGCTACTTAGCAAGAATCTGTCTCAAAAAAAAAAATGAATGAGAGGCAAAGAGGGAAGGAACGAAGGGTGGTAAAAGAGAGACAAGACAAATATGGAGAGAGGAGAGTAGGAAAGAAATTAAGCATTTCTCTTTTCAAAAAATATAGTCACTTGAGCAAAAACAGTTTCCAATGACCCATTCTCCATCATGTAAAACATTTCAGATTTGATTCTTTGGTGCACACATCCACACGCTAACAGTCTCACCTTCTACCAAAGACAACAGTATCCTAAAGAGAAATTCTGGCACCAGCTGATAGTGGTAAAACTTTCACCTAATTAAATGAGGAATGCCACAGGCAGGGGAAATTACCCATGATACTGCCTATGACTTCTCCTTTTGTTGACCTCCTTGCTCCATGTCTACCACATCTTTCTTTAAGTGTCAAAAACCCCACCCAACCCTCTGCACTTCTTTTAATCTTGATCATTTCAGTTCCCTTTCTTCAAAAAGGAAAACTAATTTTTACATCCTCCTTCCCACCTGCCAAAAGGGAAAGTTGAGTATACTGGGTTATTAATGTGTCTTGGGGTGCATAAAAAATAAGTCAGAAATCTTAACTTCAGAGGATAGATACATTTTATATTCACAAAGATAACTAAATTGCATGTATGAGATAGACACTGAGACTCTGGAAAAAATTGGGATAATCAGATGACAGAGATGATAAAGAAATTAAACAGGGCTGAGGATGGCTGCAGTTGAAAACAGGATATGATACTTTCAGAGCCAAACAAGATGATGTATAAACAGTTCCATGTGTACATACACACCATACTAATAGGCACTTAAGTATAAAATGACTTGTCAAGGACCACAGAGAAAATATAACCTATTCTTATATTCCGAGATGATTTACAGATGAAATGTGACTCGAGTCTGATTATATTTACACTTGTTAGGATACCATGGAAACTTAACTTGTTAAACCTTAACTAATTTACTAGTAACAGTGATTCTTCAGATCACCATGGTGTCAAAGGCTTTATAACTAGTGGGCATAGAAGTCGAGACATGTGGTCTCTAGAGAGCTCATCTCAGGTTCCCCAGAATTGAGAATGAAAAGTGTAGTTCTCAGAAAATGTCTAGATGTCTTCATAGTGCTGCTTCTTTAGGTGCTTCTTACCATGACCACACATTCCTTGTGGAGAGGATGGATGATGCTATAGCTCCAGGCCAAGAATACACCTATGAGTGGGTCATCAGTGAGGACAGTGGGCCCACACAGGATGACCCTCCATGCCTCACACACATCTACTACTCCTATGAAAATCTGACACAGGACTTCAACTCAGGGCTTATTGGTCCTCTGCTCATCTGTAAGAAAGGTAAGAGCAATAATAACAAAAGATTCCACAGCAAGTAAGATGTTAGAGTGGTAAATTTCTCTATAATGGGGTGAGGCTTAGGAGCATCTTGGTACCTTCCTATACATCAGGCAGAAGCAGAAGGATGCAGAGACCAGATCACTGTTTAACAAGGAGGAAAAACACTTGGTATTAAAGGGAAGTGGTTTCCTTATTTCTTCTAATTCTCCCTCATCTCAGTCATGGGAACTTCTACCAAGTGTATTTCCGTTTCAGAGTGTATTCTGTTGTCATGCTTGTATGATCCGTAACATTTACCTTATGGCCAAAGTCTTTTTGAAAGTGTAAATACTCTGCTGAGAAAGCTCCTGGCAAGGACTTTTGGCTAATGTATCTGCTGTAGCTGAAGTGTGGGTTGATAATTTGGTCTACGAAAACAAGAAACTCCTGCTTCCTTTCTTATAAACAAACTGAACACTTTAGGTGGTAGGTGTTTATGAGAAATTTCATTGACTGGGCTTCTTAGGATCAGGCTTGGATTTTCTTTTTAACCCAAGAGAATTCAGCCTGTCTTTCATTAAAACAAGCAAAGAACCAACAAACTGTACCATAAGAGATAATGGTAAGATAGACTTAACACCTGTCTATACATACACACTGGCCAAATCTATACACATTCCCAATTCATTTATTCATCATAAAAATATTTTTATTTCTTGGTATATAGAAAATTCCCTTTCATTAAGCCATCAGCAGCATTTTTCCTCATGAAAATGAATTAATACTGATACAACCAATTCTCTAGTGCCTCATTTCATGTACAAATGAGAAAATTAAATTAAATATACAGTGTAATACTGTTATCACCTGAGATAAGGTAGAGCCTAATAAGACTGGAAGAAATGGATGCTTTTACAGAGGCTGAGAGGCACCAAATGCTTACTTTCTGTACCAGGTGGGATTTACCTTTAAAGCTGTTTCTGAGTGTACAAGGTACCAAAAGTAAGTTATGTGACAGGACGAATTTAATACCACCCCAACCATTATGACTTTGATAAAAGGTGCTATTTTTTAAAAAATGAGAACTTTGAGCTTGTATCACTATGATTGGTTTGTGCCCTAACCTCTTTGCTATCTAGGAAAGCTAATGAGAGTCTTCCATCTGGGGTCTTTTCTCTCTCAGGCACCCTGACTGAGACTGGGACTCAGAAGATGTTTGACAGCCAACATGTACTGCTGTTTGCTGTGTTTGATGAAAGCAAGAGCTGGAGCCAGTCCTCGTCCCTAATGTACACAGTCAATGGCTATGTGAATAGGACGATGCCAGGTAACATGTGGGCCATGCACCATGGAGCAGTGGTAGAATCTGTAGAACTTTAGCTCCATTGTTTTCCTGAGGCATTGGGGAAGTTGACCATACTTACTGTTTTTCAACTCCTAATCAGAAAGTAGTGTGGAATGGGTCTCAAGATTTTATCTTTTTTTTTTTGGTACTAAGGTTTGAACTCAGGGCTTTCACCCTGAACCACTCTGTCAGTCTTTTTTTGGGAGGGGGGGTGTTATGAAGGATTTTTTTGAGCTAGGGTTTCATGAACTATTTGCCTGGGCTGGCTTCAAACCATGATCCTCCTGATCTCTGCCTCCTGAGTAGCTAGGATTACAGGCATGGGCCACTGGCACCTGCAAGATTTTACCATTTTTTAACCACAAAGTATAGGAGATAAATTAGAAGCTATCTAAGAGAAGAAGTGTGCAGCCTTATCAGGTGTAGTATTTTGAGTAGGTTTTACCTTGGCCTGTACCTCCAAGAAGAGCTCCAAGATACCAGTTCAGTCTCTCTCAGTGAGTTCTGTGGTCTCTGCTGCATGGTGACCACACCTACTTCTACTCAAGTTCAAGGTCAATCTGTGTAGCAGGAATGACCCAAAGAAAGAATGCAATAAAGACACTTGCAGTGAAGAAGAGCAGGAGATTAGGAAATTTTCTAACACACAAATACCCTACTAGCATTTCAAAAACATGGAAGAGTATTATTCAATGATATATAGACTCTTAGGAGAAAGTAAAATCATAGCAACTGTTAAGTAGAGAAAAAAAACCCACTTTCAGTATATTAGTCCATTTTCTGTTTCTATAACAAGATACGCAAAGCTGGGTACTTTACAAAAAAGAGAGGTTTATTTAGTTCTCAGTTTTAGAAGCTGAAACTTCAGGATTGTGCCAGGATTGGGCCTCTGGTAAGGGACCCCATGCCTGTATCTCAACATGAGAGAGAATCAGAACAGTGAAATGGACACGTTCAGGAGAGACCTTTAACAACTTACTCATGAGAACTATCCAAATTTCCATATTACATTAACCCCTTCCCAGGGTAGCACCCCCAATGACCTGACCACTTTCCACTAGGCTCCACCTCTTAAAGGTTCCATCACCTTTAAGGTTCCATCACCTTTAAGGTACCACCACACTAAGGGCCAAACCTCTAGAACATGAACTTTTAGGGAGCACCATATCCAAACCATAGCATCACGTGGCTATACCACCTCTTCTTCTTTCTGGTAGAACTGACTTAGAGCTATAGTTCCAGGGTATATGGTAATTAGTCTAAGAAAAATTGAAAATATTTCCATATCCTATAACACTAAACTTCTGAGAAGTCATTCCCTGTGTCTGAATATCACAGATGGCTTCATCACTAATTGAAAAACAGAAAATAACAAGAGTTGAGGTTTAGGGCTGGAGCACTTGTCTAGCAAACATGAAGCTCTGAGTTCAAATCCCAGTACCACCCCCCCCCAAAAAAAAACCATGCTTGTCTATTAATTCTTAGTTCCAAAATCAGGGGATTGCAAATCTAAGGCTCAATTAACTGCCCTCCACTTTGGGAGATCTGAATTCATACCTCATTCTCATCCCCATCTTAGTGTAGTCCTGGACAATTAGTAGTTTCAATGTGCTTACTTACAAAAATGGATTAACCATCTATCCTGTTTCTTGTCTAAGTAAACAATCCATGTAAATGTATAGAAGCCAAAATAGGCAGACCATAAGCACAAAAATAAAATAATTTGATCAGAGCAGGGAGATTATGAAACTGTAGTTTAAAAAGAATAATTGAGGGGAAAGGGGAAAGGAGGGGAAGCATCACTACTAGAAAGAGAATACTTAATGTATATAAGACTCCCTGTCTTATATATAAATTGAATAAATGTGATAAATGCTAACATAGATGTGTTCATTGCTGGATCAATATTAGAATTTCTTTGAGGATTGACAAATATTCCCACCAAAATATATCTTTTTCTCACCAGTGATGCCAGCAATCTCTTCCTTGCTACAATTGTCTCCTAAAAAAAGGACAAACCCCTCTATGGGTAAAGGACTGATTCTCGGTCATGTTATCCAGTTATCTAGTGACCATGAATCTGAAATGTAAAATTCAAGCCAAGGATAGAAGCAAGGATAGGAATTTCCTACAGAGAAAAAGAACATTTTTTTAGTCACTATAGGAGCAAAGAAGGGGCAAAACTAAGCTTTTGTCCTCAGTTCTCATTACTCTATCCACAAAAAGCTACCAGTGGCCAGCATATCAAGGACACATCCACTGCATTTTTAAGGACAGTGTGCAACCCACAGAGTAATTCATCATTTTGTCATTTTTTTTTAAAAAAATTAAAAAGTGGCAAAGCAATAGAAAATCCACAAAACATCCTCATTACCCTCTTCTCCTGGGCAGAGCTTTGACCGTTATCCTGCTGGGAGGGTTAGGTCCTTGGAATCAGCCCTTTTAGCACTAACTCCTCCCAAAGGACATCAGATTCATGTGATTGCCACTACATTTTGCCTAGGACTTTACCAGTTCTTATACTGAAATTCTGCATCCTTGGAAACCCCTCTGTCCCAGATGAACCAGGATGGTTGGTCACCTACTTGGTTCCATCCTTGGCTTGATTGCTTAGCAGACCCTGTGTTTCTGAACTAATGTCCCCCATCTCTAGGCTCTCATCTTAACTCCATAATGAGGCATGACTACTCATTTGCCCATCACTCAGATAGCTATTTCTGCAGCACAGGAACCATGGCTGGAGCACTTGTTTCCCCAGAACTTTATACAATGCCTGGTGTATAGCAGGTGCTTGATGCATATTTGGCGAGTGAATTTTTGATCATAGAGTACTGAACTGAATGACTGCTTTGACCACTATCTCTTTCTCTTTCTCTCTCAGATATAACAGTTTGTGCTCATGACCACATCAGCTGGCATCTGATTGGAATGAGCTCTGGACCAGAATTGTTCTCCATTCATTTCAATGGCCAAGTCCTGGAGCAGAACCATCATAAGGTCTCAGCCATCACCCTGGTCAGTGCTACGTCCACTACAGCAAACATGACCATGAGCCCGGAGGGAAAATGGATCATATCTTCTGTTATCCCAAAACATCTTCAAGGCAAGAACCTCTTATGATACTCTTTCTTCTAAATACAGCATCTTTTCTTTCCAGGTACACTAACTCCCGCCTTTTCTTTTGCTCTTCCAAGCAACCCCACTCCAAACATACATATCTTGGTTCCTAACAATAGAATTTAAATAATCTGCTCTTAGACTTATAACCCATTGGTTGGAGATGAAGGAAGTAAAGACATTGACAAAGATTTTTTAAAGTGAAGTAAAACCTGAAGAGGTCTTACTTCCTTGAAAGGAGAAAGAGGAAGGAAACAAATGCATACATAGAGATACTCCTTCATGAAGTATCTCTTCAGGAGAATTTCATGAGTAGACAAAGGAAAAGACCTAGATTTAACAAGACTAACATCCTCAAATTTATAGAAGCACCGAGTTACTGAGAGTGTAAAAGTTTAAACATGAAAAGATGGTCCTTTACAATGTGATGAACACAAAGCAAAGGAACTCAATGTGTGTTGTGTGGATCACAAATAATATCTTAATACCCAATGAGTGAATTCACCAGGAAAAAAATCAGCAAGGTTTATGTAGTACTATGTAAGCAAAATAATTAATGTTCTGGTACACATTGTTTGCTTTAAAACTGTTGAAAGTAGCATTCATGTTTAGAGAAACTAAAATCTAGTAAATTATATTACTATAAAAAATCATTTTGTTACCAAAATAATGTATACAAACACTTAAAGAAGAAATATTTCATGGGATCATTTTGTTTTTCTTTTCACACTGAGTAATTAAAATTATATTTGAAGTAATGAGATTGCCATAATATCCCTAGAAGATAGAGTTCCTAGTAATATTATAAAAACTAACATTAATTGAGGATAAGTGCTATTATGGATTGTTATTTAATTTTAATGACAATTTCATTAAATATATATTATAGTCTTCATTTTACAGAAATAGTAAATAATATGAAAAATGAGAATTTGTAAGACCTAAATCATAGGGTTTTCTTGTTCTTGTTTTTGTTTTTGCTTTGTTTTGTTTTTGTGGTGCTAGGGATCAAATCCATGTCCCCTCATATGCTTTACCACTGATATTCACACCCATCCCAAGTCATGGGATTTTAAGGGTTTAGAAATTTACAAGAAATCTTTCTTCCCCAGAAGAAACAATGGGAATCTTTCCAAGTTTTTCCTCTAACTTTTCTTCCCCTCCCTCTACTTTTTATTCCTACCCCATTCTTTCATCCACTGAAAGAGTCCCAAACCAAAATTTTCAAAAGCTGTCTGAATATTGCTCTCACTGTTAATTCTTAAATCTTCCACAAACTGATTTTAAAATATGTTTTAATCAACAATAATTTCTTCTCTCAAATTCTTTTACTGTTTTTATATCCTAATTCAGCTGGGATGCAGGCTTACATTGACATTAAAGACTGCCTAAAGAAAACTAGAAATCCTATGAAACTAACTCGAGGCCAGAGGCGGTACATAAAGAGGTGGGAATATTTCATTGCTGCAGAAGAAGTCATTTGGGACTATGCACCTATTATACCATCCAATATTGACAAGTGAGTTATCAGAATTTGTACCACTGTTTGAAGGTTTGAGACATATTCCATACGTTCCTAAGTGTGTGGGGGCGAAATGTCATTAGTGCGCAGCTCTCAAGGAGACACGTGTATTGGTTTCCATTCAGGCCTTCTTGTCCAAATCAATCTTGAATTATCGCAAACTCATGAAGGAAATCCAACCAAAGAATAAAGCAATAATGGGAGCTACCACTTGTTGAATGCTTGCTTTTGTCAACCATGTATTTGATCCTTTCTAAGGGTTTCATGTTAATTCTACAAGTTAGACACTACTCTTATTTTCTCATAGATAAGGGAATGTGTCTATGAGATTAAGATATTTGGAAGTTCAGATAACTCTTAAACACTTGAGAAGATACTCAAGTACACTCATAATAAGAGAAATGCAAATTAAACTTCACTGAAATACTATTTTTTTCCTGCTAGTGTTAAGTTCAGATGATACTATACATCAACGAGGCTGTGGGAACCAAACAACACACCTTCTGGTGGGAGAATACATTCGTGAAACAATTCTGTGGGATAATTTGGCAGAATGTGTCAAAATTATAAATGTATATACTCTTTAACCCAGCAACCTCACTCCAGAAATTTAACTATATGAGTCTTGTTCACAGGTAAAATGGTATATGTTTAGGTTTTTCACTACTGGATTTCTAGCTGTTAAAGATTATAAATAATGCAAAATGTCTATCAAAGGAAATCAGCTTATTAAAAATTATGATACATCTATACAATGGAATACTATGAACCAAAAAGAATGTAAATGTTCTCTATATACTAATATAAAAAGTTTTCCAAGAATCATGAAATTTAAAAGTCAAGCTGTATTATAGAGTCTATAAATAGCTACCTTTTGTTAAAGAAGGGGGATATGAATGTTTGTATTTGCTTGTTTTCAAGTCATTTGCACAAGATACTAAAATTATACACACAAAATTAAGATAATTTAGAAAATTCAGGGAAGGCTAGGGACAATATCAGATGTGAGAATTTTTACTGTAATAAAAATCATGTGAATGTATTTCTAAAACTAGACCAAGAGAAAGAGCAAAAAAGAAATTTAGCCAAGATTATATAATTAGTGACAGAGCTAAGATAGGAATCTGAGACTCTGGCAATAGTCATTTTGACTGTTCAAAACAAATACATAAGGTAAACACTCAGAGCTTCTGCTTTTGCAAACTAATGCAAAACAGAGAGTCAACTACTGTTCGTGTTGCTGCCCCCAACAATCATTATCCCAGTAAGTACAAAAGATGGTGACGGAGGTTGCTTTTCAATAGACCCTCACAATCTCTGTGGATCAGGTGAATGGTGGGAGCACAACAGCATAGAACTATGACAAATAAATAAAGTTGAACAAAAACTTCCTGGGGGTGCGTCTAAAGATTGAGACACATCTGGAAAGCAATAATGGTATCATAGATTAAGTGAAATAAAGACTTTAGAAAAACTCCTCATGTGTCCTATCCTCTCAGTCAGTGTACACCTTTGCCCAGAGGTATCTTAAGATCTGCTGTAGCAATGAGAGTGACAGGAAGATCCAAGTAGCTTCTTCTAATCAGTACTTACAATTTAGTCAGTGGTAGAAGAGATGACTCGGATGTTTTTAATTTTCTAACTACATAGAAGACATAGAACCTTGAAAACTACATTAAGAACTTTTAGAGAACTTAGTCTGGTGGTGTGGCTCAAGAAGTAGAGGGCCTGCCTAGCAAGCATCCAGGCCCCAAGTTCAAACGATGGTATCATCAAAAGAAAAAAACAGAATTTTTTTTTGGAGAACTAGCATTTTTAGCTAATCTAAAAACAGACCTTTTAAGCACAAGGATTTCCTCATCCTACTGGGGTGTGTCTGTACTTGAGGAAGTAGTTTAATTTTTGTTCTATTATTTCATTTCACTTTAAGAAAATATAGGTCTCTACACTTGGATAATTTCTCTAACCAAATTGGGAAAAATTATAAGAAAGTTGTTTACAAACAGTATGAAGATAGCACTTTCACCAAACGCATAGAGAAATCCAGTATCAAAGAAGATGGGATTTTGGGCCCTATTATCAGAGCCCAAGTCAGAGACACACTTACGGTAAGTAACATAAATACAGAAGAAATTAAATAGAGAAAAACAGATCATAGAGTAAGTGCTTATTTGTTTATACTTAAGAGAAAAGTTGTTCCTATAATTTTAAACGAAACGTATCTTTTAGTTCTTATTTAGAATTTGCCTGTATTTATAGCCTACTCAGTAATACAAAGGGCCTGTGACAAATGATCATATTAAAAAGGAATAAAATGGAGTCAATGTAGTTAGGCCAAAGTGTAATACTGGAACAAAAAAATAAGACCACAAGTAATTTTAATGAAATACATAAGCAATCCTATAATGCTGTCTGAAAATTTGTCCTGAGTTACATAGCAGACAAAGTGAAAAACGAAATATGCTTGAGAAAGATTTGTACATCCATAAACATGGCATGGTCTGCCCAAGCCTGAGACCTAAAAGAAATTTCTTCCACAAATCCTTTACATGAGGGTGCTGTGAGATGCAGCTTTTATAGAATTGAAAAGGTGAACAGCTTTTAAAACTAATATTTCTCATTGTTGCTGAGAATATAATGGCAAGCACAAATGAGTACAAACAATTATTTAATGTCGTCTAGGTATGTGGTTTTCTAATGATTGACCTCAGATAAAGGTAAATTTAGGTATGTATGAAGAGCTTAGAGTTATCCTTAGACAATTGTCCTTAAATACTATGTCACATCACTGAGATAGTAATAACTGAGCAGCAGAGAATTGAAGGTTACAATCTTTGGAATTTCCTAGAGTGCAAATAATCTACAGATTAAGGATGAATCAAAGGCTTGAGCAATCAACCAAGTAGAAGATAAAATTAAGAATCTCTTTCAAAGATTAAAGAATGTAATTGGGACCCCTGTGTGAATGATGCCCCAGACAAAGCCTATTTTGTTCATTTAAAAATAATGAAAGAAAAGAATTCCTTCTCTATGACCCCTTCCTTCCCTCATTTCTGGTTCCTTTTAGGTGCTTTAGGTCTATGGGTAAAAATACCTTATTGGGAATTCAGGATCTGGCTATTTGTCCTAGCAGGAAGATGGATTAAATGACAGGAGAGCAGGCAGGCTAGAGAAGGGTTTCATGGTCTAGTGATGAGAAGTAGCAAATGGAGAAAGGAAGGGAGATTAGGACAAACTTGGAGAGGGTGTTAGGAAAATGTAATTTCTGCTAACCTGTCTTCTAAGATCGGATCTCTCTATTTCCCTCTTTAATGAGTGAGGAAAACTCTCAAAAGCTCCTGCCAGGTAATGGGGGGAGATTGCTGCTCAGAGAAGCAGAACTGATTTACACACACACACACACACACAAATATGCAACCTAGCATCTTATATTGCATTTCATGAGAAAGCTCAAATCCAGAAATAATAAAGCTGATTTACATTTGTAGATCGTGTTCAAAAATATGGCCAGCAGAGCCTATAGCATTTACCCTCATGGAGTGACCTTCTCTCCCTACGAAGATGAAACCAATTCTTCCTCCTCCTCAGGTAGGAATCTTTCACTTCTATTGAAAGAAACTAATGGCTTCTGAGAGGCTTCCATAGTTTTCAGTTGTCCTCCTTGGCCAATGGTATAACTAGTGCGGTCAGTAGTACACATGTAGAGATAACCTAAAAAATCACAGGCAAACCCTTCTTACTTCAGGGTTTTGCCTATGAGTGGCCACAAAATATGGTATCCTTTATTAGTATTATAGCGGCCTCTAGTGGAGAAGTATTGAACGCCTACATGTTATACATGATTCAAGTATCATTTAATGTAAAATGAATATTTCTTTCCTGATATTAACTGGATCCAGTAAGAACTAAAATATTTATTTAACTATCTATATTTAATTTTCCAAATTAAAATAATTTTGAGTACATTTTCTTTCAGGTGGTCACATGATCAGAGCGGTTCAGCCAGGGGAAACCTATACTTACAAATGGAACATATTAGAGTTTGATGAACCTACAGAAAATGATGCCCAGTGCTTAACAAGACCATACTATAGTGATGTGGACATGACAAGGGACATTGCCTCTGGCCTGATAGGGCTTCTTCTGATTTGTAAGACCAGATCCCTGGATAATCGAGGCATACAGGTATTTTGTCCTTGAAGTAACCTTTCAGAAATTGTGGGAATTTCTTTTGGCTGGAACAGATTAGACCTCGTTCTAAACAGTAGACCTTTTCCAACCAGAGAACAGTAAATCTTAGGTAGTGTTTTTTAATGCCAGCGTAATAACATTTATTGTTTGTCTTGTGCATTTTCATCTGGACTACAGAAAACGAGTGTACAGTGTGATACCGTATTTTATGTTAGGTTCAAGCCACAGTTATATTGGTATTAACTGTGATGAGGAAGTCAGTTAACCTCTCCTAATTTTTCCCTTTTATCAAATGAGTAATTCCTCTCCCCAAAATTTTATAAGGTGAACTGGGAGCTCAGTGAGTTATCACCAGGTATAACTGTAAAGCTCTGTACCAATCGTTGTCATTTCAGAGACTCACAATAGAGAGAGATATGAGAGATACATTGGACAAACTTACTGCAGACATAGTTTGTAGTGAAGTTGGAGCCAGACAATGGTGTTTCTTCAGTGATACCAAATTATTCTGAAGGATGAGAACAAAAATACTCTTCTTCTGAGTTTAACTCATTGAAGATCAGTAGTCTCTTATTATTAACTTAATATTCCCAATTAAGCTAAGAAATAATTAAAGAGGTTTTATCCCAAGGTATACAATCTAAATATATGCCTAGAAAAGTCAGAAATAGACATGTCAGGAGCTTGACTTATTGAAGTGTTATAGGAAACAGGTAACGAGAGGCAAAGGCTTTCCTGTTGCAACCTTCTGTTTTTCCTTTGCACCTATTTGGAACACTTTCAACCAGTCATTTATGTTGAAGATGCTCAATTACAGAACTACCATGGTGAAATGGGATTTTTTTCCCCTTGGTGATATTTTAATGCCAGAATTGTCTTGTCTGTTCTGTTTACTTGCACATTTTAGCTTTAGTTCTGAGAAGTACTTGCTATGTAATGGGCTCTCATAAGTGCCTGAATTGTGTGGCTTTAGTGGCCCCAAGGACAGTATGCCTCTGGTGTCTAAGAACTCTGGAGTAATAGGTCATCACCTGAGCATTATTCGCTGAACACAGACCTTTTATCCTCCAGAGGGCAGCAGACATTGAGCAGCAGGCTGTGTTTGCTGTGTTTGATGAGAACAAGAGCTGGTACATTGAAGACAACATAAACAAGTTTTGTGCAAATCCTGATCAGGTGAATCGTGATGATCCCAAGTTTTACCAATCAAACATCATGAGCAGTAAGTTGGAGAACTGTTTTGTTGGTCAGTTTTTCATTCCTATGATTGAAGAATACCTGTGCCTAGAGACAGAGACATGGATGAGAATATACTCACCAGAAAGTAGTTCTCTTATCCTCACTTCCAATTTGAGGATTTGGTGGTGAAATTCCTGGGTGGTATTACAGCAACTAAAGCTTGTTATCTTTTTAGCAAGAAGTCAAAGCCTAGTTATCTCTCAAGTCTGCTTGGTCTCCTGCTCTCAGTGTGTGTGTGTGTGTGTGTGTGTGTGTGTGTGTGTGTGTGTGTGTGTGTGTGTGTGTGTTCATGTGCTCTGGGCAATGAAAAGGGCAGTGGGGGACTTGTTATAAGCCTTGGACAGTGTTATCTGAGGCTTTTGGTCATGTACAGGGTGAATACTCTTTAATTTGAGGTAAAGGCAGAAACAAGATAAGTAATCCAAAACTGGATTGGTATATCTAAGCAAAATGAGTCTGGGGACCCAAGGGCTTTGCAAAGCAAAGCATGAAGAGGTTTGAAGTGAGCCTTATGAAATTCAGAGCAGAAGGAATTCCCTGACCTAGAGTTCAGCACTTTCTGAAGTTCCAAAGTTCACTGTCATGGGAAGTCTGAGAGAAGTTTCACTGAGGCAGCTGGAAGCAAACTTTTCCCCACAGCCAGGTCACTTCTACTATTCCTAGGAATCAAAAGTTACTTTAATCATATCTATGAGGATGGTTTCTCCATCCTCAGATGACTGAAAATTCAGTATTGTCAGAACTGACAGGTATCATGACAAAAAACTGAACAGGAAGCTATTGTCAGCTTTGTTTGCATAATTTCATTTCAGCAATGCATCTGCCATAGCTGTAGACCAGTGCTGTCCAACAGAAATTCCATATGAGCCACATATGTAATTTAAAACTTTCTGGTAGCCACATTAAAAAGCAAAGAAAAATAAGTGAAATTAATTGTAATAATGTGTTTTATTCAACCCAATATATTGTAGATACTAGCACTTCAAAATGTAATCAATATAAAATTTAATGAGGTTGCTTTATTATATATTTTATTCTTATAGCACATCTCAATCTAGTTTATTCACATTTTAAGTGCTCAATAGGATTGGGGGTATAGCTCAGTGATAAAGTGCTTGCCTAGCATGTGCAAGGCCTTGGGTTTGATCCCCAGCACCATAAGAAACAAAGTGCTCAATAGCTATTCATAGGTGGTGGCTACTATATCAGACAGTGTATTTTTAGACTTATGTAGAAAAGCACGTAGAATGAGGTACAAACTAATAACATGTAATTTTATGATTCAACATGTATTTGTTAAGTGCTCACTTAAAAATTTTTTAGTTGCCAGGCATAGTACTAATTGGTACTTTGGCAGGCTATAGAAGTGACTCAAGTAGCTTTGGGACCTGTCATCATAGAAGTCATATTCTTGATTTGATTACCATAGTTAGTATGTTTAGAAATAAAGATGCTGCCTAAAGCAGTGTTCCTTTAAAGATAATGAAAATATATGAACTCAACACTTGAATGAAAGCTGTAGCTTATATAGATGATAATAGGTATAAATAACCATAAAAATCTGATAAATAGGCTTTGTTTTTAGGGACATTGAGTAAGAATGCTTACTCAATTACCAATATGTCAAGAAGGTAATATCTTATGTTATGCCTTTCCTCCACGTGGAATTATTCTGGATAATATTCTGAATTGATGTGCAAAATATTTTTAAAGGCAGAGCATACAGCACAACATATTTAATATACATTAGACAAATGAATGAATAAATGAATGTGCATGAAAGGCTTTGTCTTCTTCCTGACATTTCTCCCTTAGCTAACTTAGGAGAATAAACTCTCATTTGGGAAGTCTGAATTTGACCTTCTACTCACCTGTTAAACCTGGTAAAGCTTATCTTGAATAACCACTGCTTTGACATAGCCAAATTAACACTGGGACATTTGTCTTTGATATAATTAGACATATGCCTGTTTGTTGGCAGAGGTCTGTCATTTTAACAAATTTTACTCTTTCAGCTATCAATGGGTTTATGCCTGAGAGCATACGTACTTTAGGATTCTGCTTTGATGATACTGTCCAGTGGCACTTCTGTAGTGTGGGGAACCAGGATGATATTTTGACCATTCACTTCACTGGGCACTCATTCATCTTTGGAAAGAGGCATGAGGACACCTTGACCCTCTTCCCCATGCGTGGAGAATCTGTGACTGTCACAATGGATAATATTGGTAAGAGAGTGATGCTTGGAGAGGAAGATGACTTTGAACCTCTGGTCTATAGTGGTCACCTGCAGCTCTCCAAGTGCCTACAGCTCCTGGTGTGCCTCCCTGACCCCATGCAGCCTTTCTTCTTCACTGCCTCTCATGATTTCTGTTTGGGAAATGATTGACTTAAATGGGTCCAGTTCTTTATGTGACTTCCATTTACACATCTCTGGGCCAAGTGGAAAGTGAAGATGTACAAAAACAGAAAGATAAGTGTAGCCTTGAGGAAGAAGTATAAATATTTCTGTCACAAAAGTTCATTTCTTTAATCAAAATCCCCTTTTGAATTTTTTAAGACAGCTATCCCATCCTTGGGTGAGCAACCATCAGCTTTAGCATGTCAGACTTGAGTTCATTCCTGTGCTGCCACTCATTCTCTAGTAACCCTGACCAAGTTACTTGGCCTCAGTAAGCCTCAAATTAGTCACCTGATAGCTGGACATGGTGGCTCAAGCCTGTAATCCTAACTACTTGGGAAGTTAAGATCAGGAAGATTGTGATTTGAGGTCAGCCTGGCTAGAAAAGTTTGCGAGACTCCATCTCAATGAAAAAAGCTAGATGTGGTGGCATGTGTCTGTCATTCCAGCAATGATAGGACCAAGTTCCAGACCTGCCTGGGCAAAAAAGTGAGACCCTATTTCAAAAATTACTAGAGCAAAAATGGTGATAGCTTGACTACATACCAAGTGCAAAGTCCTGAGTTCAAACCCCAGTACCACCTGAAAAAAATCTCACCTGAAGAACAGTATAATATTACCTTTCAGAGTGGCTTTCACCATTAATTTTCTAGGCATCAAGTGCCTAGCCCTCAACAAGCAGTAGCTATTGAAGACTTCCCAGGAAACCTTTAGTACGTTAGTAATTCCTACCACTTCAGATTCAATCCTGCTTTGGCCCCCATCTGAATTATTTCTTAGGTATACCTAAGAAATTTCTTCCTGGGAGTAGATCTCAGAATCTCCCCCTAACCCCAACTCTCAAACAGATGTATTACTCACTAGATGCTTATGATATTCAAAATCCATTTTATTCTTGATTCACCCCTTTGTTAATATCTTCTAAAATAGGGACTCTTGAAGTGCCTGTGCTGAAAGACCTTTTTTTCCCTCCTTAACCTCCACTGAACAATACTTTTCGTCTATATTCTATTAAATGAGATCATTGCAGTGATCACGTGCTTGAATCACAGCACTGTCAAACTGTTAAGAAGAAAAATTCCTAAACACCTTACTCTTCGTTTCTTTCCTTGTGTCATTATGGGCCAATAATTAGTAGTTTACAGATTGGCAGTAGTCCTCAGACCACACAAAAAGCCACAAAAGCCGGGCACCAGTGGCTCACGCCTGTAATCCTAACTACTCAACAGGCAGAGAGCAGGAGGCTAATAGTTAAAGCCAGCCCGGGCAAACAGTTTGCAAGACCTTATCTCAAAAAAAAAAAAAAACCTTCACAAAAATGGGCTGGTAGAGTGGCTCAAGGTATAGGCCCTGAGTTCAAGCTCCAGTACTGCAAAAAAAAAAAAAGAAAGTAAGAAATGAAAGAAAGAAAGATATTATTTGCCACAATGGATCCTGGTATATTATGTAACTTTTCCTGAACTTTCAGCCTTGTCTTATGTCTCTCTTCTAAAGGAACTTGGATGTTAACTACCATGAATTCCAGTCCAAGAAGCACGAACCTAAGGCTGAGATTCAGGGATGTTAAATGCAACCGGAATGATGATGATGATGATTCATATGAGATTTATGAACCTGTGGCACCTACAGCCATGGAAACACGGAAATCGCGCTACTCTGCAGAAGATGAACCAGGAGAAGATGGTGCTGAGTATGATTACCAGGATACGCTGGCTTCATTATTGGGAATCAGGTCATTCAGAAATTCATCACTGAATCAGGAAGAAGATGAGTTCAATCTCACTGCCCTCGCCCTGGACAGTAGCCCTGAGTTCATTGCCCTAAATACAGATAGAAATATTAGCTCAAATTCTTCTTCCCCTTCAGAACCTCAGAAAACCCTTCTCCACCCAGATGCCACCATAGTTAGCTCCCCCCTGGAACATCTCATTGGCTTAGATAAGAACTCAGTTTTCAATTCTTCCACAGAAGAGCATTCCAGCCCATATTCTGAAGACCATATGGAGGATCCCCTACGGTCAGATGGCACAGAGATAAGCCTACTGCCACGTGGTACAAGAGGTTTCAGAAGTCAAGAACATGGTAAACATAAGGTATCCAAGGCAGAAAGACACCGGGTAGCAAAGCACAGGCTCTCCTGGATGAAATTACTAGCCCATAAAACTGGGAGACATTCAAACCAAGACAACACTTCTTCCAGAATGGGGCCCTGGGAGGACATTCCTAGTGATCTGTTACTCTTAAAACAAAAGAACCCATCTAGGATTTTGAATGGGAAGTGGCACTTAGTTTCTGAAAAAGGTAGCTATGAAATAGTTCAAGATACTGACAAAGATCTGGCTGTTAATAAGCTGCTGGACAACCCCCAGAACATCTCAAGGACTTTGGGAGAAAGCCTCCATCCTTCAAAGAAGTCAGAAAAGCAGAGTGTCCACTCAACATTTTCTGGAGTTAGACATAATTCTTTACATGTAAGACAGGATGGAGGAAATCGAGGCTTGAAAAAAGGACCATTTCTCATCAGAACACGAAAAAAGAAAACAAAGCTTGCATACCATGTTCCTCTATCTCCAAGAAGCTCTCACCCCCTAAGAAGAGACACCCACATCACCTTTGCTGATAGAAGACTTAATCACTCTCTTTTACTCCATAAGTCCAATGAAACATCTCTGCCCACAGACCTCAATCAGACATTCCCCTTCATGAATCTTGGCTCAGTAGCCTCAATTCCTGACCATAATCAGAACCCTCCAAATGACACTGGTCAGGCAAATTCTCCAGTTATTTATCAGACTATGTCCCCAGAAGAACACTATCAGACATTTCCTGTTCCAGACACTGATCAAACACATTCTCCTACAGACCCCAGTCACAAATCCTCTTCTCTAGAGCCCAGCCAGATACTCAACTATAACCTTAGCCAAGAGTTCCACCCTGTTGACATTGGTCAAACATCCCCTCCCTGGGAACATGAAGTCCAGCACACTTACCTTCCAGACCTCAGTCAACCATCCTTCTCTTCAGACCAGGGTCAGATGACCCCTGCTCCAGATGATCAGATGTCTCTTTCCCCAGACTTCAGTCAAACAAGTCTCTCTCCAGAACTTGGTCAGATAAACTTTTTCCCAGAACCTAACCAGCCATCTGCCTCCCCAGACCTCAGTCAAACAACCCCATACCCAGACCTCAACCAGACAACTTCCCCAGACCTCAATCAGGTGACCCCCTCCTCAGGCCTTAGTCAGACCACCACTAACCCAGATGGTCAGATGTCTCTTTCCCCAGACTTCAGTCAAACAAGTCTCTCTCCAGAACTTGGTCAGATAAACTTTTTCCCAGACCCTAACCAGCCATCTGCCTCCCCAGACCTCAGTCAAACAACCCCATACCCAGACCTCAACCAGACAACCTCCCCAGACCTCAATCAGGTGACCCCCTCCTCAGGCCTTAGTCAGACCACCACTAACCCAGATGGTCAGATGTCTCTTTCCCCAGACTTCAGTCAAACAAGTCTCTCTCCAGAACTTGGTCAGATAAACTTTTTCCCAGACCCTAACCAGCCATCTGCCTCCCCAGACCTCAGTCAAACAACCCCATACCCAGACCTCAACCAGACAACCTCCCCAGACCTCAATCAGGTGACCCCCTGCTCAGGCATTAGTCAGACCACCCCTGCCCAAGATGGTCAGATGTCTCTTTCCCCAGACTTCAGTCAAACAAGTCTCTCTCCAGAACTTGGTCAGATAAACTTTTTCCCAGACCCTAACCAGCCATCTGCCTCCCCAGACCTCAGTCAAACAACCCCATACCCAGACCTCAACCAGACAACCTCCCCAGACCTCAATCAGGTGACCCCCTCCTCGGGCCTTAGTCAGACCACCCCTGCCCAAGATGGTCAGATGTCTCTTTCCCCAGACTTCAGCCAAACAAGTCTCTCTCCAGAGCTTGGTCAGATAAACTTTTTTCCAGACCCTAACCAGCCATCTGCCTCCCCAGACCTCAGTCAAACAACCCCATACCCAGACCTCAACCAGACAACCTCCCCAGACCTCAGTCAGATGACCCCCTCCTCAGACCTGAGTCAAACAGCCTCTTCCCCAGATGTCAGTCAGGTGACTCTCTCTCCAGACTTCAGTCAAACAGTGCTTCCTCCTCATCTCAAGCAGACATCACCTCCTTCAGGCTTTGGTCAGACATCCTACTCTTCTGAATCTAATCAGTCTTCACTTCTTCCAGAATTTACTCAGACTTCTTCTTATCCAGACCTCATTCACATGCCATCTCCTATGTCCAATGACACTTTCTTATCAAAGGACTTCAACCCGCTGGTTGTAGTGGGCTTCAGTGGAGATGATGGGGATTATGAGATCATTCCAAGGCAGGAAGTCAAAAGCAGTGAAGAAGAGTATGTGGAAAATGACTATGTGACCTATGATGACCCCTACCAAAGTGATACTAGGACAGATACCAACTCCTCTAGAAATCCTGACCACATTGCAGCATGGTACCTCCGCAGCAACTCCGGAAACAGAAGATACTATTATATTGCTGCTGAAGAAATATCCTGGGATTATTCAAAATTTGCAGAAAGGTTTGGCTAGTTTTCTCCTTTTGTATTATCATTTTTCTACCACTTCTGAAAAAGGTAGCCGCAACAGTCTAGGGAGACAATTCTGAACAAATTATATGTAGTAAAGTTTGGTTCCCCTATTTCAACTTGGCCTGTAATATTTTCTGTGTCAATTCCAAAATCAGCTTCTCTGCTTTAGAACACACCTGATCAATATAAGAACAATTACTATGAGAAGTCTGTCATATGCTATGGGTGAAAAGCCTCTTCCTGTCTCTTCTCTTATCACACATGTTCTTACCCCCTCTTCTTGCTCCAAAGCAGAGCTTAACCTATCCATAGCTCACTTCTAATTAATATGATTTGATTGAAGTTGGCTTCAAATCCAAATTTTAATGTAGAAATCTACTTTTTGCCTTTGTTTGTAGCACAAACTTTCTAAGGGTTTCATTTTTTTTTTTATTTTTAAGATCATTTTCAATCCAGTATTGCTTAGGTGTGGAAAGCCACATTAGGCTGGGCTTTGTACTCTGAGATGAAGATAGGAAGAGAGTTTTAGGAAAGGAGCAAGACTTAGTAAACTATAGATTCTCAGGGATATGGCATGGTGATTGTTCATAAACTGTCTGAACAACCCAGGGCTCTTATAAAAGCTCTGTTACACCAAATAGTTTAAAACAAAGCATAATGAGAGTAGGCAAACACAATGTATGGTGTGACATTTGCACATTAGCTCATTTATCTGAGAACCTGACATTTCCACATTAGAACCCTTGTTTAGAATACTCTCTCTCATGACTGCCTACTTGAATGAAATATCCATCACTATATGAGGATAACGAGTTATCTGAGTAGACCTTTTTATTTTGAGATAATTGTAAATTCACACAAAATTACAGGAAATAATACAGAAAGATTCCTTGTATGCTTTATTTAGTTCCCCTCCCCCCGTGGTAACACTTTGTGAAACTGTAGCATATATTACAACCAGCATGCTGACATTAATACTGTCAATATTCAGGACATTTCCATCACCACAAAAAAGCTCTAGTTGCTGTCTACCTCTCTCCCATCATATTCCTCCTTATCCCCTGGCAACCACTAACCTATCATTTTGTCATTTCAAGAATGTTACATAAATGGAATCATACAACCTTTGGGGCTGATAGTTTTTCACATAGCATAATCCTCCAGAGATTCAGCCAAGTCATATCAATAGTTCATTTTATTGCCTAGTAATATGCCATAAGATATGTGTATAGAAGATATAGATGACAGGTTTTTTTGTTTGTATACATTTATGGTTTTGAGCATGATATTTAATGTGTATATAACCTGTGAAATGGCTGTTAGCTAATTAACATATGTATTACCTCACATCCTTATTTTTTGTGATAACACTTAAAATCTATTCTTATCAATTTTAAGGCTATAACACACTGTTACTAATTATAGTTACCATGTTGTACAATAGAATCTCCTGTACTTATTCCTCCTATCTAACTGAAATTTTGAGTCTTGTGGTCAACATCTTCCTCTCTCAAAACCCCTGATAACCACCATTTTACTCTGCTTCTGTGAGTTCAGTGTTTTCAGATTCCACATATAAGTGATGTTATGTGTTTTTCTGTGCCTAGCTCATTCCATTTAACATAATGCCTCTCAGGTTCATGCATGTCATTGAAAATAACAGTATTTCTTCTTGTTCCTCCTCCTCCTCCTCCCCTCCTCCTTCTTGAGACAGCTCAAGATTGTCTGGAACTCACTATTTAGCTCAGGCTGGCCTCAAATTCATGATCCTCCTGACCATGCCTCCCAAGTGCTAGGATTATAGGCATGCCTTCTCTTTAAATGTTGTGCAGTATTCCATTGTGTATCTTTACCACATTTTCTTTCCATTCATCCACTGATAGACACAAGGGTTGATTCTTCTTTTGGCTATTGTGAATAGTGCTGCATTGAGCATGAGGTGCAGATATCTCTTAGACACATGGATTTTCATTTTCTTTGAATGTATGCTAAGAAATGAGATTAGTAGATATGTAGTAATTTTAATTTTTTGACGAACTTCTATATTGTCTTCTGTCATACCTATAAACTAATTTAGAATCTCATTATCAGTGTACAAAGGATCTCTTTTTCTCTATATCCTTACCAACACTTACCTCTTGTCTTTTTTTTATAATAGCTATTCGAAAAGATATGAAGAAATGTCACATTGTGGTTTTAATATGCATTTATCTTATTTTATTTTGCTGTTGAATTGTTTGAGTTCCTTATATATTTTGGATATTAACTCCTTATCAGATATATGGCTTATAAATATTTTCTCCCATTCCGTAGATTGTCTCTTTGCTCTATTGATTATTTCCTCTACTATGCGTAAACTTTAGTTTGATACAATCCCATTTGTTTGGTAATAGTTTGTTTTAGTAAAAGCAAATGTAGAGAGTGACCACTGTCAAGGTACAAGACACTCATCCATCCAGTGACCTTCACAGAGAAGACCTTCTAATTTAGCTAATCATTGTCACCTGACAGCCCCAGGTTCTGGCACTGTCCCATTGGATGGTGTTGTCTGCCTTTGGTGCTAAAATATTTTATGTCAATATGTGATTATATTTCTTTTTTAGTTTCTGTGCTTGACCAAAATGTATTAAGCACCTACTATGTGTCAGATAACATGCTTTTAACAAGTCATTTAAAAAGTATTATGAGCAAGTTAGACCTATATCTGACTTCATGGGGCTAACACCTTAGTGGCAGAATCAAATACTAATAGATAGTCTCACAAATAAACCATGTATAATTTACTATATATATATATATATATATATATGTATGTACATATAAATATAATGGGACTGGTATAGATGACTACAGGTATTTACTGTGTAGACTATAATAATACTATGGAAATACGAGGAACGTTGTGAGAGACTTCATAGGAAGATTTACCTAAGAAATGAGATTTGAACTGAAAGTTAAAAAATGTTTAGTGGCCTGTGTTTCCATTCACTTATATATTTATTAATTTATCTATGAGGTATTTATTACAGACTCTGTGCAAGAATACTCTATTCAGAAACAGAGCCTGTTTCCTAAATTCTTTAAGGTCTTTACTTTCTTCTTTTATACAAATATCATTGTTCTCATTTCAGGGAAGTGGACGCTGATGAAGACATTAACCACTCTCCAGAGGACACCACATACAAGAAAGTTGTTTTTCGAAAGTATCTTGACAGCACTTTTACCAAACGTGACCCTCGGGGAGAGTATGAGGAACATCTTGGTATTCTTGGTCCTGTTATTAGAGCTGAAGTGGATGATGTCATCCAAGTAAGTCATCTTTTCAGTGCTACTAAGATCACCAAAGGAATTTCCAGAAGGACCAGAGGTTGCTAAGGTGAAGCTGTCAAAAGAACTGTAGGTGGTTTATTTTCCTGAATTAACAAGTAATTACATTTATTTTCAAGGACTGCCTGCTAAGCCATTTGACAGTCTTCAAGACAAAAAAAATGATCTTATAATTTTTTCAGTGCTTTTCACTATATAATCTGGAGGAGATCACACTGGAATTTCTATCTAAAGCTAACATGGAAAACTAATATATTTAGGAATGATTCAATTGACAGTAGCAGTGGTTGCAATAGTAGTAATATAGAAATATCTCTGGATATTTTCTTAAAAAAAAGAAAAGGTGAAGTTAAAGAAAACCTATAAGGGAGGTAAAGGTGGCTTGGCTCTGTAAAAGTGGGCAAATTTCCTAAATATCTTATCAACTTTGGTCATTTCTTTCAAAATCCTGCATCCAGTGCCCAAACGATAGCTGGCTTTTATAACAAAGTTTATCTTTCCCCATCACTTACAAGGAAAGACAAGGGAAAGGGCCCTGAATGAAAGCAAACTATTTTTATCTATTTATTTATTTTTGGCAGCACTAGGGTTTGAACTCAAGGCCTCATGTTTGCTAGATAGGTGCTCTAACAGCTTGAGCCACCCCACCAGCTCTTTCTTAGTAATGGGTTTTGTTGAGATAGAGTCTCTCAAACTATTTGTCCAAGGCTAGCTTCGAACCATGATCCTCCTGATCTCTGCCTCCTGAGTAGATAGGACTACAGGTGTGATCCACCATCACCTGGCAAAGCAAACTATTTTAGACCCAGAAACATAACCTGTTATACCTCTTCAGTCATTTGCCAAATTTTCAGCGACCATTTTTTCTTTTTAAAAAATCCACATAGGTAGCCAGGCATGGTGGTGCATGCCTGTAGTACAGAGCTACTCAGGAGGCCAAGGAAGGAAAATTTCTTGAGCCGGGGAGTTGGAGACCAGCCTGGATGACATAGTGACCCACATCTCAAATAAGGACAGGGAATGTAGCTTAGTGGTAAAGTGCCTGCCTAGCATCAACCAGGCTCAGGGGTCCATCCCCAGCACAGTAAAAAAGAAATGCATATAAGGGAATAGGGATATATGTTAGCCTTCTCTTGCTATGGCAAAATGCCAGTTCATGGTTGCTTGGCTTCATTGCTTTTGGGCCTATGGTGAGGCTGAACATCAAGGTAGATCAAAGTTGCTCACCTCTTAATGGCTTGAAAGCAAAAAGAGAGAGTCCCTTGGGGCTGGGGTACCAAGATCCACTTCAAGGGTTGCTCCCAGTGAACTAATTTCCTTCCACTAGGACCTACCTCCTAAATGTGGTGAGCTCCCAATAGTGCCATAAGCTGGCTACCAAACCTTCAACAGGTAAATTAGGGAGGGAGAGGGCAGGGGGACATTTCATATCTAAACCATAACAGGAGGTGATGTCCCTTACTTTAGTCTGGAGCCTAGGAACATTTTGGTGATTCTGATGGTAAACTACTTAAGACCCATCTCATAGAATAGTTGTGAAAATTAGAAGAAATAATATTCATAAGTTAATTTACAGTTGTAAGTACTCAATATACCTTAGCTCTGAACTCACAACTGTCCATTTTGCCTACAATGCTGACATTTTTTTTAGTTTGGCTTGGTTTGTTACTATGTTTGTGAATCAATCCTTCTAGGTTCGCTTTAAAAATTTAGCATCTAGACCATTTTCCCTTCATGCCCATGGGCTTTCCTATGAAAAATCGTCAGAGGGAAAGACTTATGAGGATGACTCTCCTGAGTGGTTTAAAGATGATGATGCCGTCCAGCCAAATGGCAGTTATACGTATGTATGGCACGCCACTGAGCGGTCAGGGCCAGAGAACCCTGGCTCTGCCTGTCGGGCTTGGGCCTACTACTCAGCAGTGGACCCGGTAGGTACTTCTTTGGAAAGTTCTTGTCATTCCCCTAACCTTATAATCTGAGTCACACCAAATGGAAGTGTTGGGTTATTTCTTGTTTAAAAGTCTCTTGTTGGGGTAGGGATTTAGCTCAGTGGAAGAGCGCAGGCCTGGCAGGTGTGAGGCCCTGAGTTCGGTCCCCAGCACCAAAACAAAAGAAAAAGAACAAAAAGGTCTCTTATTTTTCAAGAGGGTTGCGAGAGGGCTACCATGTCCAAGTCTACAGCTCCCATAACCAAGGGCTCCGCGCTAGCTTTTCACTAGCTTCTCAGATGGCGCACAGAGAGAAATATTTATTCAATGGAGAGGAGGAAAGACTGTGTAAAAAGATGGGCCCAAGTTAGAGTGCCTGTGCTTACAGACAAAGATGTGTGTTTACAACTGTCTTTTATTATAGCCTGGAGCCAGGCTTTAGGGGATCTTGGGGGATGGGGAGGACCTGCCAAGACAGGATTAGACCAACAATGCCGGCAGTAGTTACGTACTGGGATGGAGGTTAAAGGAGGAATTGTTTCCCTGCTCCACTGAGTCTAAGAAGAGAATCAATTTGTTACCTATTAACAAACATTTGCCAGTAAAGAATAATGCGACAAGAAGGCAGCACTGTTCTGAGATAAATGGGGACACAGGGAAGGCCTCCAGTGTTCCCACGGGAGGAACGAATTCAGACACATTTCATTCTGTCCAGCTCCCCCTGAGAAGGGAGGTACAACTAGATTCTTTGGACAAACTAGCAACTTTGTGACCATGACAAGCTATACCCACCCCCAGCCTTGCTGACTGCCCTTAGGCTCAGGAAAGCCCAAAGAGAAATAGAAACCAGCACTTGTGCAAAGCCTACTGCACACTCCTGCTGCCCTCATTTCTCCTTGGTCCTCTAAAAGAGTCCCATGGTTTCCACATTGAGACACCCACAGACAGGTGGCCAAGAGGTCTGCCCAAGGTCATATGGAACAAAATGCACTCTTGCCATTTTCCTCCACTGCAGGCAGGCAGCCAGGGCTCCCTTTAGCCCGAAAATGCTAGAAGCTTTGTTTTCTAGGTCAAAACATCTAGAGAGAGCTCCCCAGTGCTGGAGGCTCTGTTTCTCTCCAGGCAAGTGTTGAATGCCATCTGCCCTCTGTGCTTTTTTGGAAGCTTGTGAGGGATGCACAGACCCAGTGATGATTTCCAGTTAAGGTCAAAGATCTTTAAGTAAATAAGTGACAGATTCCCTGGGGAGCCTCCCAGCCTCAGCACTGGCTTCCAGGCAACATCCACCTTTCCAGTCCAGGTGGTGACAGCTAGGTCTCTGGACATGCAACTTGCTTGCTATCACCTGGCATACCAGGTGAACCTCAGGCTGGAGCCACTGCGAGGAAACCTAAGGAGGTGGAGTTGGGGTGTATGAGGGGATGCCAGCACTCATCTACTGTAATGAACACAGGCTACATTTGTCTCACAGGAGAAGACCACTTTGGTGCACTCTCCTGGTGCATCCCACCTCCCCATCCCAGCACAAAGATACAAGAGACCCTCCTGATCCCGCCTGCACCCCTCGATAGCACACAGCCTGGGCCATGTAAAGGCTGGGCAAGTGCATGTAGGCCCACCTGGGTCCAGAAGTCTGGTTGGAGGGGCGTGGCCAGGGGCTCTGGCCATGGCTCCTGCAATGTTAGCTCCCATCTGCTCTCAATGAAAGAACTGAAAAATCAAGACTGTTCATTTATCATTCCACAATATACATATAGTTCAAAATGTTGCGCATAGTAACACAATTTTTTCAGTGAATTATGAAAACAAGCCCTTCATTTAAGGCATAGTAGAAAGAGCAGAGTCAAATTTGATACTGAGGACTGAAACCTCCTGCATGCAAAGCCCCTGCTCTACCCCATTGAACTACAACCTCCTGCTCCTAGACTTAAATTTAAATTCCTACTCTGTCACTGTGTGACCCTAGAAAAATGACCTGTTCTTTCTCAGCCTTGGTTTCTAAAGTTAAAAATGAGATAATAGTACATAGCATGTAATAAGTATTTGATAAATACTCATTCAATGAATGAATGTATTTATGATACAGAATATTCATAAGGATTAAATGAGATACTACAGGCAAAGCATTTAATATAGTATAATATTTTATCCTTTATATTGTCAATATTATTATCACCATCATCATTGTTGTGAAGAAGGACATCATCAGGGGAAGGGAATATGAATGCAATAGAATAAAATGATGAATACCCAGGTCTATTAAGCTATTCATTAATAATCTTCCATTCAGAGCCCCTAAGAAGAGAGACCCTTTCCTATGTGAGCAGTAATTATCAAAAGAGCAAAGAAAATCCCAGCAAAAAAAGAATGTGCGCAATTTGTTCTTCCTTGTCTCCAGGAGAAAGATGTTCACTCGGGCTTGATAGGCCCCCTTCTCATCTGCCAAAAAGGAACCCTTCATAAAGAGAGCAACATGCCAATGGACGTGAGAGAGTTTGTCTTGCTTTTTATGGTCTTTGATGAGAAGAAGAGCTGGTATTATGAAAAGTCCAGAAGGTCTTGGAGACCGGAATCTTCAGAAGTAAAAAACTCCCATGAGTTTTATGGTATTTTCCTCTGACTTTGATCTAATCTCTTAATTAAATCACACTGGGTCACAGTGACTCCTATTTTAAGTCATCACACCATTAAATATTAGCTGCTTTTGAGAAGCTTCAACTTTACCTGGTTCCTTAGCATCTCTAGTGTGACCAGGAAGCGACACTGCAGATATCGAAGAGAGTTTAAGGGACAGCACACAGAGCCTGCCTGCCAGAGGAACCAAAACTAACCAGTGAGCTTCAGTTGGTAACATATATTGAAAAGGAACTAACATCCATCTGCACATTGAGAAACTAATGAACCTGTTTCTTGATCTCTAAAGGAGCCAGAATTTACAAAGAAGAAATGATTGCTCGTGTGTCTTTTCTAAAATAAGAGTAATTGTAACAGTTCTAGTTCTCAGTTGTTACAAGATAGCATCCATGCCAGGTGGCTTATGCGGATATAAAGAAATAGGAAATTAGGCAACCATTCAATGGGAGAATCATAGCAAGAGAGCACTTAGGTGGTCACACTGGGCAAAGTATCTCCATTGGGAAATCCTTTCAGGAATTTGGCCTATAAATTGGCAACTGGATTACAAAACTTTGAAGAACGGCAGAGTTTAGAATTTGGTGGACAGCAAAAAGAATAATTGGCAGAAATTAGGAAAAACACACAGACTGATAAGCCCTGTTTTCAGAGTTTGATGAATGGAGGTGGTTGTTTCAAGATTCCTGATCAGTGAGGACCTGTGCTTTGGGTAATGGCTCACTCAGGTTAATGGGGAAGGAGAAAGTTGTTATGGCTTAAGGAAATTAACAAAAGACATGATATACAACATTCTATTTAATGTCACCTCCCGCCAACCATCAAGGCTGAGTGAGTCTATTCTGTACCATTTACATACTCGGGCTTCCCTTCTTTTATTTTTTTAAACCTTACTTCTAGGAGAAGTTTAATGATGTCAGCTGTAATAATAGCTTGAGATATAGGTAGGCAAGTAATATCATTTAAAATCTGACCTAAAACCTCACCCACTAAGGATAGACTCTGTTTCTCACAAAAAGATGAAAAGATGTTAGAAGTTCCAATATTAAAAAGATCTGTTAAACAGAATTGATTGAGAGACAGCCATCCAACAGGCTACAAACAGAGCTTTCTTCTCTTCCCTTCCCTCCTCTCCCCTCCCTTCTCCTCCCTTCCCTTCTCCTCCCCTCCCCTCCCCTTCTCCTCTCCTCCCCTCCCCTCCCCTCTTCTCTCCTCCCCTCACAGTGTCATTGTCACAACAAAGCCAGTGAGTAAATGAATACAGCCCCCAGCATGACCCCAAAGGCATCTCCTAGCCTGTGAAACCTAAATCTCTAGTGAGAGCCAGTCAGGTACCAGGGGAAATGGTGAAAGGGCAGAGGAGGAACAAAGCTCAGTGAACAGGAACTGAAGATGGTATGTCCTGGTGGTTTCCTAAGGTAGGTTTTCCCAGAGCAACCTGGTTGTTTAACTGTAGTCCCAGAACTTGGAGACATCACAGACTGGTAGGTCTTCAGCTTCCCCCAAGGTGGTACAGAAAAGGGACTGAAGTCTGCTCACAAGTGCTGGGGCACAGCCACCCTCCAGAGGCAGAGTTCTCCTTCCCTTCCTATCCCTTCTCCCACCTCTGGCTCCTTGGCTAGTACGCTGGTCTCAGAAGCAGGAAACACACCCTTTAGAAAGCTCTCCAGTCTGCACAATCAGACAGGCTTGTCTCTTGCCTGTCCTTTACTTGCTGAGAGCTTTCAAGGCAGTGCTTCCTGATTTCCTCAAAGAGTCCAAAATGTATTGCAGCCTAAGTCTGTAATGTGGTAATCTCATGGTGTAATACTTATCAGGGTAGATGATAAGCAGACCTCCGGAGTCTCCTGCACCAGCATCTGCAAAGGTACCTGACCTTTGCAGTAATGTGCTCAGTAAATCTGTGAAATAGTAAATAAATGGGTGGATCCTATCATTCAGCTCAATTTATCAAATGTTTACTGAGCACCTACTATACTGACAGTCCTCACTTCCATATCTAATGCAGTGGTTTAGCCATGTTGATCTAATAATCATTGGAGACACCTTTCACTCTTTTGAGATCTGTTCCTTAAACAGAAACTGAGATGCAGAGTAACAGCTGGTGCAATGAGTATGTAGATAGGTGATCCTGTACCTGACAATTTTAAGGGTGCCAAAATGAGCTCAACTGCTCCCCGTCCAAAAATTCCCCTGCTTATTTCCTGAAATTCCACAGCAGATTCTTCAAGAGGAAGAAAAAAATTTCTTACTTATGGTCCCATTAAATGTTTTAGTGCTAAGTTTTATCATTAAAATTTTGTGTTATATTTTTAAAGTGATCAAGTTTACCAGATACTTTAAAAAGAATTCATGCATTGGCTGGGCATGGTGATACACATCTGTAATCCTTCTAGCAGTTGGGGGCCTGAGGTGGAAAAATCATGAACTCAAGGCCAACATAATTAGACCCTGTCTCAAAAAAAGAAAAAAAGACATATTTTAGTAAGGGGAGAGTGAATACAGCCTGAGAACCCCTAGATACCCAAGCTGGGGTGGGGACAGAGGAGGGGTCATGCCAACAGAAAATTAAGCATGAAATACTATGGTTGGTGTGGACACAAAAAATAAAATCCAACCTCCTAATTTGGCCTGAAACTATCTCTGAATTTAGATGGTCTTAGGTTGACATGCTGTATATTCCCTTACTTATTTCACCCCAGGAGTTTGTGTTATCTGACCATATTAGACTTCATCTCTTTGTAGGGAAGAAGTTATACTATTAATGTGAAGGATAAATGGGTAAAGCACTGAGCAGCAAAGATGTAAAATCTAGGGAAAAGAGATAAACTGCTTGCAAAGGGAGCTCTCCCATACTCCTGTAAGTTGTGGAGTGATGTGAGGAACTGGAGTTTCTGTTTCAACCTCTCACTGGTATGATATGTTGAGGCCCTTTCTGTGCCTAGGTGGGTCTGTGAATACCAAATAATGAGAAAGATGGGTGGTGAATGGGTTGCCCATATTCCTTTAACAGCCTCCTCCTAGTGTACACAGATTTTTCATTGATTGAAACTCTCTGTCCTTTCAGCTATTAATGGAAAGATCTACAGGCTGCCTGGCCTGAGAATGTACGAACAAGAGTGGGTGAGGTTACACCTGCTGAACATGGGTGGCTCCCAAGACATTCACGTGGTTCACTTTCATGGCCAGACCTTGCTGGAAAATGGCACTCAACAACACCAGTTGGGGGTCTGGCCCCTTTTGCCTGGTAAAGATGTGGGCAATGGATGAGTTTCCTTCTAAGAAATAGCAAGACAAGGCTATAATTTCCTCTCATTCTGTGCATGTGCATCTACTAGTTAAGAAGATAGAACACAGGATTCTGGCACAGATGCTGGACAAAGCCACATACACAGTCTACAAAAAAGTCAGCTAGCATACGATCTGTGTGCAATACCATGCAGGTTAAATGTGTAGTTCTACAGAGATTCTGTGTCCTGTGCAGTTTCTCCTAAGCCACTGCATGTCACACAGTGTCATCTTAAGCAGAAGACAAATGAATCACAGAGGGCTCAGGCAGTTGAAGCGTTTTCTATTGGGAGGAGAATTAAAAACTTAACTAGGGTTTATAGATTCTTGGATTCTACTCCTGGCTCTATCCCCCTGACTTTTTTGAGTCAGTGGCTCTAGGAATCATAAACTAAACTCATGAGGCTATTTGGAGAAAAAAGAAAAATGTTTAGTGATTGTAAAAGCTAAAGAAAAACAGGAGAATTTAGAACTTTCCCTGTGGGAAATAATAATAAATGTAGACTTTGACTACCATTATCAAGAAGAATTTTGACGTGTGGGTGAGCTGCTTGTATGTGCACCTGTTTGTGCAGCAGTGCATCAGTACGGTCATGAGTGCTAGATGCTACTCAAAACCTAGAAACCTGGTTAAAATGCAAAAGCTAAAATCAGAGATTTTGTTCTCAGAGACTTGTAAAAAGGTAGCTCTTAGGCAGAGTTTCCAGGGCTGAATTTTTAACAAGCTGCTGACCTTCCACATACCCTGTCTGAGGAGTAGTGAAAGATACTCCCTTCACAGGACTTTAGGTGGGGGAAGTGCCTAGATGTAGGCACAGAAGTCCAAATGGATATGGTTTGGCAAGTAGAGGGGAGAAGAGGGATCTTATTTATGTATGAGACAAGTAAAAGGAAGAAACCATGTATAATATTTTGACAGCCCAGTGATTAGTCATTCAAGTTCACTGATTAGAACTATGAACTTGTATTTTTTATGAGTTAACTTGTAACATTACATTTAGATACGTGAAAGTTTCTTTTTGGTGAGGGGTGGTAGTTTTTTTTAAATCATGGAGTGATTTCATTTTAGTAATTGTGTATGTGTCTGTGTGTTTATCTATTACACCTTTAGTTCTACCTCAAGAGAAATGGATACCTCTTCAAATATATCCTAAAGCCTCTTGTTATGCTGGGATTTTAGAATTCTTAAAGAACAGTCAACCACAGTATTAACTTGTTAGCCTTTGGGTATGTAATTTTGTCCTTAATTCTCTATTTTAGGCTCATTTAAAACTCTTGAAATGAAGGCATCAAAACCTGGCTGGTGGCTTCTAGACACAGAGATTGGAGAAAACCAGAGAGCAGGGATGCAAACACCATTTCTCATCATAGACAAAGGTATCACCCACATGGCATTTATTAACAGGAAAGTGCCTGTTACTAGAATATTGACAACTTTTAGGTTGCAAATATTCAGTTCTGATAACTATGATGTAACAAAGGTATAATTTGTAGCCATAGTTGCTTTTATTCTGGTCCATGGTATGATTGCACTAAAAACATGCCAGTTACCTAGAAAAATTAAACCAAATGGTTCAGACCAAAGGCATTCCTCTTAGTTGGGGGACCAATGAAAGCATCCTTCTCATGAATTGTGATTCATGAGAAAGCTCATGTAAGAAATTCTCCAGGTTCCTAGAGTAGAGGAGGAAAAATGTGATAGGAATTCAACAATGACTGAGAAAGTCACTGAACTTGGCATCTCCATATTCAAGAAATTCAAGTTCCATCTGTCCATCCACCTATCCATCCATCAAGCCTTTGCTAAGCACCTGTTGAATACCAACCATTGTGCTCACATCCAAGTACAGTGTCTGGTATTCCCTTCTTCTAACAGGATGTAAGTAACCTTGTAACTTCCAGGTCATCTTTGGAGGACATGGTTTTATGAGGGATGGTACTAAATGTAAAATAGTTTGTTTTAAGATCTGAACAGATAGAAATCAGTTTTAAAATCAATTGCATCTCAGGATTCCCATTCTCCTCTGGGTTGTCACCATTTTGCTTAAAGCTCCAGTCTTGCTAGTGCACTTACAACCATTTTATAATCAGACATATTTAAGTCACTGCCTCTTAAGGTAGGTGAAAATATCTAATTTCCGATCCACCAAAGGTATGATTTTTAGCTGTGGAATTTTTACTGTGTTATATGTATTTTCTTGGCAAAAATTAATCATTTTCCTGTTGTTTACAGACTGTAAGATGCCAATGGGACTAAGTACTGGTATAATATCTGATTCACAGTTCAAGGCATCTGAGTATCTGAGTAAGTCATAGCATCATAGCTTATAAACAGCAACTCCTACAGTTGTTCACTATGCAACCTGTGAACCAATGCAAGGCAACTCTGTCTATTGGTCAGTTCTCCTCTCCAAGCTTTCCTATACCACAACATAATGAAGCAACTCCATTTGGGGTGCTCACCTGGTAAAGGAAGGAGGTCGATGGTAGGAGCTAAAAGCTTCTTGGTCTCTCATTCCTGCCGCTCCCTCTTGTGTATAAAGTTTCCAAAGAGTCATTTCCGGGGAAAACCATTGACACCATCTACATAGGTAGTCTAATCTCTTGCAGGGATTTGGCAGGAAGTAGATAGCTTACTCTTTTTCCTTTCTCTTTTTGGTGGTACTGGGGTTTAAGCTCAGGGACTTGCACTTGCTATGCAGGTGTTCTTCCGCTTGAGCCATGGCTGTGGCTCAGGTTATATTTTGGATAGGGTCTCACTTTTATGCCTGGATCTTCTTGACCGCAATCTTCCTATTGATGCTTCCTATGTAGCTAGGATGACAAGCACAAACACCACCAAGCGCAGCTTTTTATTCGTTGAGATAGAGGTCTTGTGAACTTTTTGCCTAGACTGGCCTTGAACCTGATCCTCCCAATCTCTACCTCTTAAGTAGCTAGAATTACAGGTGCAAGCCACCATGTATGGATTACTCTTGTGATCATGTGCCCATTTTCAAAACTCTCTCCCTTCATCTTTTCTAGGTTTGATCACACATCTAATATTCCAGCCAGATGTGCAGGGTTTTATCACAGGAGCTATAGTCCCCATTTATACAGCCCTTTGCCTGTGCCAGCCATTCATCTATTCAAGAAATTTGTGATCACTCATTATATGTGGGGAAGACTCCTACTAAATTTACTCACTGCCTCAAATCCCTTCCACAGATCAAAAGATTGAGATTTCTACACTCATGCCATATCTTCCTGTTAAGTAAGGACTTTCAGCAGCAGACATATAAACAACTGAGAAAAGATAAACACGACTTGTGTGTAGAAGGGGGTGAGTGGTGGTTGAAAGCTGCCTAAACACAGACCTGAAGCCAAGATTTATTATCAAAGATCGGCATGGTAGCCAAAGCCCATGTCAACAGTCTGTTCTCCTAGCTGTAATACAGGTCCTTCAAGGATTTTTTCTTTCCTTTACTTTGCCTTCCTTCCTTCCTCCTTCCTCCTTCCTCCTTCCTCCTCCTTCTCCCTCCTCCTCCTCTTCCTCCTCCTCCTTCTTCTTCTTTTCTCTCTCTCTCTCTCTCTCTCTCTCTCTCTCTCTCTCTCTCTCTCTCTCTCTCTCTCTCTCTCTCTCTCTCTCTCTCTTCTTTCTTGACGGGATCTGTAATCCAGAACTTGTGATCCTCTTGCTTCAGCCTCCCAGGGACTGGAATTACAGGCACACACCACCATGTCTGGCCAAGGATCTAGTTTTCTGCTGGACTAAATTCCCTTGAGAAATTGCTAATTGTCTGTTTTGCAAAAAAATTAGAATAATTTTTCCATTGAATTTAGGTTATTGGGAGCCCAAATTAGCGAGATTAAACAATGGTGGCTCATATAATGCTTGGAGTGTAGAAAAAAATGCAAAAGAACCTGCCTCTACACCTTGGATTCAGGTATGTTTTATTAACCTGATAATATTTATGGGTATTGTGACAAAACATAGTAGTGATTTAGTGATTTCTTCTTGTTGCTCTTTTTATAATATCATGAAAGGAAATAGCAATACCTAGGTGCCAGACACTATTCTCAATACTTTATATCCTCAAAAACAACCCTGCAAAGGTAGTTCTAGTAATATTCCATCTTATAGATGAAAAACTGAGACAGAGAGCTGTTAATTTCCCAAAGTAACACACAACTAAGTAGTGGTTGAGCTGGCTTTGAGTACAGATACTCAAAGCTATGGATCACATCTAGCCATTTTATGAGTTTGCTAAGACCTTAGGCATTTAGTCTATAATTCTAAATAAAGCTGATTGCATCATGAGTTAAGACAGAATGTGACTCATTGACAAGGACAGTTCTGTTTACTGATCTTGCTATATTGCAGGTGGACCTGCAGAAGGAAGTTATAGTCACAGGGATACAAACCCAAGGCGCTAAACACTACCTAAAATCCTCCTATACTACGGAGTTCTTTGTGGCTTACAGTTCCGACCAAACCAACTGGAAGATCTTCAAAGGGAACAGCACGAAGAATATCATGGTGTGTGTACATGCTTCTATTTGAATCTCAAGACTCAGCCTAGGGTTACTATGTCTCTGTCCTTTTAAAAGCACACTTCTGCTCTTCTTGACTTTTCCTCCTAAACATTTATATCTTAGCAAGTGACCAAGATGATGGTTTGAAAGTCTGTTGATATTGCTGGGCACTGGTGTCTCACACTTTAATCCTAGCTACTCTGGAGGCAGAGATCAGGAAGATCATGGTTCAAGGCAAGCCTGGGCAAATATTTCAAGAGACCATATCTCTAAAAGTGTATAGCATCTAAAAATGGCTAGCAGAGTGGCTCACTATCCAGTGGCCTAGCAAGTGTGAGGCCCTGATTTCAAACCCTAGTACTGCCAAAAAAAGTTGATAAATGATAGATGAAAATATTGATAATCACTACTTACCACCATATTAAATAGAAGTGACCATGTATACGTCTTTGTTTGAAGAATTCATTGACAAAAGAAACAGGATCTGTTGTTTGTAAATTTTCTTGTTTTAAAGAAAACATTTGTGTTCTATAGATACAAGTTATGTAAATAAAAGTTATTTTATACCAAAAAAGTACATTTCTGGGTGTTAGAAATGTGAATGACTTTCTAAGGGGAAAAGTGGTAACATGGTTGTTCTGTCTATTGCAAATTAAAGGGACAAGTGGAGTGGAGCTACTAAAACTTCAAAACTTGAAAAAAAAAAAGTCACTTTATCATCAAACAAAGCATGCAGACAAGCCAGATTGGTAAATGGCAGACAGCAGAGTAGACTACCTGGTCTTGTTCCTCAAGGAGCTCATGCTAGAAATTGACCACAGAGAGGTTTGATTTTTACTACTACATTTTATTTTGTTCTTTATTTTAATACATTTGAAGAAAATAGCAACGTCATGTATCAGTGAAGCTCCGAGGCAGCACAATTTTCAGACTTATTTTGAGGTCTTGCCTGAGGAACGACATTTCCCTGCTTAGTCTTCCATGGATCCAGCCAGGAGCCCTACCTCTCCCCTCTTCCCCAATCCCCTCTTCAGAGAAGAATATTTGCATGCAAGGAGTCTACCTGCCACCATTATATCAATGACCTTGAATTCGTTTCTGTTTGTGTTTTATATAAATCTTTTACTATTTACTATTTTTCTATATTATCATTAGCTATTTCTTTCTTTGTGGTGCTGAGAATAAGCTATTTCTAATAACAAATTATTTGTAATATGCCTTAGATCAAATCATAAAAATCTTAAATTATGGTCTTACAAATCGTATTGAGAGAGAAAACACAGAAAGCGGTTGAGTTAAGAACTTAATGAGTTTTACATCTATATTCATGAGTGATAATCTGTGTATAGTTTTAATTTTTTTCACATTACTCCTAGACTCACAAATTGGTAGGCATGTTCTCCTATATTCTGGAGGAGATTTCTTATAATTGGTGTTAATTTCTTAAACATTTGGTAGAAACCACCAGCAAAAACATCTGGACCTGGGGATTTTCTTTTTTGGGGGGGAGGGAGTTTTAAAATGACAAATTTAATTTTTTTAATAGTCATAGGGTTACTCAACTTACTTTTTTTTTTGTTGGATTAGCTGAGACACTTTTGCAGTACTAGGACTCAAACCCAGGGCCTTGACCATGTTAAGGCAAGCACTCTATTATTCAGCTACATTCTCAGCCTACATCTCCAGGTCATATTTTTTTTTTTATTTTGTCAGTACTAGGGGTTTGAATTCAGGGCTGTGCAATTGCTAGGCAGGTGCTCTACCACTTGAGTCATGCCTCCAGTCTTTTTTTCTCTGATTATTATTGAGATAAGGTTTTTCTTTATGCTTATGCTGGCCTGGACTGTTATCCTCTAATTTTATTCTTCATACAGTTGCTGGGATGATAGGCATGTGCTAACCTACGCAGCTTTTTTTTTTTTTTAATGAGATGGGTCTCACAAACTTTTTGCCTGGGTTGACCTGGAACCATGATCCTCCTGATCTCAGCCTCCCAAATAGAAAGGATTACAGGCATGAGCCAAACAAGCCTGGCTCTCTTAGTGTTTACTAAAATAAATTTGTCCATTTCCTCTAATTCCTTACTTAAGTCATGTGTATAGTTTGTAGTATCTATTGCCCTTGTTATCCTTTTGATGTCTGTAAGGTCTGTAGTGGCATGCCTAATTAATCTCTGACATTGTAATTTACATCTCTCTTTTCCAGTCAAGTTTGCTGCAGATTTGTCTATTTTTTATCTTCTCCAAGAACCAGCTCTTTCATTGACTTTATTGTTTTTCTATTTACAATCTTACTGATGTTTGCTCTTATTGACTCTTTTACTTGGTGTTTTCTAACACTGCTCTGGTAGCCTGGTGACTGCCAGATGGAGGCCAAAGTCCAGGATCCCTAAGTGGCCTCCTTTTGGACCTTAGGGGGCATTGTTGCTCTCTGCTGCAAGGTGGGGGTAGAGTACCCAGTGTTCTCCTCTGACACTGTAGGCTGGAGAAGATGAAGTCCTGAGTTCTTATTTTGGCATTCTCACAGCCTCAAGGAGGACGGTGGGTACCTCTTTAGTCTCAAAAGCCAAAAAGTCTTGGTTTTTCAATCAGCCTTTACTGCTGTGGATGAGGGAGGAACCATAGTTTTTTCTGTGCTATTTGTCTAAACTTTTCTGCCGTACAAAGCTGCCCTTTTCTGGTTCTTCTGCTAGAGTGAGCAGGCTTTTGTACCCATTAGTGTTTCCAGGTTGTTAACTTCTTCATCTCTAAGACTGAAATATATGAGGCAAAAAACAAAACCCAGGAACCAACAACCATGTTTTTCCTTAGGTTCTGAGAACCCTAGCCAGTCTACTTTCTTCTCTCCATGTTTCAAATTCTTTTTGTGTTTCTTTTACATATAACTGGGATTTCTAATTGTACATAGCAGAAGTTATTTCTAAGAGCACAATTGACTTGAATTAGACCCCATGAAAACAATATTAAATTAGATAATTTTTTAAAATAAAATCACTTTATAGAGAATTGTCACATAACTAAGCTTTCTTGTTTTCTTCTAGTATTTTGATGGGAATTCAGATGCTTCTACAATAAAAGAGAATCAGTTTGATCCACCTATTGTGGCTAGATATATTAGGGTCTCTCCAACAAAATCCTATAACAGACCTACCCTTCGATTGGAGCTGCAAGGTTGTGAGATTAATGGTAAGGAAGAAATATGCATTATCTTCTTAACATTCTAAGACTTGAGATTTGGGAGGTATACAAGAATTCTTAGGTCACTTCAGTGACTTGAGATTGCAGAAAATTCTTGTGAAACAGCCTCCACTTGGATGAACTCTCATTGTGACTGAGACTGGTTCCATCAGCCAGAAGGCAGACAAGCAGCACCTTTCTGAACAATGCCTGGATGATACCAACACCATCATGATCCTGCAAGGAAGGTCTTTCGGTCGAAACTACCATTTCAATAAGAACTACTTGAGGTTCAAACTAGGCTTGATTCTTCCAAAATCTTCCAGGTTATGCAGACTTTAATATAACAAAACATCTAGCAACATTACTGGCATGTGTTTGGCATTCAACGAATATTTTTGAAACCTGAATCTGCTTTCTAACTTTTTGTAATATTGTACTCAAGCCTTTTCTTTTTACGCTGTTATATTTCAGGGGGTGTAATATGACCTATGGCACAAATAAAAATCCAGGTAATAATAAATAGTTATAGTAAAACTCTACTATATAGAGCAAAGGTGTTTAAGAGTCTTATCAACTATTCTTTGACTCTTAAAGCAGTGCTTTTTGGTACTGCAAGGCACACATAGAAAACGCTATCATCTGCCTAGCATTCTGAGGTAAAAGAACAAAGCAATTTGCCCCGGGTTTGGCCTTAGCTGTCTGCTCAAGGACTGAAGGGGTAAAGGGACCAATACATAGTCACATGGAAAACGTGCTGTAACACTATTGAGAGGTACAGTACTTTCCCTTAGGGTAGGGGAAGAAGCTATGACTCACAGTGGAGAAAGTATCTGAACCTTGGAATCAGTTTCTTATCACTAATGGAGGATATGGATATGGGCATTTTGCCAATGTCCAGATAGCAGTAGTCTATAATAACTCCCAGATAAAATGCAGTATTTTTGAAGGCTGGAGTACTCCTTGAAACAGTCTCATAAATCACAAGGAGTGTTAAAATTTTCTATATGGTGTGAATGGTAACTTTGATCTATCATAGAGTTGAGATAACCTAAAATGTTATGCTCCACTCTGTTAATTTATTTTCTGTACAAGAAGCATTACTTTTTTCTTCACTTTCTTTTTTTTTTTTTTTTGATGGTTCTTATTTATTTATTTATTTTGGCAGCACTGGGGTTTGAATGCAGGGCTTCATACTTGCTAGGTAGGTGATCTTACTGCTTCAGCCATTCTGCCAGCCCTTTCTTCACTTTCTTGATGCATACATAATTAGCATTAGCAGCAAGTGTTCTTTTTTAGTGTTTTTATTTTCTCATCACAGAAAAAGCAAAGTATCACTTCAAGAAACTTTCTGCATGTTTTACTATCAAAAACAAAGTGTCGTACAGATGGGCGGCCAGCTAAGCTCACTCACTGGCTGTATTTCCCACATTAACAGGTCAGCCTTGTTGCCTAGGATATTCAAATTATGTCTTGGGAAAATTCCCAAGGGTGCATAACCTGAGTCACACTCAAAGAGTTGAAAGGGAAAATATTAAATGGTAACTACTAAAGGTCTGCTCTATCTTCTTTGCAGCTTTTATTAGAAGAAACAGAATTTTTTTATATGCAGCAGGTGGCTTGCTTAACAATAGGGATATGTTCTGAGAAATGCAGTTAGTTAGTTTTGTCATTGGGCAAACATCATAGATGGTACTTATACAAACTGAGATGGTAAAGGTCAATTACTCCTTGTGATCTCTTGATGCAATCAAGAAACAATAAATGAGGTATGTGGGATTACTACCAGCATAACTCAATACACCATTATGCGGTAAACTTCTTTATAAGTAGGAGGATACATTGTAAAATTATGCTAAAAACTATAGCCAGATGGACTCATTCATTACACAAGTATTCAATGAGGCACCTAATACAGGTGGGCAAGTTTCTAGGCATTTTAAGAGTGTATTTAAATACATAAACCAGGAGCATTGCGGTTTGTCATCAAGTTTTGTGTACTATACATAGGTGTATGCACTATTATGTAACGTATCATGTATCATGTGCACTTTTATACAACGAGCAATACAGTAGGTATGTTTACATTAACATCACCACAAACACGTGAGTTCTGTGTGGTGTGATGAGATTGTGACAGCTGTGACATCAGTAAGCAATAGGGATTTTTCAGCTTCATTATGATCTAATGGGACTGCTGCCATATATGTGGTCTGAAACGTTGGTATGTAACACATGAATATATATGGATTGTTTAGAATTACTGACTACCTCAAAGCAAAGACCAGAGGTTCCATGACTTTCTGAAAGAGTTAAGTGAGTATACATTGTTAGGACATGTTACTTGGTGTCATACTCTCTGAGTTTAAATTCACCTCCTTATTCTGTCTTATGTTAGGCAAGTTATTACTTCTTGCTGTATTTTTGTGTTCTCATTTATAAAATGGAGATAATAATGAGCATTAAATAATACATTCAATTGAGTATAGTTTTGTATGCCTGTCATCATAGTATTCAGGACCCAGAGGCATGAGTTTGAGGCTAATCTGGGCTACATACAGAGACCCCATTTCAAAAAAAAAAAAAAAAAAAAAACAAAAACTGAAAGATGGAGAGCAATATTTGGGTTCAACAATTGTATACTGGAGTCAGCAAATGTTTTGCTGTTACTTGGTAGTAATATTTCTGATCTCCTCTGCAGTGCAAAAGGCCATGCATGGAATATTGGTACTGTGTAATTAATCACTTCACTTTTTTTTTTTTTGACAGGATGCTCCACACCACTGGGTATGGAAACCGGAAAGATAGAAAACAAGCAAATCACAGCTTCCTCATTTAAGAAATCTTGGTGGGGAGATTACTGGGAACCATTTTGTGCCCGTCTTAATGCCCAAGGCCGTGTGAATGCCTGGCAAGCCAAGGTGATGTAGACACTATGAATGGAGTTCCCTCAGTCCTCCAGGAAAACAAACAAATAAGCCAATTTCCCCAACTACAGGAAACAGGAGTATCATCTCTTGTTTCAGATTAAAATCCAAGGTCTGAGAATCTAGGATGTCTGCTGAATCAATAGCTTTGGCTCTAACTTTGGTTCAGAGAAAAGTATTTGTTCTCTCTGTGGTTTCTGGTCTAGCCTTGATTTAAACCTGGTGGGACAGCTATTTTTCTGCAAAGAGCCAGATAGTACATATGTTAGGCTTGGTGAGCCATACGTTCTGTCACAACTACTCAACTCTACCATTGTAGCTAGAAAGCAGCAGCCATAAACAATATTTAAATGCATGAATACAGTCATAGTTTGCCAAATTCCTGATTTAGACGTTAGTGATAAGCAAATAATTCAGATTGATAACATATCTCTTTTACTTTTTCTTCAAAATTTAGCAATGTTTTTCATTTTCTTAAGAGTGTCATTTAAACTTTTTTGTGCCTTTTATTTTTTTTAGGAGAAAGCATAGAGTTACTAGTATGCCAGTAAAGGGGGAAAAAATGGTGGGCAACCTAGTGAAAAGGGAAATGTCACTACTGCTCACTACTATGGGGACAGGCTTTTACAGCGTTTAATTGGAATCTCACTGATTGATTGTTTCTTTCTCGTGGGACTTGTTGATTGGTTGTTCTTTCTCGAATCATGGTTTGGATTTTGTGCGCATGGGAACATCTTTTCAAGCTTGGCTTCCGGATTTCATGTGGCCCATTTCACGTGCTTGACTTATTTTTGTATTCCATTCAGCCCTTGGTATTTTTCTGTCATTCATATCTCCTTAAAAGTATGGCCTCCTCCACATTACACCTTGACAGAACAACCAAACCAATCCTGGTGGGATGAATGTATCATCTTCTTGTAACCATTGAGTTGGGTAGGGTCATAGAGATGTCCCTACCTATGTATTTGTTGTTCTGACAGGGGATTATGGGGCAGCCCTAAGGGTTGTTTCCATTTTAAAGATCTTTATAACTTTCCTTGAGGCCACTGGAGGCATGGCTATAAAACCAGGATTGTAAATCAGTCATATAAGTTAAACAAATACCTTCCAGAGAGTTACATTGCCCCTGAGATTAGCCCATTGAGTAACTCAGGTTGCTTAATTTTAAGTAACTGCTAATAATTCACTTATTCTCATTTCATTCTTCAAATGATGGTGGAATCAGAATGGTAATGGGTAACGCTCGGTCCCTTTAGCCAATTATCTAAAATCCCTACTTAGTATCTCCTGTCTCCCTCCCTTAAGATATATATGCTCTAATCCCCAGGACTGTCTATAGAATTCCAGGTCCTATCCTCAAAGTAGGCCACTAGGAAGGAAAAGAGAATTGTGGTACAAATAAATGCTACACAGTGTCTTGGGACCCAAAAATCTAAGTTTTGAACTCCTTCTGGCACATAATGGAATCACAGAATGCTGGAGTGGAAGGAGTTTTTCCAAAATATCTGATCTAAAACTTTCCCTTCTAAATACCTGAGTAATTAACTTGGTGGCAGAATCAGAACTGGAATCCAATTTTCCCAGTAAATAGACAGCACTCCATTTGAAGCAGCGGAAACACCTTATTTTGCAGAAAGAAAATTGACACCCAGAGAAGTTAAAATAATTAAAATAATGATGTTGTATTACTTATTTGTACAAACAATAATTAAAGAACAATTCCACCCTGTTCTTTCCTAAACAATCTTTTAGAACTGTACATAGTGAACCATGTGACTCCATCCTCTATTTTACAACTTTAAATTTTTTTTTCTATCTATATAGTGTTTTCTTAGCCTTTGTGGTGTAATAAAGACCCCAAAGATGAACTACTAATTTAACTTTTAATGCTGTCATTTTAAACTTTGAATCCTGGGTCAGAAATATCAGTTTCACTTAACCCTCTATTAGTATGAAATGTCCAGGCTGAAAATCAAAACCAGACACATGTAGCATAGATGCAGACATCCACTTCTCCCTGGCTAAAATCTTTGTTATATTTCTGTACCTCTAGTATAACCTTGATTTGAAGACACACTAAGACATACCTAGAGGGTCTCAGAAAATTAACAAAAAAGAGTCCTAATGCAATCATTTAATTAATTTGCTTTAAAAATACTTATATTGGGGGAATATATACATACAAGTACACATTCATATACATAGATATACATATACCCATGCAACTATGGATGATGTTGAGGAAACGTATCAATGTTTATGATTTCATATGGACTGTGAGAAATGATAAATTTCCCAAAAGTAAAAATTCATCTCAGATTATTCTAAAACTTAGTTAGTCCTTCTGATCTTCTTTCTCCAAGTGCCTATCACCAAACATAATTAGGCCTTTTATTAGGCCAGAGATAAGACAATTATTTCAACTTGTATGAAGCTCAATTTTTGGCTTTATTAGGTCTTTCAAATATTATACTTATTTGAAATGTCAAAAAGTAAGAAATTGGAATATTTCATCTATTTGACATTAACAATGGAAAGAAAAGTTGGCTTTTCTCCTCAAATACATTAAATGGAGAGAGGATACTATCCAATTCTTTTCTAGATAATCCTACAGCTATATCATTATTGTATTTAAACAAGCTTGCTTAAAATATTTACAGATAATTTAGCAATTTAATAATTTTCTCAAATTCATTTGCTTACTCATCCAACAACTATTTACTGAGCACTGACTGTGTGTATTGCATTGTTATGAGTGCCAGGAAGCAAATTAAATAAGCCCCTTCCCTGGAACAGTAAGGGATACAAACAAGTAAAGAAGTATTTATTACACAAGGTATGAGACATAACAATAGAAATTTATACACATGCAGTGCAGCAAACAAGAAGAAACAGGACAGGCTTCTACAAGACAGTGACTCCGAAGGGGGGAGACAGAAAAGAAATCCTTTTGAGCTCTGTGCATTTCTGAATATTTTGCTTTAAAAAAAGCCAAGGTTTTAACATCTTCCTTATCTGTGTGGTTTTTTTAAATCATTTTCATAGGCAAACAACAAAAATCAGTGGTTACAAATTGATTTGCTCAAAATCAAAAAGATAACTGCAATTGCAACACAGGGATGCAAGTCTCTGACCTCCGAAATGTATGTGACTAACTACGTCATCCACTACAGTGACCAGGGTGTGGAATGGAAACCTTACAGACAGAAATCATCCATGGTGGACAAGGTATTGGGTGGCATCTTGGCAAAGAGAAAGCAGGTTGAAAGTTGTGCCATTATGAGAACAATAATAGTACCTTGCATTTGACAACAATGCACTGACACCTCCTGCCTCTTTAAGTTTTCCATTCCTAGTTCTTCAAGTGCCTGGTGTTGGGACAGGGACCATGCACATTTCTGCTTTGACTGAGCCACCTGTGAAATACTGAGGACAAAATACCAGGGAATGGTGTGAAGTTTAATTAGTCTGACTGAGAAAGATGGTGAAGGCATCTAGAAAACCTTCCACTGTGGAATCATACCCTATTAACATTGCCTTAGTTATATTTGCTATTCCTGATTGATAAAATGCCTAAGATCATAAGCCTTGTATGTTATACTGTTACTAAACAGTAAAGAATTCATACCCTTTCTGATGGTGAGACTAGATTTCCATTATATTCTTTAATTCCTAACTCTTCCTAGTTGGTGGTTTTAAAATGCTACCAGCAGCAAAGCCACCAGATATTCCTCATACCAGGAATGAGAATGGGGCTGAAGGTAGTAGAAGAAGCAACACAGGAAAAGGGAACTGAGTTAATGAATTTGTACCCATTTTCATATTTTAACCCTCTGGTTGTCTGTTTTTGTTTGTTTTATTTCTCATTGTACCAGGTTGCCTTCATACCAGGGTAAACATCACTGCCATAAACAAATAATGCCTTAGCTTCTGCTGTGCGTGTGTAAATCTTGAGGAATTTGTTGAAGATGAAAAAGAAAATATTTTAAAAAGCAGTTTCTCAAGGATATAGAGCATATGCCAAAAGGATAAATAAAAATGCAAGGCTACATTTAATTGAAATATTAGTAATAGGAAATCATTCATTGGTGCCCATTCCCTGATATTTACAAAGCACTTGCCATATGTTTACATGCATTTTTAAATCTTTACAACTTGTATGAGGTAACATTTTTATGATCTTCATGTTGCCAGATGGAGAATCAGAGAGTGTAATTGACTTCTTTAAAGTCACATAGCTACAAAGTAGCTAAGAGCAGAGATGGTTTTGCAGCCACTCCATGGCACCATGTCAGATTTATTTACCTTTCTTTAATTTGACTCAGATCACTGACGAAATGAAAATTCCAAGGTGGGGGGTTGTTTGGCTTGTGATTTCAAAATGAAGGACTGATCTCTGTGACAGTGCTGTCTGATAATGTTTGAACTCAAAGAATAAAAAATTATGTGTAATATTTTTATATCCACTGTGCCAACATTGAAGATTCTCCCTGTTTTTGCTTTCAGATTTTTGAAGGAAATACTGATACCAAAGGACAAGTGAAGAACTTTTTCAAACCACCGATCATTTCCAGGTTCATCCGCATCATTCCCAAGGCGTGGAATCAGAGTATTGCCCTTCGCCTGGAACTCTATGGCTGTGATATTTACTAGAATTAAATATCCAAAAACTACAGAAAAGACTCTAAGATATCAAACAATTTAGAGTGGGCAGTGTGTTTCATAACTATTTTAAATGTCATCAATTTCCACTGCTTCTCTTTTTTTCTATTAGAGAATAAAATTGTATATTAAAAAACTTTTATAATGTAGCTCATTGCTTCCTTAAGTAAGGCAGTGACTATTATTTCTGTATTAATTTGAATATAAATGGGAAAATATCAAGAACCCAAAAGAAAATGGCTTACCTCTCACAATGATTTAAAATGCTATATACAGTAATCTTCACATATTTAATATGCTTTGTTATAGCTCTTTAAATTGTAAGCATATTAATAAAAGAGATTATTTTTTAAAAAATCTTTTATAGACCTGGAAAACTTTCATTGTGACAATTTTCTTTTTTTAAAGAAAACCTATGATTTAAGAACAAAGGAAAACAAAGATATGAGTTTTAAATGGTTTGCTTTTCTTGATAGTAATAAAACAAATCTTGCCATATGAAGTGATAACTGCTTAAAATATTCTGTCTTTTCCTCTTTGGCAATGATTTTTCTGACTCTTTATGAGTAAAGAAACAAGTAAACATGTTTTCAGTAGTTCCATTAGACTTGTGAATCTGTCCTGGTCTCCCTTGGGGCCAGTTGCCCATTTTGATATTCAAGGTGTGCAGACATCAAACAAAACCAAAATAACCAAGAGAGAAATGAACATCTGGCCTTGACTTCATTTTAGCTGGCACTACATAGCATACTGTTTCAAAACGGGTTCACCTAAGGGAAGGCTCATACCTATAAAACAGAGCATTGGAGCTGTTGACCCAAATAGCTGTTCCTGCAATTACTGCCCTGGGCCAAATTGGCAAGTTGTTATAGTTTTCTTCTCAGTACCCTTCTTTCTGTGGCTGCAGCCTCCCTCTCTCTCTTCCTCCAGCAAATTCCTCTTTTATCTCTCCCTTCCTTGGAAACTTGGCATCCAATGATCCTAGAGTATCGTGGGACTGGGGAACTTTTTTTTATCCTTGAAGTCACATAGGATCACTGTCAAAGCTGTCTATTTTTGTGAAATAAACTACCTCAAAATGTAGTGCTTAAAATAACAACCATGAAAAAGATACATGAGGTTATAGCTTGATTTAATCCGTCTAATATAAATATATATATATGTTTTTATATACATTTATACAAACTTCACATTGTATGCCATAAATATATGTAATCTTGTAAACTAAAAATAAGGAAAGAAAAAAGAAGCTTGGCATGGTGGTATACTTCTATAATCACAGCACTCAGGAGGTAGAGGCAAGAGGACTGACAGTTGAAGGCCAGCCTAGGCTACATAGTGAGACCCTGTCCCAAAAAGTAAAATAATAATAATAATAATAATAATAATAATAATAATAATTTTAAAAAGTTAGAAATGTCATCAATTTTCATCTTTCATGTTTCTCTGGATTGACTGGACTCAGCGGGACAGTTTTATCACTAGCTTCATTTGGAGTCCCTCTTAATTATAGTGAGATGATGGGCAAAGCTGGATTCCTCAGTTGAACGCAGAGACAGCTGGTCCTGCCTTCCTCTCCATGTTGTTCCAGGTCCTTTCCTCACTACATGGCTTCTACACGTGGTCTTTCCACTTGATGTCTACAATAGGGTAGCTGGACTTCTTATATGATGGTTCAGGGGCCCATAATTAAGTACTCAAGAGTTAGGAAGCAGAGGCTGCCAGTCCTTTTAAAGGCCAGGCCCAGAACAGATACATCCTCACTTCTGCCACATTCTGACGGTGAACAAGAACGGGTCAGCCAAGATTCTGTGTAGGAGAGAAAAAGTTAGAATACACATAGCAAAAGGCATAGCTCACTATAGAAACTACCAGGGTTGCCTATTGCACCTTCAGATGGGGCGAGCCCTGTGCGTGAGTAGGACAGCTTCAACCATCTATAGAACACTGGCTTTCTAGTATTTGTATTTCTGTTGTCTCTTCCCTTTAATGATTCATGTCACTCTTCCATCACAACTTCTCTAGGACTGTCATTTTGTAACAATAGAATACAGTGTCTGAAGTTATGGTAAACATCCCTTTGTTCTCTTCAGATGGCCTTCTGAATGTACTGTTCATTCAGCTGCAAAGTGCCCCATGCCCAGAAGGACTCCATGCTTAGGTTAATGTTCTACTGTCATCCTCTTTAAATCCTTAAAAAAATTGGCAGTATTGGAGTTTGAACACAGAATCTCATGTTTGTAGGTGGGCCCTTTACTACTTGGGTCATACTCCCAACCTGAAATCCTTAACTTTTTAAACAAAGAATCCAACATTTTTATTTTGCAATAAGCCCCACAAATTATGAAGCTACTCCTGGACATCTTTAATACAGAATTGAGCAGGATCTCTCTTGATCTAGAATTTACTGAGGTAAAATGGAGGCAAGAAAATTATGTGGTATAATAGGCTGGGGAAAAAATGGCAAGTACAGCATCCAACTTTGTTATCCTGTATAAAGAAAAAGAAGCCCCAAGTAAGCAACTGTGCAAGGCTACCGCTTGTTAGACTTGGAGCTAAAACCAAAACATAGATGATCATAATCCCAGCTTCTCTTTCTGTCAGGTTGCTCTTTCATAAAACAGAAATTATAATGCTTATGATTTATTCCCCCAGACAGGTAGACATGAATATTAATTAACAACACTTAATTGATCTGCAAAATTTTGTTTGGGGATCAATAAAATGTTTGGACTATATCAGATTTTTAAGTAAAAGACATTTTCACTTTTTATTCCTCTCTTTGAAATCATTTACAGGAAATTACTCCTTTGGCAGCATAGTAAATCCTCCACTGATGCAATATAGTGCACTATTTGGTATATCATAACTGGTTGCCATGGAGAGGAGTTAAATGACTCACAGAGGAATCATGACTTGAAAGGTAAAACCAGCAGATAAAATCTTAAACATTACTAGTCATTCTTTTTGAAAGTTGGAAAAGGATTTCTAGGAGTGTGTCACAAACACAAAAGGGACTGAAGAAACATGGAATTATCTCTCCAGGATGATTTCAAGTTGTTAAAAGAAATAACAAATGTCATACTTCTTTTTAGCATAACTGAATAAGCACCATTTTGAGTTCAGGACCATTATGTGAAACTCATCGTAGGCCAAATAGTGTGGATCCTCCCAAGAGCTATGGACATTTACCCACTATTTCTCTGGATGGATCAAGAAAGAGCAATTTATGGAGCATTGGTTTTGGCTTGCAACTGGCACTTTCCCTAATGCAGTGTGCCTAATACATATTTTAAAATATCTGAGGTATCCATGTTACCACTTTTCACATTCCCCCCAATAGATATATTATAGAAAATTTTGAGTGACTACTTTTTCTAAGTTCTTTTATTCTTGTAGCCTAGAGAGGGCCCACAATGGACATAGGTAAAATGACTATGCATGGAATGACTTTATGTGGTCAATGTCTGGGTAACACAGGGTTTTTCACATCCAGGTACTGCACTAGGACAGATAACAGAGCTTTAACAATTTAAGAAAAACTAATATTGATCTCTCTAGATGTACCATAATTTTAATTTTTTTTAAATATTAAGCTCATTCTAGCTACACAACTAACATAAGCACTTTAGGTGAAAGTATAATAAAAGAAATAAAAGATTTCTCTGGCTTTTCAAAAAAATCATTTAATAGGATAGAGGAAACAAATAACCAAAAGAAGCAAATAGAGACTATGAGCTTATAAAGCCTAGGTGATTACACCCTGAAGAACAGCCCATGTGGAATGGAGTCAAACTATGAAAACCTTTGGAAAAGATTTGACCTTGGTGAGTTGAAACACATAGTGGATATGTAGGAGGGCAATAAATGAAGAACCCCAATGAAGCAGGTTGGGATGAAGGTTAATGAGTAACAAAGTATAAGGGCTTTATGCTCAAATTTGGGACCCCGTGAGCTTTCTTCAAAATACCCACCCATTATCCTTTCTCTCTTACAGTCTGATAATGACTCACCCATCCACCTTCTTCCATCACCCAAATCATGTCCATAAACTCAGTGTGTATTCAAGGTCAAAAGTGAACTTAATAATCTGATAATGGCGAAGAAACACAGAGATACAAAACATATCCCTAATCTATAAACTGTGCATGAGAGAGATCGGTGATCAAGTTAAAAGCAGATCATTTTTGGAAATATTATGGAAGATGCTCACATTGGACATGGTTCTGATTTGCTTAGGGTAATTGTATAATGGTACTAGAGTAAGGAGAAAATGGGTAAGAGTATGTCATATGTGGGAAATCAGCTAAGGGAGATATGAAACTATCACTGGATATTTGAAGTGCTTATGTAATGATTTTATTTTGTTTTACCACTTACATTAGTTACTTTTCTCATCATTGTGACCATTTACCTGAGAGAAGCAATTTAAAAGGAGGAAATATTTATTTTGGCCCATGGTTTCAGAGATTTCTGTCCATGATTGCTGTTTCCATTACTGTGGGGCTGAAACTAGACAGAACATCATGGCGGTGGCAGCACATAGAAGAGTGCTGTTTGCCTTGGAGGACAGGAAGCAGAGAGAGAGGAAGGAATTAGGAACCTGGATATAACCTTCAAGGCACACCCCCAGTGACTTACTTCTTCCAGAGAGGCCCTACCTCTTAAAGTTTCGACCACCTCCCAAAATAGCATCACCAGCTAGTCACCCATGAGCCTGTGGGAGACATTTCATATTCAAACCATAACACCTTTGGTCCTCAATTAAATCCCCTTCAATTCATCTCCACTTTCACATTTTACATATAAGGGCAGCTTCTCAGTATTTAAGTATAGATACATTCATGCCCCTCTATGCTTTTCATTGGTATGAAATTTGGCAATAGGCTTATTATTCTATTTATCTCAACTGCCTTATATTAAATACATTCTCAGTGTTATGCAATTATCACCATCATTCACCACTCATTACTTTCTACTGCAACTCTATTTTTTACCTGTAACTTGATGCTTTTCCCAAGAGATGGCAGTCAACTGTACTTGGTCAGAGTTCTGAGGACTTTCACACAGAGGTCATGCTTTAATTATTCAGGCTAAACAAATAACTGAGAAGCTTGCATGGACTTTCTTCTGGATTGAAGTGGCCTGATTATGTTTTTCTCAGGAGTAGGGCTGATTAATATTAGTTTACATACTGAACCCACAGGCCTTATATAACATTCAGAAAATAGGTTCACACACAAATTGGAAAATTCAAACAAAATTTTGTGAACATTTTCTCTATAAGAAAATAGAGTAGCTGTCAGTGAGTGAGGTGAA